CATATTTCATTAACAAGCCTGCAGAGTCTACAGTTTGTTTACAAATAAAGCTGCGATTTCCCACCGTCTCCACAACACCCCCTCCCTTAAAAACAGTTTGCCTGTGCACTGTAATTTATTTTGTCTAATGCACGACTTTGTTTCTGTTTAATCTCAAGTTAAAGATTAAAGCTCCAAACAGAAAGAGGAATTGTGTGGGAGCATCTGTTTAGAGTACAGAAGGGCATGATGGGAAATGCAACGTCACCGTGTTTTCTTTAGAACGTGGCTGGAGGAGCAGAAGAGGCTCCTTCTGCAGCAGTGATGGCCAATGAGGAAAGAACAATGGTTCCATCACAGATTAACTCTAATTTTCACAGCATTTAATAAATAAAAAGGGAGTGGGTGGAACATTTCAGCTGGAAATCCAGAACCAATTCAGACGTTTCTCACAAGCCACCTCTCTCTGATATGTGCTGTTTAGAAAAGGCTGTCGTTGCTCTGTATTCACTAGAACCTGCAACCCGTACTTATGTCATGCACCCGTTCACCAACGAGGCAGTAGTGGGAATGAAGCACCTCCTATTGCTCCATTTTAAGAGTTAAAAACAAACAAACGATTAAGCCATCATACAGAGCTATTGGGTCTGTGCAATGTTAGGAAATGTTCCGCAGAATTAATAGATTTCTTGTTGTGGACAAATGCAATGTTTTTCTGGAGCCATTTTTGCCAAATTGCTTGAAATGCTCTTCATATACGTACTGATGGCAACCAATAAAAAAAAACTGTATGGAAAGGATTATTTTAATCACATCTGAATGTTCAATTCTGTAAAAACCTCATCCGGATCCTGAATCACCCATCATACTGTCCTCTTACCAACTCTCTGCCCTCTGCACATTTCCCTTATATACGAAGCGTAAGGTCTTGGCTTGGAGCAGCCAAACAGGAAGTGAAGCAAGAGCCGCACAAGCTAGTTGAAATGTTCTGTTTCATAGGTCCATTTAATGAGTCGTTTTACTTGTTTTGTTTAAAGTCTGGTTCTGTTCTTGTTGGGAAACGTTTACGTGACGGACCTGTTGTCTGTGAACGAAGCTGGCGCAGAGGAGAAAGCGAAGCAAGCAGGAAGTGGTTTAGAGTGGGTTCTGGATGTTTTGAGCTCATGTTTGTGGAAATTTCTCAAATTTTTGGTGGTACTGAGCAGCTGTATTGCCCTGTTTTTACCATAAAAATGCCACAATATATTAGCTAGCATACTAAAATGTCAACAAGATGCATCAACGCAAGGTCCCTGTGTGAGGGCCGCAGAGGGTGACTGAAATGCCCAACTTTCAACTATCCATCAAAATTTTGTAACAGCACCACCATGGCACGACTTTTAGAGGAAATCTGGAAAAAAGGGGGTTAGATTTTTTTAACCGTTTACTTTTTTAAATGATTGCTTAAAATGCAAGAACATACCCTAGTCTGCCTTTAAAACAACCACTTTCTTTTCTTATGATTACAATACACTATAAAAATAAATACACACTCCCTTAGAAAAATTGTAATTGTTCAGGAGTCTTTTTTCCCAGTGCAGAGTTACACACACTCCCTCTGGTCGGCCCTCTAGTCCTGCTGAGCAGATTTAAGAGGCCCTGCGATAAACATACTTTATATTCTCTTCCAGTTTAACAGAACAGAAAAGAGAACAAAAATGCAAAGCGGCCCAGAAGTGGTCAAACAACAACTGTAAGCTACATAAAAGGCAGAATTATAATCAAAACACATCATTACAAGAAACCAAATCCTCTTCACATGAAAAAGTTCAGTCCATTTGACAATAGCTCTCTTTGTGGTATGTTCAGTGTGTGCAGATAACAAAGGGAGCCAAGCTAGGCCCTTGCACAAAGACCTTGTTTACCATCATGGCTGACTGGGACATCTAACAGAATATCTTGAATGGTCATGCTGCTGTCGCATAAAAGTTTCCATCACATTTAACCATTAGTTAATCAGCTAATGGGGGCGCCTGGATCACTGCAAACCAAAGACTAATGAGCCACACCTGTCCAAATAAGTCAGAGATTGGCGGAACCGTAATGTCCTTTGTGCTGTCCAGATAGTGCGTCAACCAAGAGTGACTACGCCTTCGTCACACAGGTGAGGGTCAATAAAAACGCTGTAAAACTGTACAGCCTCTGTCTCTTTAGGGCCGGCCACAGCCAAGGCTGGTAAATGATTGCGAGAGGTGTGAGCGATAGGTGACTAATTAGGGTACACTTGGCCCAAAGCTCACATTGATATGTGCAACAACAAAACTGGAATGATTGTTCTTTAAGGTTTCAGTGGTAAACCTCACTAAGGACAAATTAAACTTCAAGTTTTGATCATTCTTTTTCCTGTGAGTTTTGATCCAATACAATAAAGTCAAAATAAGTATAACACGTGTAGTATGTTGATATAAAAAAACAAATGTGTCAAAACACCTGCATCTCCTAATTGCTCTATAACATTTACACAGCGTTTCTATTTTCATCCGTCTCAACGACGCTGGATCTCATTCCTGCTGCCTGTGGAAACATGCCCGTTAGCACAAACAACCAGCTGCAAAAACGCTTCTGAAACAACGGAGATTGAGTCAGCTGATCCTCGAAGGTTCTCCTGAAATTTAAAAAAAATCCTGTGAGTGTTTAACGTGGCTGAAATCTTTATAGACGTGCAGAAAATGCCTATGTAAACAACATGGAAATGAATATCACACACACACACACACACACACACACACACACACACACACACGATGTCATGACTTTAATAGCACGCTTTGCAATGTGCACAGAAAGAGTTGACAGCGCAGTGCAGCGGTGACAAGGCTGCAGCAGCATGAAGTACTTTTTGTTTTCTGTCTAGCTAGCAATGTCAGCACGATAGGGCCTGCTGGATGGGAATTTCTAACTCCACCGAGGCATGGCTTTTAATCTCTCGCTTACACAACACAGAGGGCCCATCCACACAGTCTGGCCTCACAACAAAAACAGGACTCTACATCGCGGGGGTCATCACCCACTGGCAAAGACACATCACACAGATTGGCCCTGCTTTAGAGCTCATCCCAAACATCCCTGGTGTTCTGCTAAATGCTGAAAGCAGAAATGTCAGATGACGTTTTTGCAGGTCCCCATGGGACTGAAAGTTAGCACTGGGCCATGGTAGTGATGGACAACACAGAAAACATGCAGAACCCTGGTGGGAGAGGATGGGTCAGGGCCAATGTAATTGCAGCTTTGATGTAGCTTCGCTCTGGGACTGCGCTCTAAAGCTCATGAGCTGATCTTTAGCAGGCAGATAGAAGTTATCCACTTTTTCACTGAGCAGTCGTGTAAATCGTTCGTCACCGTTTTCCTGTGCTACGTGCGTTAGGCGATGCTTTCCAGTAGCAGCTAAACCCAGCATCACTTGGCTATTGTTTGCTGTCAGACAAGCCCAAACGGACCGTGTGCAGCGTGCAGACAGATGCAATGAATGATTTATTCTGCATGGTGTGTGGTTAGTGGCACCCTCACGAGAAACGCTTAACGTTGCACGTCTGAAGCCACAAAGTATATGCAATACAAGACAAAACATGGGATCAGCATGTGGTTCCTTCACAAGAAAAAAGATGGAGGGTCCAACTGACACACACAGGACGCTGGATACATGAAACCCTCGGGAAGTAATGATTAGGAGGAGTTGTTGCACAGATCTGAATCAGTTTAGAACTGTTCAAAATTATATTTTTTTATGCAAAAATGACGTGCCCAAGAAAATAAAAATCAAGGAACTCTAAAGTGAAGAAGGGGATAAAAAGATTAAAAGACGTGTGCCGCCACACAGCAAAACCTACACATAACCCCATTTCACGTCAGAACAAAGATGGGAAATCTTGCAAAATCCAACATGGCTTCAGAGTAAACAAACATGGAGGAGGAGGAGGAGGAGCTTGCAGCCCACCTCTGTCACCTCACTTTCTGATTGGCTACAAGTAACATTCAACAGGCAGTGTGCTTGTCTGCCCTCAAAATCGTACCAAGACAAACACATCTAAAACCGCCAATTAATGATGAACTGTACAGATGTACTCCAGAGCTAACCAGAACGCTCTTATCTTAACACACCACAGGATTAAGTGCCAAGATTATCTTTATGGTATGTATTTGAGGTTATCGGAATGGGAAAAAAATCAGGTAAAAAAAATAAAAATAAAAAAGACAATTATCTCACTGTGTGAACTGGGTCTTAGCTAGACCAATGTTAAGCTAGAAACTGACTCTTCTCTGCAAAAGTGCGAGTGATTTGACCAAAACGCCAAATGTGAGCTTATCCTTGTTGAAAAGTCTGGCGTGAAAGGCAGCAGGCGGTTTGCTTTGCTTCAAGAAAGGCTAAGTTTAGATGCGTCGAACATTTGTATTCCAAGGCTGCAGATTTACATTTTCCCACTAAACTTGCTCTGCTAAAAAATTCTGTCCACAAACAAAGTTTTTGAATCACAAGGCCATCACGGGTAAACAGTTTAAGGAATCAAATTTCAATATGTTGGCAGGAAAATTACCCCACATACGTTCAACACGTTTAACATATAATAACAGCGGTAACGCAATAATAGACAAATTAAAAAACAACAATTTTCTGTGATGAGTTCTCTCTCAAAGATCAAGCAATGGCTTCCTCAAGACTGAGCCTGGCGAGTTAAGCTCATCAGCTCTGTGCTACAAACAGGTTAATGTATGAAGGGTGAGAGGACGGTTCTCCCATGGGCTCGGGGCATCGATAAGCCACAGCTGTGTGGAGAAAGCGAGAAGGAGAAAAGGTGAAGTGTAAGAGAAGGACGAACCGCCTACAGAAATGATCAAAAACCAAAGATTTCCTTATTCATAAATCTCTTGAGGGGTACTGATGTGGATGGTTTTCCCACACTAGAAAGGGAAAAGCTCCCTGCAGACTTGTCCAAACGAGGTGACATCACAGCATCCTCCCGGAGGAGTCAACCCTTTTTTCATCTAAAATTTACTCAAACAACTGTAGGCTTCATTGATTCAACGAATTAGTTTCATCTTTCAATTCATTGGGGAACAAAAGGAACACATTTTCCTTTGAAATAAAATAAAAAAGTAGAATAGTGTTAAATCTAGAAGCTAAAACATAAAACTAAACATTCTTTAAATAAAAGAAATGAATCAGTGACACTGGGTTCATTACTGTGTAATAAACAGGAAATTATTTATTTAGTTAGGATTTGTACATCCTTGGACATCCAGGGTTGGGATGATATCTGCTGGTCTCTCACTCCACAGGGACAAGGTCAGACGATAGAAGTGCAGCCTTGTACTACCACCAGCATCTTCTAAAGGTCATCCACGCAACAGCCACACTCCCACGTCTCTCCAAAAAGGCTTAAACTATTCCATAATAATTGGTTAAAAGGTGAGTCTTCAGATTACACAAACGCCTTTTTCTAAAAACTTGTCTACACCTCTACATACACACGCCCGCCTCCAACATTACAGGAATATGAGCAGAATTGTAAATTTTGTTGCTCGAATCCAAAACATCTAAGGGCAGCTGAGTTTGTAACGATGAAACTGGAGAACACAAGCTTTTTCCAAAGACCTGTACAACAACGGATACCTTTGTATTCCTTCGAGTACAGTCAGTAAGACTGACTGCATATCAGGCATCACCAACACTAGAGTGGACTCAAGATGCCTTGAGGTGTATGGAAGAAAAACAAATAAATAAAAACATGTCTCATTAGGAATTTCACCCCTGCTGAAGACCAATGAGGAGAAATTTTAAGACTTGAAAACGAGACTTGTACACGGGATTAGCCATTGGTCGCAGAACTGTAGGTCCTTTAAAGAGTCAGTGGGGATCTGCTGTCTCCCATGAGGAGCCAAGTGCACAGTGGGAAACAAAGCCTTGCTTACTTTGGGACTATTCCCAGGACAAGGCTCAATCATGGTGTGCTGATATCGTCAGCGCAGATAAAAGAACATAACATTCAAGTGAGGTGCATGAAAATAGAGAAAAGGAACAATAATTTCCTTTTAGGCTGCAGAGAAAACAGACCGACGCGGAGCTCCAGGATCCGGTAACGCCCGTTTACTACACCGTTAGTGAACAGGGGTAGATCATGTAACCTTTTCCTTCTCCAACGCCCGTTTCTACCAGATCTTCACCCTAGAATGAACATAAATATTTACTAGACGAATGCCTTCCTTGTTTAGAAGCGATAGCCACCCTGTTGACTCTCATAGTGCGTTTTTGGTACGATTGTGTTCAAATAGGACCACTGTCAAGCCCCAAAGTAGACACACACACTCTAAATAACCACCATTCTCACACACACTCGGATCCATAAATAAGTGTGTGAACAGAGTGGAGGTAATGTGTTAAAAATAGTGATGAATGATGTTTGTAATGAGAAAACAACAAATGACACGTTTAGTTCATGCTTCGTGTCCGACATGTCTTTAATTTAGGAAACCGTTTCTGCTTTAACACATTTGCATGGGTTACTAAACAAATAACAAATCATTTTAAAGTGTCCTTCACTGAGAAGCCGTGTAATAATTGTTCTTTTTGAAATACAACCGGTCAATCTGAGTTGCATGTGGATGTTGAACATAATTGCTTCATCCCCCATCGCCTGCATGAGCTGCAGGAAGGAAACAATCAGGTCAAAAAAGGCCAGTCTCTACTCCATATAATTAGCATTCATAGCCTCACCCACATCTTCGCTAGTAGAAGCTAATCATTAGCAAAAGCAACTCTACAACATGGCTGTTCCAGCTCGTGTTATTTGCGGAGAGAACACATCAATGTTGCGTTTAATTTTACTCACGAAAAAAAAAAGCGAACGAAGATAGCAGAAGAGTCATATAATTGCTGTTAGCCAATCAGAGGCAATACATTTGCATCCCATTATTATTAATGAGTAGGGATGTAAGAAAATATTGATATGGAAAAATGTATTATTTTTCTCCGCTATATTATATTGATATTCAAAAGTTGGCGTGTATTGAATAGTTGGAAGAATTTACATGGAAACATTTGTGTATTTTCTTTTGATTTGGTGCAATTCAGACGCTGACCACTAGTTGGCAGCAGTGGGCAATGGGTTTTGTTTGCACCGCTGAAATGCTAATCCCTCCATTATGGTTCAGATACCTCACATTAAACATCTTACACATCAGTTTGGACTGTTTATTGAATTTTCATACAATAATTTCAGTCTAAAAATTTGCCAATATCGTATGGCTGAATGTATCGTAATATATTGTATCGTCTCCCCTTTATCGTGATCGTGTCGCTAGAATGACAAATACACATCCCTATTAATGAGTAAGATTCACAAGGCATTCATCTGTACTAGAGACCACAGCAGACTTGAGAAAACAAGCAAATGTGACCTTTAATGATCATCGTGTGAACACGTTTTTGTAGGTAGATTTGGAAGATAATCGTTACGCAAAAGGACAGTGATTAAAAAACCTTTATTTTATAGCCAATAAAACATGTGGTTTGCTTACCTGAACAACTTCTATCCCTCTTTTCCTGGAATAAAAAAAAAGACAAAAAGATTATCTTTAGAATATAACAAAACAAAGACTACGGTTCAGGTTTAAGTGAACAAAAGTCCTAATCTCTAATCACTGCTCTTATTCAGATTCAAACAAATCCTCTAAGTGATGATATGAAAAAGTTGCATCGTATAACCCGTTGTGTTTAAGTGTTCTGGCCTGATTTTCAGTAAAATGACTTCTGGCTGAACCAGCTCTCTTCCTGCAGGTTGACCAGCAGAAGCAACAAGCCAAACCTGATTTATATTTGCCGTGAGAGGAACTTACAAAGGGAACAAAAACAACAGCACTATCACCAACTCAAGCCTGTCCAACCCAGCTGTTTTCAAACATAAAAAAGGGAAAACGCAGCCCCGCGGTAACAGTAGTGTAGCCATTCACAGCTCCACAACAATGTGGATATTTAATACTGCAGCTGGCACATTTCGCATCAAGTGAATGGGGCCTTAGTTTCATCCCGTCTCAGATATGGAGATCATTTGCTGTCCTACATTTACAGAGCCTGCAGAATGAAAGGCAGGAGGCAGAAAAGCGAGGGTCAGTGCTTTACCAAATGGCTCGACACACTCAACAAAGCTGGGGTTGGCTGAAAAACTAAAACCGGTAAGGCTTGTGTTGCAGTTACTTCAGAAGAAACCCGTAAATTTACTCGTCGGCAGCTTTTTCTGGTATTTAAAAAATGTTGTGGAATGCTGACAGATTTTTAGAGTTACGCTGAGTGATTGATGATTGAACCATTTAAAGGTGCATTCAAGCACATTGTGGGTTACATTCGTCTCGTGTCAGAGGAGCACTCTTGATTTCACAACACAATAAAAAATAAATAATTAAAATACATCTCCAACGGCATGCATATCAGGAAACCCATTAAGCAGCTCACAAACTTGCTTTGTTACTTGTTCAGGCACATGTAACTGTAAGTATTAAACTCAAACCACTTCGGCTCTGCAACAGACTTCCTAATTTCACAAATTCAGACGGGAGAGGTCAACCGGTTTGGACACTTTTTTTAAATTACACGTCTGTGTGTGCCTGTTCATGAAAACCTAAAACTTGCAAAACACTCAAAAGTCAAAAATTCTTATCTTGATCATTTTCCTTCCTTCTGCCGATGACATGCGTTTTCTAACAAGCTGTAATTTATCGAAAGAAGAACTTGGAGATAAGACTAGAAGGCAGCAGTCTAGCATTTCAGAAACAGCCACTTCGACATCACAAGATCTCAAACGTCTCCTTTCAGCACCTCATCCAAAATGTGCAGGATGAAAACAGGAGGTGTGTTCCTCAGAGGATTTATGAAGGGATTAAAAATGTTTTGTGGATTACGGTGTGATTATCTGCTCTGGCTCAATCGGGTCACTCTATGAGGTAACAACACTGTGGGAAAGGTGAAAACCCTTGGATGCATAATAAACACATCTGTACAAAACAGAATGGACATGAAAATGTTTTGGTTCCATTTGAATCCAACAGCTTTTTTTCCACATGTGCTGCAATCTTGAAACCAGCTTTATTAACCGGTCAGATGCCAGCAATGAGACAATTTATAAAAGAGAAACAGATTCAAACGAGAGGAATGTAGAAGTGGAAACCAGGTTTGAAAGGGAACACAGACAGACAGGTCAGCAAAATCATTTTCTAAATTTTTTTCTGAGGAGACAACAGTATGGGCCACATAAGGAAGGACACCATCTGGGTGTTTCTGTCAGAAATCCCACCATCTGTCTCCTACCTGCACAAGTCAGCAAAGTCTTGAAAATGTAATTTTTTCATCTTCTTCTCGCTGAGCCAGTATCCGACCCTCCGGCCCTTCAGGAAAGTCTGCATCTCCGCTTTGCTCCTGTGTCCCTTACTGAAGACAAGAACGATGCAACTCGTGGCTCAACCTGCACAGGACAGAACAACACTTTTAGGTCTCCCAACCAGGGCTATTAACCCTCTGGAATGTGACGGTTGATTTATACTGTGGCGATTTAATAAAACCTCTTAGAGTCGGAGATTTAATTTGACATATGTGTAGCAAATTAACTTTAAAATTGTGATATTTTGGTTTGAGATGTGGTCCAGCATCAGCGAACATCACACTCTCACCCTGACTCGCATCTGCTAACATCAACAGCTAACGTTAGCTGGCTAGCAGTGGTCTACACACCTAACCGATTACATTTACACGTCTTACCGCAGACCAGGCACACAGCACTTATTTATTTTGAATTTTAAAAAAGCTAGCGGTTCCTCTTTTTGTCGAAAGATGAAGCGAATGATGCAACTAAGCTAAAACTGAGCGACAAGCTATGAGAGACAGCTAACTAACCTGGCAGTTTTGGCAACCGTGTGTTCGTGTCCGCGTCAGAAACTAACTCGGAGAATGTCCCATTTTCAGTCCGTCCACGGGAGAAGGAGGAAAACCCGAGGTGACAGATGAGAGGCACTGCTGGACCCACGCTGAGGCAACGCTGGCGCTTCTCTGTCAGGCTTAGAGCTGGACAGTGTGACTACTTGCACACACCCAGGACCCTGGAGGCTGATGCTGCGTTCATGTGCAACTCGGAAACTTTATAAGCCCTGCCCGTTGGTACGCGCTTCCACTCATTTGCTTTGTAATCATTAACGTTCATCCTGTTCTGTTATCTAATTGATTTACCATTTTGCTTACTAAATCACGTTGGAGTATGCACAAAAAATCCCTTAATAACAGTCATATGTTTTGTTTGGTGTAATCAGTAATTCAAAAAGCAATGATCTGGGACTGAGAAGCAGAAAGGACAGGCTCAATGTGAACGTTTCATCAGCCAAGATTTTCAAACTAATAAATGTGTGTTAAATAACAAAAAACGTCATTTGGTTACCTTATTCGTTATTTTCTCAGGCAGTTGTAATTGTAATGCTGACAACTACTGTTGTAGCGAACCATCAATTTGAATTTGTGTAAATAATTACTCAAAAATGTTCATTTGTAAACTGATTTGTGAATTCATGGACTTCAATAAAACGAATCCAGTCTTTACTGTTAAAAAATAAGTAAACAGCGAGTCTCGTACTTCTGAAAATATATTTAGAGAAGAAAAAGAAAAGTGACACTGACGCCACCAGCTGGAGAAGTTTGTTATAGCCCATGTTTGTCACTAAATAAATAAAGGTTATTCATGAATGCAATATTTTATATGGATTATTAAAATTACCGTAATTTGAAGCAGCAAGAGTTGTAATTTAATGTGCGGTAATATTACTGATGAATAACAACAAAAACAACAACAGCAACAGGTGTAAGTGTTTGAAATTTTAATGCAGTTTAGGAATAATAATAATAATAATAAAATATCATTTCTATAGCGCCTCTCAAGACAAAAATCACTAGGCGCTTCACAAAAACAAAAAATGTAAAAATATAAAAAAGTATTTAGAAAATGTTTAAAAATATATTAAAATGAGCAAAAATAGGCAATTGTGATTTAAAAAATGTAAAGAAAGAGAGAGTGAATAGGAAAGAGGGAAATCAGTGGATCCTGAGGAAGGAGGAATAGGTGGGGAGAGCAGAATAAAGAGATAGGGGATGAAGAAGGTCATACAAAAGCCAGCTTGAACAAGTGAGTCTTCAGCTGCTTTTTAAAGGAGACCACTGAGTCCACTGATCTCAGGCTCAGGGGGAGAGAGTTCCAGAGTCTGGGGGCCACAGCAGCAAATGATCTGTCACCTTTGGTCTTTAGCCTGGTGCGCTGCACAACCAGTAGGCTTTGATCACTGGACCTCAGGGACCTGCTGGGGGTGTAGGGACTAAGAAGATCACCAATGTAAGATGGTGCTTGTCCATGTAAGGCCCTATAGACCAGAACCAGGATCTTGAAATGAACCCTGAAGTTGACTGGCAGCCAATGAAGCTGGAGGAGAAGCGGGGTGATGTGGGTGTGTTTGGAGGACTTGGTCAGAAGCCGAGCACAGGCATTCTGAACCACCTGTAGACAGTTCAGGGAGGCTCTGCTCAGACATGTGAAAAGAGAGTTACAGTAGTCTAAGCGTGAGGAGATGAAGGTGTGGATAGCAGTCTCAAGTTCAGAGCGGGACAGAATGGGACTCAGCTTAGCAATGTTCCTGAGATGGAAGAAGGAAGAGCGAACAAGAGAACTGACATGAGAATCCAGGGTGAGAGCTGGGTCAAAGGTCACACCAAGATTCCTGACGGAAGGTTTGGTGTGAGAAGCAAGCTGACCAAGAGAGTCTCTGACTTTGGAAACCAGCTTGTCTGGGGCACAGATGAGGATCTCAGTCTTATCTTCATTCAGCTGTAGAAAGCTCCCAGCCAACCAGGTTTTGATAGAGTCTAAGCAGGAGTGTAACAGCTGCAGCTTAGACATCTCACGGGGCTCAAAGGAGATGTACAGTTGGATGTCATCTGCATAAAGATGGTAGGAGATTCCTTTGAAGGAGCTCAGGATGTGCTGAAGAGGAAGCAGATAGAGGAGGAAGAGCAGAGGCCCCAGCACAGAACCTTGTGGGACACCATGGGTAAGGGAGGTGGTGGAGGACCTAAACTTGGAGACGGCCACAGAAAAGGAGCGCTCAGAGAGATAAGAGGAGAACCACTCCAGAGCAGTTCCTGATAGGCCTACCCAGTCTCTCAGCCTCTCCAGTAGCAGGTGATGGTCAACAGTGTCAAAGGCTGCAGTCAGGTCTAGCAGGACCAGAACAGAACAGTCCCCTGCATCACTGTGAGTCGGAAGGTCATTAGAGACCCTAAAGTTTCAGTAGAATGAGCTCTACAAAAACCTGCCTGGAAGCAATCATAGATGTTATGTTCATCAAGAGCAGCTGTGAGCTGTTTAGCCACAACCTTTTCCAAGATCTTGGAGATGAACGGAAGTTTAGAGATGGGTCTGAAGCTGCTATGGAGAGAGCGGTCAAGACGGGTGGATTACAGTGTTCTTAAAGTAAGCAGGGACCTGACCAGAAACCAGAGAAGCATTAATTATAGAGAGCACGCTGGGACCGCTGGACTGAAAAGCACTTTTAAACAAAGATGAGGGTAAGATGTCGAGGGGGCATGCAGAGGTCTTCATAGAGTTAACTAGTCTGGTTAACTCAGGCAAAGAAACAGGAGCAAAGCTATCTAGGATGCTGGGCCTGGTTGGAGTTGGGAGAGGCAGCGATAAGGCTGAAGGAGAGATGCTAGATCTAACCTTATTGACATTGTCCACAAAGTACAAGAACAGTACAAAGAACAAAGGAAATAAATTAATTTAAAAATCAGAGGATGACTTTCTTTAAAAAAAACCTGACTATCCACACACACTAATGATGTGTGATCGCATATTTGCACATTTATAACAATTAAAAAAGAGTATCTTCTTTTAGTTGTTAGGACATAGCAAATAAATTGCGTTTACCTAAAGTTTAATATGAACCTTTTACTGTGCATTAAAATACATATTTACACACGATTGCTGTGATAAACATGTTTATAAATAAATAAATACAATGTGGACAACAGAAAAAAATTCAAGTCCCTCTTTAGGTTCAAATTGCATAACTGAGATTAAAATGGGAGGCTGTACAAAACAAACAAATGAGGAACAATTAACAGTCATAAACAAATAAACTCAAATCATCCACTGATTTGGGATCATAGCGCACCCTGACAGGAACACAGCGACCACTTCCAAAATATGCCTTCATCATTCAAAATTCATGTTTTATTTGTGTGTTGAAAAATATATATTTTCACCATCTGTTGTTCAATCAAATCAATTTTGAGCACATTTTGAGGTTGTTTGGCAACATTAGTTGTAATGTAGCACATTCAGTGTTTTGATGCCTTGACGTTTAATAAAAAAAATAGTTAAATGAATTAAGTGTTTCTCACTAATAAAGAAGTATTCGTCACATATTTTAAATTTATTTAGTTAAAAACTTCAGTAAATAAACCTTTTCGTAGTGTGTGTCGGAAACGCGTGACGTCACTTCCTTCACGTGGTCTCGGCTTAAACTCCCGCCAGGAGCAGTAATTTGTCAACAGTGTCGTTTAGCCTCTCCGAGGCTGCTGCTACCGACTGCTACGCCCCGTGTTTGCGTGCGGTCTGCTGTGGTTTCCCCCAGAATGGCGACTCACCAGCAGGACTCGGAGGTGGACGGTGTTCAGGTCAGCGAGGAGGAGCTGGAGCGGGCTTTGTGTGTTCTGGCTGGAAGCGACGCCGAAAACTGCTCCTATTCTCGGGTAAGAAAAGCCTCCTGCACCGCATCGCTGCTTGTTTCAAACACAAGCGAAAAGGTCTCATTCGTTTTGAAATGTTTGCTTATAAAAGCGGACTCACGGTGACTTCATGTTTGCAGGGTTATGTGAAGAGGCAGGCTGTGTTTGCCTGCATCACTTGCACCCCCAATACTGCAGAGCCTGCAGGGGTTTGCCTGGCTTGTGCCAATAAATGCCACGAAGGGCACGACATCTTTGAGCTGTACACCAAAAGGTAAAAACAATGTTTAGGTGTAACAATCAGACATTCTTTGCTTTATAAAATTTCTTTTGTTTTTTGACCTCCAGAAATTTTCGCTGTGATTGTGGAAATGGCAAGTTTGGTGATTTCCAGTGCCACCTCACTCCTGTGAGTTTTTCATTCCAACATAAAACTGGGAAGTTCTCAGCTGTTTTGTGTACATTTAATCTTATATCTTGAATATCTTTGAAGGTTAGAGATGAGGAGAACATCAAGAATCACTACAACCACAACTTCAGCGGTTGCTACTGCACATGTGACCGCCCTTACCCAGACACAGAAAACCAGGTTTACATTCATGCACGTCCTGCTTTGGATGCAACTTTATTTTTTTTCCATCATTAATATTGCTCTGTTTAACAGGATGATGATGAGATGATCCAGTGCATCATCTGTGAGGACTGGCTTCACAGCAAAGTAAGCAAAAGACTCCCTCTGCTTATAATTTAAAATACACCCGACCCCCTCTATATTTCTTGCTTGTTCCATACAGCATTTAGGCTGCACCATGGCTGAACCAGAGGAGCTGCAAGAGATGATCTGTGAAGCTTGCATGAACAAAGCTCCTTTCCTGTGGACATATGCTGCTCATTTTGCAGGTATCCAGGTCTAGATGAGTCTCTCTTTAAGCAAACGTGATGTTGTGCAATTCTTTTGTGAAACGTTTGTGGCTCTGTATTTGTTTCAGTACCACCTGTGATCAACATCAGAGTGGGGGAAGAGGATGTAGATGTCAATATCGAGGAGGAAAACAGCAACCAACTCCCAGAAAGGGATGAGGAACCATCCACCAGTCACAGTGAAATGCATACAAAGGTGATTTTTAGTGCAGCTTTTAATATATGAAATTGCCACTAGGTGGTGCTGTAGGGCCAGGTGCACATTTAAAACACGCTCCAGCTCCTAATATGTTCTTGGGGTAGAACCAACACAAGGCAAAGCTTCTTCTGCTCTGCCAATCTGGTGATGTGGACACTAATCTTTTTGTTTTGCACCACAGGATGACACCAGAAGCACGTCTTGCAAACGAACGCACGAGGACACGTTGAGCAGCTCTTCAAAGGCCTTGAAGAAGAGTGCAGAGTGCAGGTTGAAGGAGCTGCAGGGGTTAGACAGGCTGAGACAAGGAGCTGTTTTCTGGCCTTATGGTTGGCGCTCAGAGCTCTGCACCTGCACCAGCTGCAAGGTGCTGCAGGGTTTACTCAAACATCTTCATTAGGTAACGAGCACTTTTTAATGGACATTTATCCTCTGCGTGTTTAGAGGACTTACGTGGCTGCAGAAGTGCAGTTTCTCATGGATCAGTCGGACACCATTTTGGCTTACGAGAAGAAAGGATTGGAGGAGCCGTTTGGGCAGCACCCACTGATGACGCTGATGAGCTCGATGGACCGCGTGCAACAGCTGGAGGTTGTTTATGGTGAGGATGGGCAAGGACGGGAAGGAAGAGATGATTTCTTCCTCAGATGCATAAACACTGAGATTTGATTTGTCCTTTTCTCTTAGGTATCAACGGGCTGATATCTGCGGTTGGAGAATTTTTCAGTCGATGTGTTTCTGAAGGAAAGGTGAATCATGATCGCTCGACATTTATTTGAACTTTTTCCTGTGGTCCTCAAAACGAATCCTAACGTACTCCCTCCGTGTCCGTCAGACCGTCACAGCTGAAGACGTGCACGAGTTCTTCAAGGAGCTGCAAGAAAGAAAGAAACGCAGAACGAATCCAGGAAACCAGTAGCAACGTCCCTCTGCCGCCATCATATGCTGCTTTAGAGAATGTTTCAATTTAAATGTCAGTTTTCTCTTAAATATTTGCTTTAATGTGAACATCTCTACCTTTAGTCGAGATTTAGGATTTTAACATCATGCCTTACTCTGGAGATCCAGATGTTGCACACGGATGCATTTGATTAGTTTTTCTGATTTTTGTATTAGCCAGGATTTTACTTGAACATGTTTGCAAATAAAAATGTACAGAATGCTTACTTTTGCATTATAGATTTAAGTTTATGGTATGCAACCACTAAAAAAAGTGATCAAAATGAATTCACGATACAAATAAAACACAGACGCTGGTAAATAAACAGCTGTGAGCTCAAACGTTTTCCATAATATTAAACGGTTTATTTTGAGGATGCCAAAGTCGACCACTTATTCACCTTTTGAGGCGACAGTAGAAAAATAGATTCAGTGAAACTAAATGCAACTTAACATCAATCTACAATTTCTACGACGGCGTACAAGTACAATGTACCTGTTGATGTCCAACACAAGCAGTCACACATTTCTGATGGTTCTGTTTTTGTTTTCCTTCCAAAAGGTTGCTAAATAACACTATATACACAAAACAAGCTACATGAGATTTTCAAGAACTACTTGATGCATGCTGGTAGAAAAGAGCTTGCATAGACGTCAAAGTCACTTCTCCAATAGAAGCCCAGCCGCAGGCAGGGGAAGGCACTGACTCCAATATAGCAAAGACTCGATGGAACGTTCTGGAAAATAAAAATAAAAAAAAAAGCTACCCGACATGGGGGGGTGGGGGGGATCTGGAGTTATGCATTCTTTCACCATGAATCAACTTGGATGGAAAGGATGTTTTTCTGCTTGGCGAACTCATGGTCACAAAGCAGGCAGCAAGTCTTTTTTTAGATCATCAGCTTGTTACGTTTATGGAAAAACGAGCCGAAGGGGGGGGAGGGCTCTACAAATGTTGAAATCCACAACAATAAAAACAAACGGCTCCAAAAAGCAGAACACGGTCCGTTTGATGGATTTTCTAGCGCACATTCTTAGTGACGTTTCATGACAAATACACAGTGCTGTCCACGAAGGTAAAAAAAAAAGACCTTCAACAACCACTAAAATGTGACAAAAACCATTTAAAAGTTCACCAGAACGCATTGAACTAAACCCATTAGATATTTACAGTTTCCATTGGTGATATGTGCAAGCGGTCGCTGACTGTTGGAGATTCATTCGTTTCTTCCCGTCTAAACACCCAGGTGCTCCACCAGTGCAAAGATACTCGTGATGTTTTCTACCAGCGATAACAGGGTCAGATGTGTGGCTCTGCAGGCTCCTGGAGCTTTTTAAAACAATATAACAGTATCAGCACTGCTTCTGCATATCTATGTTGGACGAGGCCTGGTATTTACACCACGCCACCTCCAGTAAAACATGGTGTGTGAGTTTGTAGTGACGTGAAATGATTATGTTGCGTTTAAAACGAGTTAAAACTGAATATTCTAAGCACTTGTTAAGGCTTTAAACTGGATTAATCGATGCCAAACATGAAACGCTCTGCTCCGGTTTCCCCTCTGATATGTACAAAGACCTGGCTATATTGGGCGTGTACAGTACTGAGATTGTCTTAACACCTGTGTGCATCAAAGCTACCCATGCACACACACACTCACACACACCTGCTCCAGCTGCAAGCCGTTTAATCGCTCTAGGTCAGTCACTGTGGCACCCTTGTATTTCCCTACTGTATCTGCAAAGAATACGCTTTTTGTTCCCTGCGACCCCACCCAGCTGCTGCCTTTTAACAAAGGCTGGGATAGTTACTATCAGACTCTGTTCCTGGGAAGTGGCGAGCTGTCATGACCTACTTCCTGTCGGATCAGATTCCTGCTTTGTGTGTCAAAGTCTCAGCCCGTTCCAGATCAGCTGTGTGGGGTCAGGAGGGAGAATCTGCTTGGCTCACAGATGTGCTACAGGAAGGAACGGGAGCAAACGAGCTAAATCTGGTGTATTTACATGATCATTTTCATTAGTCCTGGTTAGTGTGCCATTATTCTGCTCTGTAAACGGAGATTCTGATCCTCTAATCTCTGCACTATCTGCAGGAAACAACAGGACCAACCAATAAAGTCTTTGTTCAGTCATCAGTTCATTTACTGAGCTCTGCAAATGTTGAGGCCAATTCACACAGCCAAGCTCCTTCTTAGCAATCAAAGTCTGTAGATTATTCCATCCGAGGAGATTCCAGATAATCCCCTAAACCAGCAGGTCCGGGCAGACTTACACCAACCGCACACCGACTTACCATTTCCATACATCTGTGTGATGGATAGCACAGTGTGATAGAGGTAGGACAAAAGGACAGAGTCTATAAATAGCAACATCTACAACCCCTTTCCCCTGCTCCTCCCAAACACACACACACACACCTTTCTTAACTCAACCCCCTCGCCCAGAGCTGGGGTTAAAGTGCAGATTTCTTATAAGGGTAGTCAGGTTTGCTGGGTGACCTGCGGTCTCTGACGAGCTCCTCGCTGACACTGTTCCTGTGAGACTGCTGCAGCGACCCTAGGCCTGACGATTCTCCACCAAGAACCATTTCTTCCAGAGCATCTCTAGGTCCTATGTGCCTGTCTCCGTAGCTGTCCATGTTTCCACTAGGGGACCGCAAGTGTCCTAATCCGTGAGTCAGGTCTGTTTCATTAGGTCGCCCCTTCGGATACTGTGGTGTCCTTGGCTGAGCTCCAGAAGGGCTGGCAAGGACTCCATCATGCCTCTGAGTCTTTATACTGAGAACGTCTAGCCGTAGGGGGTCTGCAGCAGTCCGTCCCTGCGTGTGGCCGTGGGGCTGGCAGTCAGAGACATACTGGGGAGGATAGGAGCCGGGTGGACCGCAGCTGTGGCTGTAGAGATCGGGTCCTGCAAAGGTGGGCAGAGGGTGGGAGGAGGTCGGGGTTGCAGGTCGACAAGAGAAGTCATACAGGTCAGGAAACTCAGCTTGAGCTTCCAGTTTGGGTTCTGGAGCGTGCCTCTTGCAGGAGTGTCCATGCCCTGGGCCGTAAGCATGGTTAAGACGAGCAGAGGGACAGGGCCCATGGTGCAGATGGTTGCCCGGAGGTCCCATAGGGCTGTGAGGGCCATCTCTGTCAATCTCTGCCATGTGCTGCTCCCTCAGGGACATGACTGAGACGCCAAGAGCAATGTCAGGCATGAACTCCCTCATCACCGGCTCCACACTCACCTGCATCAGAAAACAGAAAACATTATCTGTCATTATTACTGTCGTCTTTAAGAAACGAATAAAAATAAATATCACAGGAGGTCTCAGAGCCAAACTCACCGCCTGCTGCTCTGAGAGCAGAGTCCGGCCCATCGCCTGTGGGTTGGTGCAGTCCGGGGGCTGGGGCCTGGCCACAGACTGGTACTCTGAGCTGCCATGCTTGGAGGCTGCATGGCGCTGAATCAGAGTGCGGTTGCATGGGTAGGAGAAGGAACGAGTGGGAGTCAGCAGGGGCACTCGAGGTCGCCAGGCACCCTTGAGCTGGGCATGGCTGGGAGTAGCAGGAGGGTGATAGGGGGGCGGTGGGGGAGGCAGGGGTGGGTGGAAGCCTGCTACCCCTTCCAGCTCTGTTATCATGCTATCCATGGCTGGACTGCTGTTTACCCGACAACGACCCACCTGGCGTAAGGCCAGAATTGGACTCTCATCTCCAAAGCGCTCATCTGGGAAGAACTTGGAGGGGTTCTAAAGGGGGAGAAAAAGAGAATTACATCCAAACAAGAACAAATATGTACATTTTCTCTAAATTAAAGGTGTTTTTAAGGTCTGAGTGTGTCGCCCCTCTGTGAAGCTTCTCTTCTCTATACCTGCAGAAGCTCAGTGGCTCCATCTGCCAGACCAAACTCTCTCAGCACCCGGAGCTGCAGCTCGTAGCTGACTGTGGCTCCTTCACCACAATTCAGAGCATAAGCTCTCTGGACCTGCTCCGTGTGCCTCAGCTCGTGCAGCCTCCGGATCATATCCTTCACTACAGACAGCGGTGGCACTGATGGCACACAGAAATAGAAATAAATCCTCATCATTTGCTTTAATTTGTTTCCAAATGGTGGAAACAACGGTTGGTTTACAGAATATTTGATCATTTTCTTACCTGGGATTTCATTAGCCACAACCGATGGGGCTGTGCCGGAGCCGCCAGCCATCTGTTGGTGGTTGATCATGTGACAGCACTGAGGAACGGCGTTGTTGACCATGTAGAGTGTGTCTGGTACGTTGGACATGCGCACCAGTCGCAAACGCACCAGATCTGTCTGCTCCACCATCATCTCATCGAGCACAGACTGGGGATGAAAAAAAACACACCTAATAAATCCACGTGTGACTCAAGGACATGGAGCTAATTTGTTCCACTTGAGTGACACCTCGTTTAATAGTGATTCTCTCTGCTCTATGGATACATTCATCAACATTCATAGCCTTGATAAGGCCTGTAATTTATAAGGAAATGGAAATAAAATGAAACTCAGTCAAGATGATGGAGGACTTTAATGAATTTAAGATGAGTCTGCACAGGCGGCTGTGTGAGCTCGTCCTAAAAGCCTCACCTTAGCCTCATCGACGTAGGGAGAGAAGAGTCGCGGACGCACGTAGATTCCTGCGTTCTTCTGCCGTAACCAGGCGTTAGATTTTCCTCCCTCGGCTGTGGGCAGCATGTCCGAAGGAGGGGTGCTGATCAAACCCCTCTTGAGCTGAGGAGAAAAGAAAAAGAAAAAAGAAGAGTGAACAACGTGGATCAATATTCAACTCATGAAGGTCAGAAGAAGGAGCACTGACCGCATCGGAGAGGACGTCACTGTTGGGAGGCAGGATGTGCTCCGTTCTGATGAAGGGCAGGAGGGGGGACAGGATCTCCTTCAGCTCCTCCACGTCCAGGTCTCGCCGTTTTACTCCTCTCTTATTGACGCTGTGCGCGGTGCCGCTCAACAGGTTGGGCTCTGCGTTAACAAGAATAGAAACATTGGACTTTACTACAACTCAAACGACCGTTATTTTTATATTCAACCATGCTTCAGATGTTCTTGTCTGCAACCTGCGGGCTGACTATAATAATGTTTGACAAGCTTAAATGAAGAAGCGGCTTTGCTTGCGGCTCAGGAAAACTGAAACCATTTCATCATAAAATGTTTACAAAACAGCATTTATCATGACCTCAAAGCCCTTTAATGTCACCACTAATAAAGATAAAGTCACTTCTTCTTGGTTTTATTTATAAGGTTAATTTTTCTGGAGCTTTTAGGTATATTTCGGGGCTTGGGTAAGTGGGCAATTTCCTCAAAGCAATTATGGGGGCTATTGCGAGGGTAATTGTAGAGAGTATTATCTTACCCCGGTCTGCCATCCTCTTAATAAGCTGCTGCTCGCCCCACTTAACCACATACTTGAGAATGTCCTGCTCACTGGCCTGTGAGTGAAACCAAGGTTAGAGAGAGATGAAGAGCAGGATCAGACAGGATCACACATAAATGCATTAAAGGGGGCATGCTATAACTTTTTTCCTTAAGTTATAATAGTTAAATAGTCAATAAATATAAACATATTTATGAAGCTCGTTGCAAAATATCTCTCTCACATAAAGATATTTTAGCAGTTTCAGTACCTTCCAGAATGAGCCGTTTGAGGGCTCTGTCACTAAAAGAGAACAAGCTGTAGCTGGCCTCGCCCACCCACCCCCACTCAAGCTGCTAGATAGGGCTGGACGATAATTCAATAGGGCAATATATCTATCGATAGACATGTGGTGCGATAGATAAAAAACTGGTCGATAAAACTTTGATAAAAGTTTCCTTTTTTCATTATAACCTATCAGGTAGCAGCATACTAGACTCACTACTTACTCCAAACTAGGGTTGTCACGGTAACCGGTGTAGCGGTAAACCCCGGCAAAAAAAAGTTGCCAATAATAATAACCGTCTTGTTTTTAAAAAAATATATTATCTCGGTGGATTACTGTGGCTGCAGTGTCGGCGCAGTGACCCCTACCAGCCACCGTACCATCTGCTGAAGTTGCCGGCGGCACATGCGCACTTTGTTGTTTACAACCAAAACTTTCTTGAAGCTAAAGCTGGAATAATGGCCAAAGGAGGAGACGGCAGCGCTCAGGAGGACATTTATTATCCCTCAAAGAAGACAAAGTGGGAAGTATGGGCATCTTTTGGATATTTGAAGAATGCCGAGGGACAGTTGATAGAAGACTGCTATCCTGTTTGCAGCACGTTTAGGAAAAAGTGTCTGTGAAAGGCAGCAACGCTTCAAATCTCATGACACATCTGCGTGACCATCACCCACAACTCTACGGTCAGCGCAAGGCAAGCTAACGTTAGCGTTTTAGCTAAAATGCGTGATCCGAGGATTTGGGTTGAGGGAGAATGCAACGAGTCGCTATATAAAGCAGCCGCAGCGCCCGCTACCTGCATATAAACCGTGTCACGGACACCCCCATGTTGAAATGACGCTACGCATTACAAGGCTCCCAAGGGCAGATAAGAGTTGGTCTCTCTCCGAGAATAATTATGAATTTAACAATGATTACTGCCTGATGACATTTTCCCACATCTGCAAAGCTCACTGGAACACAAACCGAGGACAATATTTTCGTGATATAGGGTTTATTACTCAAGTAAGGGTAAAAAGTATCTGATTAGAAGGCTACTTGAGTACTGAATATCGTCTGATCTAATATTTTTAAATGATGACATCAAACAGACAAAAAATAAGAAGTTATGGGCAAATATTGGTATTTTAAAGACTAAAGGGGAAATATGTAAACAAATAAACAACATAATTACAAAGTAACACATTTTAGGCTAAATTTAGGCAGAAACTAGGACAATATTTTCCTGATATACAGGGTTTATTTAGTTGTCTGAAAATGTAACACGTTTAAAAAAATACCGCGATAATACCGAAAACCGTGATAATTTTGGTCACAATAACCGTGAGGTTAAATTTTCACACCGTGACAACCCTACTCCAAACCAATCAAAACCAGACTTGGCATGCTACGTCACCAGGCCCTCCCCTCTCAAACCAAAAGAGAGCGAGAGGCAGCCGCAGCAAGATGTCTAGGGCTGCCATGAATAGTCGACTCGTCACGACAACGCCAAAAAATAAAATAGACCTTATTTTATAAACAATTTTTTAAATCTCGCCCGCTGCGGCACGTTCGGCATTTGCTTCCTGCCTTTCTGCTCAGCCACCGCTTTAGCTCCGAGGCGCATGCGCAGTGGCGGCCATCCAGCTCAGCCTTCATCATCGGAGAAAGTGCCGAGTCGCAACATATCTGAAAAGTTTGGAAGCATTATACTAATTCAAAAGAAAGCCACGTAGTGCAAACTCTGCAAAGCGAAACTCTCGCTTCACAGGAGCACATCGGCGATGCACGAGCATCTTAAGAGGAAGAACAGAGTCGCCTCGGTAAGTTTACCTCTTGTTAGCTGCCAGCATCAAAAGAGTTACTTGTATTTATAGCTGCAGCAACACCAGCAGAGACGGTGATGTTGTTACCTTTAGAACACGTTTGAATGTCACGTATGTTTGCTCCAATTACAAACGCTAATGATTTGTTTACGGTCATATATGACAACAACTATCTACCAGGCTGGTCCCACTTCACCACCATGATGGAAAAGAAGAGTTACACAACTTTCAAGGTGTGTGTGTCGGTTTTTCTCTGGATACAAATAAAATAAACAGTAGAATAAAATGCATTTATGATTAAATAAAAAGGCAGCTGACTGAACAATCAATAAACTAATATTTTTAAAGCATAAAACATTTTCTTTGTGTTAAACCTTAACCTACTTGATTTAACAGAATTATTATTCTGGTAAATAAACTAACTTCAATATCTTTTATCTTTACGCTAAAGCAGACCCTCAGAGCTGTCGATGGTTCCTGACTGCTGACGTGGGGACCAGCCGTGCTACGGAGGCGTACCTCGGTGTGTCCTGCTATTTCCTGAGTGAAGATTGGAAGATGAAGCGCTTCAACCTTGCCATCATGCCTCTTGTGAACAGAAGTTTGTTTTTGGCTTTAGGTGCCTACCTCCATGTGGTTGTAGCATTTGTATCAACAGGTTACAACAAGTTAAACTTGTTTGATAAGCCATCATCTTGTCATTATTAGATGGCCCATAGCTGATCTCACTTCAGACTAGAAGCTAAAGATGGTATATTTGAGCATTCTGGTGCAATGAGCTAAGCTTTTATAAATGACATGATTGGTCGACTACTAAAATAGTCGTTTGTGGCAGCCCTAAAAATATTGCAGTGAGAAGAGGCGGAGAAAAAAAATCAAAATACCAAAATTAAAATGGTCAGGGGTGCACGCAAAATATTTTCTATAATTAAATTTTTTTTTTCAATAATTATCGATATTGATCAATATAAAACATTTTTTATTGATATACTTTTTTTCTATATCATCCAGCCCTATAAGCTGAGAAACTCCTACATCTGGGAGGGGCTCAGGTAGAGCCGCTCCTCCTCCAGCAACAGCTCTCCCTTGCGTGTGAGAGGTGTTTCTTTTCAACTTTCCCCACTTGTGACATCACAAACGGGGACTTTTTGAAACAGTTTCTTTTAGGCACAAAATTCCTAAAACCAATCACTGACAGAAAATGAATGGATGGGTTTTTGTCACATCTGGAGTTTTTATAGAAGTAGAGATCCACATAGCAATGCAAGGGATGCAAAAGGTTAGTTTGACATAAGTTCCCTACAATGGAAACCCGGGTAGATGTGACCGCAGGATGAAAATGCAACATGTGCTGTGTCTACACTTAAAGAGTTGTAATCCAACCAGGCTTAACTCAACCATCTGGTCTAGAGCCCAACTTGCTCAGCAAAGCAGAGAACTTAGCTTTGATTAGAAAGGGTGTACGAAGGCGTTACGCGCTGTAAAATGAAATTTCTCTTCCTGAGGATCAGCGTATTTGTGTTGGACCTATGGGAACTGGGCTGCATGAGTGCAACTGAATGTGAATAAGTGGGAACCTCCCAGAGTTACCTGAAGGTAGTCGGACTGAATTGCGCTGAGAAGGTGTTCTTTGCCGAGCTCGTAGAGAACATCAGAGGTGACGACCTGACTGAACTCCTCACACAGGAAGTGCATGGCCTGCCTGTGGACCCATTTGGAGCCGTACGGCTGGGAGCTCCACTTCAGGATGGGGACGAGGGAGTCCAGAGACAAACTTTCAATTATAATGTCTTCACATCCTGGGGAAGACAATGAGAGAAGATGTATAGATTCAGTCCAAAACACACGGTAGTTTTGATTGTTATTCACTGACCCGTTGAGTCTCCCTTTACTAGCCTCAACATTCACCATGCTGCGTTTTCTAAATCGGAGCACATACCAGAACAGCAGGCAGTGGCTTTACCCCGTAGCACACCAACCCACAGAAATGCCTTTGATACCTTGATGTGTTTCAGTCTCAGGCTGCCTCCCCTTTACCGTGTTAAGTAAACACAGCAGCTTGAGGAAATGTGCTGCGCACACACGCACACACACGCACACGTGTGTGCATGAATCAAAAGTGCATTAACAAGCCACAGAAGGGAATTATGTGCTCACTGCTCAAGTAATTCAAAATTGAACTGTACTTTTGCAAAAGCAGCCAACGCCGGCACTCCAAAGTCACATTAAATCAGGGGTCCATTCAAGAAGAAATAAAATAAGAAAATATCGAACAGCCTTTCGATGAACATAGAAATTGGTTTAGTGGGGCACGTTTGTGCCAATTTACAAGACAACACTTCAAAAGCTCTTTGCAAAAACAAAAAACAAAGACGAACGTTGAGTCAAAGCTGCTCTGAAATGAAATCCGAGCTAGCCCATCCGTCTATCAGCTCATCTTTGGGCCGGTAGCACTGCTCCTTGGGGGACAACAGAAAATTTAAGCTGCACTTCCGGCCCCGGCCCACTCCTTTGAACATATGCTCAGAGAAACTGGCTACCAGACTTCAGAGAGCGATGGCCCTGGTGATACTCCCCAATCTGAAATCCACACAAGTCATATGTGCACAATTTAAAGATCAAAACATGCACAGTTCAGTAACTTACAGGCAAATGAACCACATGTATAGAAACTTTGATGGATTTTTTTCTTTTTTGGCTTTATTTTACATAAATAAATAAATAAATAAATAAAACAAAGGGAAATCCTGCTTCATTAAAAAGATGGACCAGACTGCTATAAAGAGACAACATCTGTCTCTCCTCGTCCATCTCTGGTTCCTGTAACGATCTTTGCATCTTTGCTCATCTTTTGAAAGCAGACACAGAGGCACCCGCCCACAACAGCGAGCAATTCCCCACGTGGGACCAAAGGCACAGGAAAACAAACATCTTAACCGCACATTAGCCTATTAGCATTCACAGTGACAGCCCATCTTTTAAAACACATTTTAGGAAGCGGAGATAAGAATCAGCCTTAATTCTAACGCTAACCCCTGGTGCACATTTACTAGAGCTAGGCAGGAACAGCAACAGCCAGCCCTACATTCACTTTGGGGGACATCAAAAGTGTTATCTCCTAAAGATTTCATTCAATCACAAAAATACACAATGTCAGTCGGTGAGTTTTCCAGGACAGGAGTGAATACGCAAAAACCCCACGAGCTCAGAGGCGGATTTAAAAATGATTAAGGCTTTTAAGTCTGGTTATCGTTTGAGTAAGATGCAGTCCCTAAAAGGTGCACTCCGAGTTAGAACGTCGTACTTTCAGAGAAAAGCGATGAGAAAGCACACAAGGGGGGCAAACCGTGTGAAGATTAGAGCATTTTCACCTTACGAGACCCCCGACATAAGCCTCTCTGCTCCCCGCTGAGGACACCTGCAGTTTCTGATGTCTGACGAGGTGGGACGGACTCTGAAAAAACCTTAGTTCATAATTTACCGACAAAACTCTGGAAGATTTATCATTAGGTGGTTTGAGAGATTTAAAATGTCTGCGTAAACCTTTTAAGCCGCGTCTGAAAAAGATGAGGAGTTACAGAGCATCATGATGAAATGATGCCAGATCAAACCTAACGCACACTGAACATTTATGGGACAGGAGTGGATCTATGCAGAGCAGGAGGAAACGGAAAAGAGGATGACTCCATTAGCCGGCTTGCCTGATTTTATTGAGCATGATGTGATGTTTCATGCACATGTCTTATAAAGCTGATTGATTTTACAGCCTTCAGTCAATACGATGAAGCAGCTGTACCAGATAGAAACTAAGCATTTATAAACAATAAAGGCAAAATATGAACGCAAAATAACCTGTTTGCGTCTAGTTTTAGCACATTTATGCAAAATGTGGTGAATAAAAAGCTCAAAAGCAGCTAAAACATATTTAATGCATTTTGTATTAGCATGGTGTATCAGATTGGTAGTGTTGAACGCAGCTCTGTCTTTTCCACCACCTGAAATGCCATGTATGCACATTACAAGTGGCTATTAGCCTGCTAGCTAACAGCTACAGGCTATGGTGTCTGAATTCCAGCTTGCCTTAAACTGTGTGACGTTACGATGTTGAAACACGTTACGATGAAACACTGAAGTAAAAGTCATTTTCATTTAATTTTAACATCTCTGCATCAGGATGAATTAAAATTCATGCTTGTTGTTTTATTATGTTATAGCCATTCTTTTCTACTTGATTCCAGATCCTTTGATTGGGCTGGATTTTCAATCACATGATTGGATCAGAGCATCTCTACAAAGCAGGATTTTGGATTTTAACACGCTGCAGAGGTCACCCTTAATCAGTGGCATGAGTCAAAAACAAATAATAATCTGAGTGAAGCTGCATCAGTGATAAAATGTTGACAGCAGCACGAGCCAGCTGTCTGGCGCTGGGACGCAGCGTGTATCAATATGTTCCTGCACTAATACCACATAATATCCCTGTCAGTGGTGCTGTTTAACCCCAGTGTGATCCACAAAGCCACATGAGCATGACACAACTGTACGGAGGCAAAAGGAGAGAGAACAGAGTGTGCTTGAGCTTTCCATGCATTCATTTAAAAATAAGCCCAACCAGATATGACAATAACCAGCTACCAATTCTGACTGCATGGAAACAGACACTATAATTATGACAGAAGGAACAGGCCAATCAGGGCTGTTTATATTGCGTTATCACAGTTTGTGTTGAGGGTTTTCAGCAATTTGTGGTGGAGGCCTTGGCAGCGTGGAGACTTGTGACTGAGCAGGCAGGAAGGAATTATCAAAGAATGAAACCACACTAAAGACTGTGGCACGGTACGCAAACAGAGCGCAGCAGGACAATAAAATGATTTACCTAATTCACACACATTGAATCTCTGACGGGATGTTTTTTTTTCTCACTGTCAAACGAAAGATTCTCGGGACAGACAAAACAAGAGACTCGCAAATTAAACACGTGATTCTCAGTTGAGTTCTCCTGTAACACGACTTACCTTGAGCTAGCATGCTGAACTCCAAAAACAGAGCAATGTGGTACAGCTCCATGGCCTCTTCGGTGCGTGTGCTGGCGCCCCGGCCCCCTGAAACAAGGGCCTGCACCTCACCCAGGCTGCACGCTGAAGGGCTGCCGCGCAGCACCAGCCCGAGGTCGACCACATCGGTGTACATGCAGTGGAGAATGACCTGCACGTATTTCCGTGGGATGATGGACTCATCCAGTACGATCCGGGTGTGTGTGTGCAATGTGCGCTCTGTTATTTCCTCTCCTGTGCGAATGCGTCTCTGCAGAAGGTTTCTAAAGAAAGGGGAGCGTGCTGAGAGGATAGCCTTGTGAGCCCTGAGGTCCTCTTCTGGGGTCTCGGGTGCCCCACTGGCTCCTGAGCCCCCTGTTGGTGCTGCAGCCACAGCTCCTCTTTCATTACAGCTCTCAATCATCTCAGAGTCGGACGAAAAGCTAAGCAGAGCATCGTAGTAGCACATATAGTCAAACAAGCCCTTCATGTCAGCCTCCAGGGAGTTTGGCGTTCCAAACTCCTCGCTGAGCTGAACCAGTACATCCACATTTTGCAATCTGGTGTCCTCTGCTCCACCCACCCCGAACTCCCCCGTGTACAAGTAGTGAAGCAGTGCAGAGAACATGCGCACATCAATGCCAGCTGTGTCGATGTCCATGAGAACCTCTGCTCCGTAAACGGGAGACGAGGAAAGCAACGTTTTGAAAAAGGGGCAGCGGGCAGCCAGGATGGCACGGTGGGCTGGGAAACACGTACTCTGGAAGATCAGGTCGACATCAGTGCAGTACTTGTGCTGGTAGAGTGCAGCCAGATCCCGATGCAAGCTGGGGGCCTCAGCACGAGCAAGGCTGGCCTGGAAGCTCAGCTCCTTGAGCGCTGCTGTTCCCTCGTACTCCTCCACCAGGGCGTTTGTGTCGCGGACGTCCCAGCCCGACAAAAGTTCCCGCATCTGCCGTGCATGATCTGCTGAGCGGCTCGACTTCCTCCTTTTGATGAACCTCCGTTTGAGAGTTGCCAGACCGAGGCTTTTCTTCTTCCTGTCTGCAGGCCGCTCATGGCCGTGCTCCAGGCTATACAGCTTTGACTCCCAGCCATATCCCTGCTGAGAGTAAGATGAGGTACCTAGAATAAAACACAGAAAGGTTAGCATGAAACAGATTTGTTTTTAATATGTTCCGATTCCCTCCACAGAGGTGGCGGTTAACCATTTTACATGATCAACTTCTCTTCCATAATGCACTAAAGTCTAGGTAACCTTTAAGCAGAACGGACGGATTTCTGAATCTGAAAAGAAAAATAAATAGAAGCCACTCCCAGCGGTACTTCTCCATTTAAAAGTTCACAAATTCACCTTTTAAAACTGTCTTACAATTGAAATTCATTTCTCTTGCTGAAGTCCTTCTGTAGGTCAGACCAGCAGAAACACAACCTCTCTTTGGCACAGCTTAAAGTCCATGCACACACAGTGCCCTGATGCAGCCACCGAAGCACCTGGATCAAGTTCAACTGCAGAATATGATAGATGGAAACCCCATTTTCTTTTATTTTAAACCCAACAATGACTCATTACACAATAAAAGGCTATTACACATCTGTTCTACTTTGTACTCCTCTATAAATTTCCTCCTCTCAGATATTTAGGACGAGTCAATTACCCTAAATGGCGGTTATGAGACAGCACTGGTACGTCAGAGGAGCCTCTGCCAAGGAGATCCTCTCTGCCTGACCTCCTGTCAGCATCCATCAGTGTGACCCAAATAGTAATCATTAAAATCTGAATGATCTGTGGCCCAGGCCAGTTCAACTGAGCTACATTTGAAGCTGCATTACTTTCATTTAAAAGTCCACCCAAAACTGGGGCGTATGCATATTTGAGACAGAAATAAGAGTTTACATAAAATACTTGTTAGAATGAGTCTCTGAAGGAGTTCTCTAATTTTCCAGACACCATGAAGTCCAGAAGAAGATGCTACATCTATAAATCAGACAGTTCCTCTTTGTACAAAAATAATACCATGCCTCGAGAGTTTTTTTGTGGTAAAAGCTCCTCTTTCGGCGAGTAAAGGTTTGTCGGAGGGTGGAAAACGGCTGGACTTTGAGTCTAACTCACTGATTTTCTTCATATGCAAACATCTTGCATATGATTGGCTATCAGCAACGGGAGTCTTCCACTGCCTTTCGTCGCTCTTCTTTGTGTCACCTCCACTAATAACACCAGCCACATTTTGCCACTTTGTGGAGTTTCTAATGCTAACAGTTAGCTTCTACTAGCTGAGAGGTACTCTACTCCCTCTTGGCCACAAGATTTTAATACAGCTTTCCATGGCCACAAGCCAAGGCGGGCGAGTCCATGAATTTACTCTGCGACATAAGAAACTTGATCTTTCTGCACCAATCTTCTATTTTCTTTCTGTGGCCAAAGCAGGCGATAGGGTGAAGAAGATTTTTGCATTCAGCATCTATATTTGATAAGAACAAACTTTACACAGTTCCTCAGTGAACTAGACCAACACACACGTTAAGCAGTAAACAGCTCATTAGCAGCAGGTGCAGCAACAACCTGAAATGTAGCTCTACATATACAACACTCTGGCAATGAAAAGCAGTTTGGATGTTGGAACATTGGTTTGAGAGAGAGAGAAAGAGAGAAATAGAGAAAGAAAGAAATAGAGAAAGAAAGAAAGAAAGAAAGAGAAAAAGAAAAAGAAAGAAAGAAAGAGAGAAAGAAAGAGAAAGAAAAAGAAAGAAAGAGAGAAAGAAAGAAAAAGAATGAAAGAAAGAAAAAGAAAGAAAGAGAGAAAGAAAGAAATAAAGAAAGAAAGAGAGAAAGAAAGAAATAAAGAAAGAAAGAGAGAAAAAGAAAAAGAAAAAGAAAGAAAGAAAGAAAGAAAGAAAGAAAAAAGAAAGAAAGAAAAAGAAAGAAAGAAAGAGAGAAAGAAAGAAAGAGAAAGAAAAAGAAAGAAAGAAAGAAAGAAAAATAATGAAAGAAAGAAAGAGAAAGAAAAAGAAAGAAAAAGAAAAAAGAAAGAAAAAGAGAAAAAAAAGAAAGAAAAATATAGAAAGAAAAAGAAATAAAGAAAGAAAAAGAAACAGAAACAGAAAAAGAAAGAAAGAAAGATCTTATTTAGGTCTCGTACCACAGCTGTCACACAACTTAAAAATAAAGCGGTAATCTAGCACATGGCCTATATGATTACAAACGGACTACAGGCCTGTCCAAGTAGATGATAAATTTGCTTAAACACAAATTTGATAAGAGACTTCTTAGCTCAGCTGTTGAAAAACGTCCTTATGGCCACATGGCAAAGCGAGGTGCATGGCATGGCTTTTAATGCATCTGTTGCAGTGGCATGAGTCAGTGGCCCAGTTCAAGAGCTCTTTTGCACAAAATTATTCACCTCCTGCACCACCAGTTGCCATGGACGCAGGTTAATCTAATCTAGAGAGCGAGTTTGTCCATGCTAGACCCCCATTAGTGTGCATTTGGAAAATAAGTGGATTTACAATGAGTTTTATGTCACAATGTTTGGAAAAATCATGGATTCACTTATAAATGGAAATACATCAGAATAAAAGCTGACTGGTTCTCATTCTTCCATGTTTTATAGACACAAACTAACCAAAAAAAAACCCCTTTCAAAGGATATTGAATTCTCCCATTAGCCTAGAACTAGCCTTAATCCTGTTTCTGGGAAACAAGCTTTTAATGAACTTACCTATAAAAGTCTGCTGAGCCTGTGTATTCCCCCCTATGCGCGGGGAGCATGAGTGTGGATAGCTGGATCCATTGGCCCCCATCCTTATTTCTCATCACTTGCTACTTGGGGGTCCCCCCTCTTGCTGAGTCATTCTGCTCAGACCACGTATTCATTTCTAGCCTCAGTTGTGGGTCAGGCATGAATCCTCTGAAGCATCCTCAGAGCCCCGGAGCCAGGCTGCCATGCCTGGAGGGAACGGAGATAAAAGATCACATCAGAACAGAAATAGTTCAACTGAAAAACTGCATTTTTAATAATGCTGACTAACATCTCACTTGGGTTACAACACGTAGCCAGGAAGAGATAACGAATGGCCAGAGGCATCGATCAACAGAGGAACACCTTTTACTGTCCATCACATCCTTTTAGCCACATTGATTTTAGTGCAGTGATCAATCATAGCTGTCCTGATTGTTTTAAAATAGCAACAACTGTATTATATAAGCTGTAGGTTTGGACCTTATCTGATCTTAAACAGCAACTTCACAGAACAGAGACTTCCTCTTCCTTCCCTCAGGAAACTGATTGCCAGTCGACTACAAATCAAACACAGATGTAGCTTTGATGGTTTCAACAACAAAAAAAGGTAAAACCAAGCACATTCCAGTTCTTTTTGGCTCATTTTAACAATGTAATAATTTGAAAGCTAATAATTAGCATGCTTCTTTTTTAATGTCAAAATAAAAAGTTAAGCTGTATTTTTTGTGATGAAGACACATCAAAAAGTTCAGAGTCCAACACAGATTCAGCTTGTGTCGGTGGTGAGGTCAGGGACTGACTGCATGCTTGGTAACAGGGTAATAGGCTTTGACTCCATGATTCTGCAGGGACGAGCTTGCTGACTCTTCTCTGATTGGGAGGTCAGGGTTTAAAACCCATCACTGCAACCTAAAGCAACCTTCATCTCCCATCTGCTCCAGGGGGTTCATCTCCTGGCCCACACGGAGCTCCGACCTCAACCTCCTATACCAACAACGTAAAGGCACGACGGAGGAGGATGTTTCTGAATTTCAGGAAAGAACCGCCCTTTCCACGTTTCGAAATAAATGCGCACAAGAGAGAACGCCGTTATCCTCGTGCACGTTTACAACTAGCTGCCGGCCTTGCAGCACTTCTGGCAGTAATCTGAAATGAAATTTTCCAAATAGCATGGCGAACTTTAGCTTTCATGTCAAGTAAAAAACCGCCGACAGAGGCGTCTGTGGGGAGCTCAACATTTGTTTTGCGCATGCACAGGAAGTGAGAACTGCCCAGCAACGAGCATGTATAATGACGGCCTTGCGTGAATGGTTCACCAGAATGATTGACGGTTATGCAAACCAATGGTTCAGATGATCCACCCGGAAGAAAAAGATCCTCATCTATACCTTTAAGGTAGAGATATAACACAGTTAGGTACTAACTGGGGTAAGTACATCGTACATACCCACGTATAGACCCTTTATTTACTTGTAAAGTATGGAAAAAGTTATTACAGTAAGTACGGAAAGTCTGTAAAGGGTAAATACTAGGTTATATACTAGGTTCTTGGTACTTACAGAGTGGTCATGGATGTTATACAGGGTATTGATTCAAATGTTAAGAATCGATTTGATTCCGATTCTCAAGGGTTAGAATAGATTATCACTATCCGATCCAATTCAATCGGTTCCAGTTGGACATTGATAGGGGTCAGTTCTATTAAAATGTTTTTATGCCTGTAATTCAATGATGCAACACTGGGTGAGTTACAGTTCACCAGGGGAACTGTAATAACCCTTTCACACCTAAACCTTAAAATGGCCATCAGGACTTTACCTTCCAGTTTTAGCCGTACAAAGGCAAACTACGTTAAACAATTAGATCAATTTTTGGACTTATGAATCGATTCAATTCAATTCTTGGAATTTTTATAAGAATTGATTCAGACCATTTTTTTTTATTTTATCAACACAGCACTACTAAAAAGTTATGAGCATGGTTTTTATGGGGGTATGAACTTGATAAGTACCCCTATAATTACCATTTGCATACCCTTGTACATACCATGTATAAATCCCACAAATACTCAGTATTTAGTGTGTACACAGCCCTGTAAATACCTAGTATGCCTCGTACACATAAGGCTGCTTTATGTTTTTCACAATGTGACCAAGAGAAAACACTCTTCTTCTTCGCTCCGCATTTGTGGTTTTATCCAGGCCTCCAGCCTGATCTGGAGGGATTTATGAGCAAGAAAAAAAAATTTCATCCATGTAATCTTACTTTATATTTTTAAAGACTCTGCATCTCGAAAAAACTAAAAATGTTTAATCCTTTCTGCAAATGCTTGGGTGGCCCACCATTTGGTAAGGTGACCAATTACAGAAGCTGTAAGGAACGATTATCCTGTATTTGTCAGCCACAGTATCGACATAGGCACGCTCTGCGGGTCTCATGCTCTCACTACGAAGAAAACAAACCATAAATTAACTAATCAAGCTAATGGCTGCAAATGGACAAAACAGCTTTGATTTATACAAGCAATTAAACTCAACATGAACAAAAAAAATGGTTGTTTCCAAAGCAGAGGGAGACCAGCTTCATTTTCAATGTACTTCCATAATTGAGGAGCTTTAAGTGAACCCTTATAGGTTTTATTTGAATATGTAAAAACAATTCTAGACATTTAAAGATCTGAGTGTTTTGTGCATCTATACACATTGAGTCTATTTCTGTGAGAGCAGACTGAGAACCAAACTGTGATGCGAGATCTGTTTTATCTCAGCCTGCTAGTTTTGCCTGCCTACCAAACTAATAAATCACTGTGTCTGCCCCTGTGGAGCCGCCCTCCACAGCCTCCCGAGGGTTGGATGGAAAACCACAAACTCGTTCTCCAAACAGACACACAAAAACATTGGATCAAAAAGAAAAAGTTTGGATTTCAAACAATCTTCTCGAATAAGTGTGTCGTCAGATGGAATTTATTTGAACAAAATTAGAACGTGATTACGTAGACGGAGAAAAAGAAGCCCCAGAGATACAGATACACGCCGCCTTATTTACAGAAGGCGGCGCTGCTGGTGGAGACCTTCAAAGGAGAATAGAGACAGATGAAAAGAAAGTCATCGACAATTCCCTGAGCCAGGTTGCTCCAACTCACTCCAATGAATGAACCAAATTTAACTTCAGCAGCAATGCAGGGTTCCAAAAGCACTATTTAGAACAGCCATTTCCTTGAGACCTGATGCTCACTGTTCAATAAGAAGCATCTCAACAACCACATGCTCTCAAAAACTAAACAATAACACACTTTTCTGTCGTTTAGACCCAAACAGTGAGCTGCAGTGTAGCAGACGGAGGGGAAGAAAGACGCCGGCAGAGCTGGACTATGCGTCTCTAATGAGAGGTGGCAGGAGACACTCCCTGCCCCCCACCTATCACTCTGAGAACACACACACACACATGCACTCTTTCAAACCACTCACCTTGAATAAGTCATTTCTGCTGTTTTATTGTTCTCTTTAAAAAAAGTAAATAAAGTCACAAATTTCTAAATAAAACTAATCAATAGATATGATCCCCTACAAAAATAAAATACCCGACACAAAGACGAGTCAAATGCATTATTCAAATGACTCAGAGGCCACCATCAATCATTTATGTGGATTATGGTTCTCATTGCCTGAGAAAATGGAAGATGTAGGCAAGTAAGCTTCCTCCCCTGAATGTAACACAACATTTCACTTCCATATAGCACTTAAAGGAGGGGTAGGAGATGTTTTTTGGAGCATTTTCCCCACATTGCTTTAAATGCACTTCACAGCCCAATAAAAACCAACAATCTTTGAAAAACCTCATCCAATCATTTTGAACGTTGCGTTCTAAAGTAGGAGCAGTTGAACAAGAAGCAAAGCCAGAGTCGGGCTAGCTATGTTAGCTAGCATAAAAACTTGTTTTACGGTTACGTAGCCTGAGTGGAAGCAGCAGACAGTGGTTCCAAAATAATACGAACAGTCCTCCCCACTAGATCTCAGATCTAGGTCCCAGTGGATTCCCTCTCCCTTAAATTTTCATTGGGAAAAAAGGTCCAGAGGACTCCTGACCGGCTCCGGACTCTGAGGAGTCCGTCACAAGCCAAGATATGCCACAGACATTTTTAGGTGCGTTATATTGGGATTTATGGCAGGAAAAGTGCAAATTATGTTATCGTTTTATGACATTCACTGTATTCTAGAGATGAGGCTTAGAGGGGAGGAGCCAGAGGAAAGGGGGCTGGACCTTGAATTGTGTTTTTTCAAAATGTAGCTAGGCTGAACGGCTTTTTCCAGGAACATCTACCCTACCTTAAACTAGTACTTTCCATACAGTTGAACTAATTTTTTTGTTCACCTTTTAATGAACATCATTACTGGGCTCAATGGCAAAGACGTCGATTTCCAGAACAATCACTGAATCCATGCCACTATCAAGTTGCGTTAACCGTAAAAAATGCTGTCCAAACACCGACAGTACAGCACAGAGCTCCACCACTCTTTCAGTTTTTCACATGGACAACTACGTCTTTTTCCAAAAAGGGTATCCCAATAGCATGCTGGCTGTATTCTTTGAAGAATTAACAATTTATCTGTAACAAAAACCTGTTACACGACCTGTGAGGAGATGTGACCTTTGCAAAGCCACCTCTACTAAAATAGACAGTAATTATAGAATGTTTGACTCTGGAGATATTTGATCCAGAGGTGCCGTTAAAAGGGGGAGGCATAACAACAGAATACAGCAATGCGCAGAAACCAGAACTTTCCAACAAAGAGTGACCTGACCTCCATGGTATTGACGCGGCTATGCACACATCCTACAAATAGACTCCAGGTGGATGAAAAGCAGTATCAAATACCCTGAAATGATTAACAGGGCAACAGTCAGGAGCAGAACAGAAGAATCCGCTACACTTTTTGCTAATTGAATTTATCAGGCTCTAATCAGGCCAGTCAGCTCATAGCAACCAGATAAGCCAAACAAAGCGATAGGAAATGAGAATAAGTTAGGAGCAGATAACATACTAAAATGAGTGAAACAGATAGAGGAAATGATGACTCACAGTGAATAACCTCTGGATTAGCCTGTGTCAAACAACAGCATAAACTGTGGTACTGCTGAATATTTGACATTTCCCTGACTACGCGGTCAGCTGATTACATTTAGCTCCAGAGGCAATTATGCTCAACCCAAACAATGTAGATCACCCATTCTGTTTCATCAGCTGCATTAACACTTGGCTTCTTTTCGACCTTTTGTTATAAGACAGAAAAACAAAAGAAAGAAATAAGCATCACTCTCAGGGATCTGCACACAAATCAGCACTGAACAGGAACATCTTATCAACGCAGAAGTGCCTACAGACAAGAGACTACACAAACACAACCTGGCAGTGGATAATCAGGGAATGAATGAGCACATAGAAAATAATAAGTGCTTATTTTAGGAGAAGTATCAATTCTCCTTATTGTGTCCTCCATCTAACTGGCCAGAGTGAACTGCAGTCAGGCCAAAGTCCAGCTCATTCAGTTACTCGCTGTATGCCTCTCATGCCACACATAAACCTCTAAGCATGCAACTTTAATAAATGCATGCTACTGCACATCCCTGGAGCAGGACACAGATACCTAACCAGGTAAAAGGAGAAACACAAATGATGAGTTTAACATTTTCCAAAAGATATGAGATAAAGAACCACCTCGCTCAAGGTGACAAGATTAAGAAACTGCTGACGACTATCCACAATTAGTGAGATTACTGAAGGATTATCACTGTATGCACATGGCTCCTTATCACTCAGTGAAAGAGAATTTTTCTTGACTTGGCTACAAAAAGATGTCATTTAAGTGATTAATAATGTAGAAAGAATGTATTTAAAATGAGAAAAATATATTTAAGCCTACATCTATAATTCACACTTAAAATGTAAATGTGTATATAATCTGACTGCTGTATCACTAATAAATCCTAATTAAGACACGCAGATTAAAGTGAGTTTATTCACCTAGCAGGCTGTCAACAACTATTTCATATGGAGGAAATAACTAGCAACATGTAGGTCAATCTCCAAAGTAAACCTCTAGAATCATAATGAACTTTTCTGTTAAACTGGAAACCTAAAATGTAAAGACGCGGTCTTTTCCATGACATTAGAATAAAGAAATCAATAATTTGCAAAGGCTTTGTTAGCTTAAGGAGCTATTGTCGCTCTCTGGACTACTGAGCTACCGCTGCTAAACGGAAGCCTGCGTTAAAAGTGCTTCTAAGAGGAAATAAATACACAAGTAGACCGTTTCCTCCTGAAGATAAACATATTTAGTGATTTCCAAACATTTTCTTTTATAACCCAGACAGAGAATAGTCCCCAACAGCCCTGTAATTAGTAGCATATCTTCGGAGGCTAGGCTACCTCTCTATCGCTTTGACTTTACCCTTCGGAAACAAGAATTTACTTCAAGCAGGATGGGAAGCAACTGTTGAAAAGCGAATAGTCAACGATATTTACCCGAAAGCGAAGACCTTCGTGGGCATCATTTTTCTTCGTATCACATCGTAGTTCCAGTAACACTGTGATCTAACTTATCTGTGGCAGACAAGAAAAAAAATGCAGCTCAACACCTTCTTTTTCCAACTCTGCTCATTACGCACGGCTCGACGTCAGCGCCCAACGTTAAAAGCCCGATATGCAATAATTCCCCGCTTGCATCGACTTTCCGGGCATTTTTCTGCATTTACCTCGACTAAGAACTAAACCAGAACCATTATTATTCTCGGTTCGGTTCTGTATTCCCCCCCAGAGTGTAGCACAACGCCTTGTTGGGTGGTTATTATGGCCTATCCCAAAGCAATGATTTTAAGTTACCATACATGTAATAGAGACTTCCGGTAAAGATTTTCAAAGTAAAACACCAATTGACTATTTATCACTATATTAAAAATTTATCTGTAATGTGACAGAAGGATATTGCACATGGAAAACTCTTAGTTACAAAAATCTGTTGCTATTAAATTACAACTGAAAATGAAACAGCAAAAGATGCTCTTATTTTGGAGGCAAAACAGTCTGCTTCCTGTGCAGTCTGCTTGGCTAACGTGCGAAGAGGACCGTCAGTAGTTTGAGCAGATTGTGCAATAATTCATTCGCGAGCGCCCTCTAGTGGTTTTACGGTGAATTTTATTATTTATTTATTTATTTATTTATTTATTTATTTATTTATTTATTTATTTATTTATTAAAAACGGGTATTTATTTAAATGAAAAAAACTCCTCAGTTATTTGAGACAGTCCTGTTTACAGCTTTTCATGTATTTTAGTCTAATTGTCATCATCATTGGTATTATTAATGCATTTGTATTTAGAGTCAGGAACAGCATATGCAGCGTATAAAATTAAGAGATGTATGCATCTACTTGCTGTTTGAATAGGACCGAATTTTAGGTGTAATGTTCCCTCAAATAAGTATTATGAAAGATTTAAAGTAATTAAACAAGTTCCTTTAGTATCCTGAGGAGGGCGCCAGAATCCTCCTAATTTGAATCCATCCCCCTAACGAGCAACTGTGATTAAAAATTAAAAATTTTAAATGCAAGGTTTTCACGTTAAGGTACATTTTTGCAAATAGATAACATAAATGGCAGTGGTTTCTTTAAATCTTCAGATCTGGTAAAGTAAATGTTTGGGTTGCATTTATGGCAGGTGGGTGTGGGTCCTATTCAGCCAGAGTTTCGGGTGAGCTCATTGTGAAGCCTGGCCCCACCCTATCATGTGAATTCCTGAGGTCAGATGGCCCAGGATATGCGTGGGCATTGAGGCATCTGGGAAGGGATCTCAAAACTGGATTATAGATGGCAGACAGTTGGTGTCATAAACCACCGCCTCTGTTCAAAGATGGTTGCTTACAGTGGACATAAATGGCTTCCTTTACTCCTCTTTCAAACCATCTGTCCTCTGTCCAAAATGTGAATAGGGCCCACACCCACCCTCACACCTTGGCTCATGTGTTCATGTAGAAGATCATCAGGGGGTCTTTTGTTCCCTCTTTGGGGGAAACTCCCACTGGGTTTAAATCTGGGACTCTCCACCATTTGACCTTAGAACTGAAGAAGCCTCTCGGATGAGAGGTGAAACGTCTTCAAGCAACTCAAAGAAGTCCAGACGCTTTTCTTTCAAAGCTCATTAGACCAAAAAATGTAATTTCTTGTTTTCAACAGCTTTTTTTCCACAAGTGTTTCTTTTCATAAAATGATTTAGGATGAAAACAAATGTTTTCTATGTCACATGATCTTTGTTAAATAGTCTGAAATGGATCCGCACAGGCTTGACAACTAAAATCACGCATTTACTACAAACTCAGGCTGTGCTTTATCACTTTTTGATTTTATTTTCAGAACAGTGACAATCTGGAAATGATTCTATTCAAAAGCACACTGTAAAGAGGCGACTAAAGTTCAGAACTCCTGTTTAATATCACCTTTTGATGCACTCAAGACAAATTTTGCTACAATGACAGCTCCTTCTGTATATCTACTGGAGCTCATTTGGTTGGTGGGACTAACTCCTCCCAAGAAAAGTGATGCAGCATTTCACAGGATGTTTGGAGGACTGGAGAAGAAAAATTTCCTTTGGGCCAAAGAGACCAGCTGAAAGCTGACCCAAGAACGATGTCCCATGTCTTCAGGAGCCCCACCATGGCCAGGCTGCTTCTGGTGAAAGCCATCCATCAGAACCACAACTCAACCATATACAGCAAGCCACCAAAAGAGAAGATCGGGCCAATGGTGAGACCTTGAGTTCATTCTGAATATAAATGGACCTGAAACAAAAGCAAATGTGATATTTTTACCTGAATTTGGTTCGTAACATAAAATAATTTCCACTCTAGGCTCTTTGATGCAATGAAAACTCAAAGTATAAAAGGGAAATTCAGTCCTACAGGGCCAGTACTTTCAATACCTCACTTTATTGCATGTAATGCGAGGAATTCAAGCGAGCATTGCTCCGTGGCTGGTGGAATGGAGGGAGATGTTTTATTCATTCTGTATCCATAAGTCAGTGTGAAGCTCTGGCCTCTGGAAAGGGATCCAATGATGGAACTACAACACAGCAGCCAGCATTTATACTGCTATAAATCTGCTGATCTGTCCTCAGGGACACGCACCAAGGGCTTTTACAAAGCACGTCTCAGGTTAGGAATACCAGAGCGGAGAGAGACACTGAATATCATGGCAGGAAGATTTAAAAATAGGGGATGCTGTTATATCAGCTAGTGAGATCAGAACCTGCTGCTGTTGACTCAGGTGTTCAGTCTGGTCTGAAAGCATTAATAATGAGCCATAAAGTGTGATCCAACTGAATATCTCTTAAAATTAATTAAAAAGATGTTGAATTACAAAATAAAAATGTATTTTTTAAAAACTAAATACTCATGGAAATCTTCTCTGGGACTCTCTCCAGCAGTCTGCCTTTGCCCTGTCTGCGTTTGCTGTGGTGCTTCTGGTCCCGGCTGGATGGATTCTGCATCATATCCCAGAGTATCGACAGAGATCACCTCAGCAACCTTAGGTTTGGACAACAAAATGAATAAACCTTCAAAAAAACAAATCCAACTCTACTTTTATGAAGCTCTTACTTAGAAGAAAAATGATGCTGATTTTTTAAAATATAAGAACATTTATAGTGTTTTGAGTTTGTTGTTTTTCATTAATTTTTTTCTTCTGATGCTTAAAATGTTTTGAATTAATTGATTAACCCTTTCATGCATAATGGTCACTACAGTGGACAGGTACTCAAAATTGTTATTTATTTATTTTTTGCTATTAAGCACAGCTGTTGAAGACTTTATTGCATTCGAGCCCCTCCATTTGGACTTCAGTAAGTCAAGCCAGCATATTTCATGTTCAGAACCCACGCTGTCCACTGAGGTGGACATGTAATAAATTATTTGTAAATTATTAAATGTTACAAAAGATATTTGTTGAATTTTGTTTCATTCACACCTAAAGATGAATGAAAAAATGTTTTTAAAAAAATCATGGTTGAAGATTTCATAATTAATGCATCGAAGGGATAAATGAAGCATGTGAAGGCCGAGGATGTTGGAGGAAAAGATGGAAACTGAAGATTTTGAAGATTAAGGATTAATAAAACTGCTAAATAAACCTCACATTGAAAAAAACTGATTTGAAATGATGATTTTTTTCTACAGCTCAGCATAAGACCAACAGAAACGTCTTCATTTAACACGAAACAACCATCTGTTGCATATTTATTTATAATAACATACGGTACAGCTAATAAACGCTGGTCTGTAACATCCCCTCCTATGATCGGCTCAGAGAGCACTGATAGGGTTGTTAGAATTGATGAATGACAATTTGTCAAAGCCCGGATCAGTCCATTTGGAAAGGTGCAGCTGAGTCAGATTTCTGCTGAATTCCTCCCCACCCCGGGAGAAAAAGGATAAAAAAATACAAAAGAAAAGAAGATTCATGAAACAGGTCCTTTTTTGAAGTTATGTTTGAAAGATTAAAAAAAATAAACGACGCAACCTGAAGCGTAAAATCCGTGATCCGGGAGAGGAGAGTGGTACAATCAAGCCGAGCCAGGGCTGGGTGATGCGAAGGTGGAATACTCACTTTTTCACGACTGGGAGAAACACAACACCGGGGAAAATAAAACACTAAAATAATTCACAGTCTGGGGTTTATGTCTTCCGACGCTTCTGCGAAATGTCTACGAAGGCAGAGCAGTGTAAGTACAGCTGTGTGTGTGTGTGTGTGTGTGTGTGTGTGTGTGTGTGTGTGTGTGTGTGTGTCATTTTTATTCCATGTTTGATGTATGGAGACTGGGAAATGGGGGGATTTTCTTTTGAGCAGTAGTAAAGGGGAGCTGTCCTTGGTGATGAAACCGCGGTGCCAGAGCAGGTTGCAACACGTCCGCCTCTCACTGCAGAGGGTAGCTGGAGGTCTCAGCGCGCGCAGAGCCGCTCCGTCTCCCTCCAGGCGGTGCATTTACATCATAAAGGAAAAACAGGGACAGCTATTGTTTTATTCCAGTGTCAGATATTTATGATTGACGTGGCTGGAGGAGGCTCGTGCAGAGCGCGAGATGCGAGGTTCGTCTCAAGGTCGAGCTGACGGATTTTTGAACCAAACGACATGCTGCACTATGTTGATCAATAATCTTTATTTAGTCGGTATAAATCTGTTATTATCACCTCCGTTCCTCTGATTGGTGCCGAACAGGTGGACATCATGTGATTCCCTCTGTTTTCAATGAGCTAGATGGGTTTTTAGATTGTTTAAAAGTGAAATGTTGCTTTTATTGAATAAATAAGTGGAACAGCCAGGCTAAAATGCATCAAAACGAACAAAAGGGCTTGAAATCACCAGTGAACAGCGTCGGAATAAAAGAGTTTAAAAGCTGTTCTTGTTTGTTTATTAAAGTCTAAACATGCAAGAAGGGTAATTGTTTTCTGTTAGGCAGAACCTTCAAGCTGTTATTTTCAATTAGGAGGTTTGTTGTTTACAGGTCAGAGAGAAAAGTAAACACCGCTGTCCACAAATCCCAGAAAAGGGGTCAGCTTTCCCCCAACTTATTTTAACTGTTAGTTCTCTGCTCAGAAACAACATCCGCCTCCAGGGATCAGCTCAGCAGAAACATCTCTCTGTGTCACCATCAACCGGAAAGACAGACCCCCCTCTTTCATCTTCATTCAGTCCATATTTCCCAGCTTGTCTTGGGACTTGAACTGGCAACCTTTTGTTCATGAGCTTGTTTCTGCATGCAGTAGGTTGCTGGCTCCTTCGGGGCCACCAGTGACCTCACTGCTACACCATAAAGGTCACCTGGTGGAGGCCTAGGAGCCATGGGAACACTGAATGTTTGCTTAAGTTGTTAATTATAAGCTGCTGAGCGGCACGTATGGATCTGAGAAACACACAGAGCACTGGGCCTTTTTAATGTGTGCTTACAGGGCTGTATAGAAGAATTTCATCTCCCAAAACCTGCATTTGGTCTATTTAAGGGTTTCAGATTAGCAAATTAATTTTTAACATCAAAGACTGTCTGAGTTTTATGTGATTTTGTATACTTGGAAATATACGGAAGAGGATCATGGCCACTGAAATGAAAAAAGAAAAGCAAGAGAATTTTGACTTCAATCTCAGAACTCTGACTTTTTTCTAAGGATTTTTATTAGAATTCTGAGATTAAAGTCAGAATTATCTTTCTTTTCTTTTTTTTCAGTGGCTCTAATCCTCTTTCGTAGTACAAAGCTGTGAAAATCATGTAGAAAAGTTGTGATCCTCGTGGTAAATCGTTAACCATTTTTTCCTTAAAAGTTGAGATCTGTTTCAGTCTGTAGAGAAAATCAATTCTTCCATAAAGTCTCTGACAACAGGAAGTAGGCTAAAAGAGATCTAAATTTAGCCCTGTTCTATGCAAAAGAACAACATCGAAAGCACTGACCAGAGATTTCTGAGATCATGACTCAACAATGAGGAATATACTTGGGGGCAATAATGTCATCCATGCTAAAGTCCTGAAGAGTAAACATACCCATCTCACATTTGTCAGTTTACAATTTGATGATCTCCAAGACTTTTGGGAATCAACAGTCAAACACGGTGGTGGGAGTGTGATGGTCCGGAGCTGCTTCTGACCCTAGATGATTTGCTTTTATTTATGGAGCCATGAATTCTGCTTTATATCAGACAATCCTGCCTGGAAAAAGATTTGACCTTTGACATTTAAGAGATTGTTGATGTTGGAAAACCTGTTAATGTGAATGAAATAAAACAATTCTGCAAGAAAGATTTCAGGCCACATGCTTGTAGTTGCTGCTACCATGGGAGCAACAACTAGTTGAAAGTGGAGTGAATGTTCTTGGAAAAATATGTGCAAGCAAGCAAAATTTAGAAAAATATCAATTTAATGGTCCAACTCCATTATTCAGGCTTCTCGCCCAGAGTCACATCATCTGATGGTCCCAGAAAATTATAATAATATAACACTGGATGCAACAGATACTGTCAAATAACCATAAACACAACATTATCTTGTGTTTTTGTCTCGTTGTTGGCACTTTGCCATAATTCCTAATTTAGCTAGTTAACCGTATAACAGTTTAGCATGCTAGCTAATATAGTGAGTCTTTTCAAGGTGAAAAACAAGGCAGTTTTTAACTTTCTTGGGTATTCTTAACTTCTAAATCACAGCAGCTCAGCTCCGCCAGCAATCTGGAACCTCACACACACACACACACACACACACACACACACACACACACACACACACACACACACACACACACACACACACACACACACACACACACACACACACACACACACACACACACACACACACACACACGGGTTAGGCAGACAGCTCTGCCGACTGATAAGAGGGCAGGCTGTGTCCACAGACAACAGGTCCGTCACGTAAATGTTTCCCAGCAAGAACAGAACCAGACTCTAAGCAGAGCATGTGAAACAACTCCTTGAACAAACTTTGCCAACAGAACGTTGCATTTGGTCCGTTAGCTTCATTAGCTAGCTTGGCTCTGACTTCTCTTCCTGTTTAGCTGCTCCAAGCCGAGAACGCGCCATCCATTCTCAGAGATGAGTACGTGCAAAGGTGGGAAGGACGGTCAGAAGGCAGTTTGATGGATGGATCAGGATTCAATCATTAAGAAAGTGACGTTCGCAATGATTGGATGAGATTTTCCCAGGACTGTACATTTCAGAGAACTTTAAAATGATTCCTTAAGTTGACAAAACATTTAATTTATATGCTGCTCTCAGTATATGAAGCATTTCAAGCATATGGCAAAAAGTACTCCACAAAAACTACTACTACACATTCAAAAGCTTTAGGGTCAATGACTTTTACACATTGGGCCATGATGGCTTGGGTTGGTTTAAGTGAAACAACAGTATGAAAGCTGCATTATGTATTTACTCAGACTGTTTAATCTGATATTAAAATGTGTTAGCTGATGTAAAACATTTCAGTGTGACAAACAGAAGGGGGAAAACTTCATTACAACATTGTAAATGTGATTTTTGTTTGCACTTTTCTTTAGTCCTGATCGGCTTGTCACTCTGCTCTTTATTTTGTCCAGTTGCCTCTAAGATTCGATACTTGCAAGAGTATCACAACCGTGTGCAACACAATATTTACCCCGTGCCCTCTGGAACAGACATTGCAAACACACTGAAATACTTTTCCCAAACCCTGCTCAGGTAAGTGCCCGGCTCCGGAGTCACCAGGTGAAGTAACAGACTGTAGAATGTTTCACAAGTAGCTTCCAGACAAGATCAAACACAAGAGCCTCTGACACACTTCATCAGAGGAAGGGACACACACATATCTTGGACATCATGTTTGATGCATCACATGCTCAGATGGCTAGCAGTGATGTTTACTGGTTTCCTGATAAAACGTCTTTTCCAGAGGGACATACGAAGGGGCAGGTCCTTTAGCTACGCAGCTGCAGGGTCAGCCCGCTCTCTTGGGTGCAGCGAAAGCTTACGGAAGGAACAGCATGTTATTTCCTCGAGTAGGAAGCACTTTTATGCACGTCTTACTCCATAATTCCCTTCCATTTCCTTGTTTTCCCTTAACATTTAGAGCTTCTTCCAACAGAGATAGGGGCTTTCCAGTTGGTTTGATCCAGTTTAATCAGAAAAGCTAGACTGCCTTTTCTTATTAGCTAATATTTGTAATAATGATCCTGGAGGGTGAACTTGCATGCCCCACTTTAATTGTTAGTATCATCTTATGGAGCAATCTATTAGAGATTGGCTGGCCTCAATTCCACATTTTATTCCTCAGCCCCATAGGGATTATTCCTCCACTGGAGGCTAGGTATCCTGGATGCTTTATGCTTTGGTGGAGGGAAGCCTGTCCTACTCCGACAGCCAGAGCGCCATTTGAAATGTGTTTTTATTCTGTGGCACAGATTGAGTGTGACAGGGGCTGCAACTGCGGCAATCTGCGTTAACAGAAGTGATGATTTTGTGTCCGAGGGGTAAGAATGAGAAAAAGAATCATTCAGCATGATGCCACAGTTGCTAGAGTCTGCACAGCCTGTTAGCCTCAGAAATGCAGGGCAATTCACTCTGCTCACTTAGAGCGACCTGAGGTCCTCAGCAGGGAATCTGGGAACAACCGCACACCTGTGCCCTGAAAAGTCTGGAGTGAATAAAATAGGAAAAAGGGAAAGAGAGAAATAGATCTTTGTGTGGCAGATGAGTCTTTTTTTCTGGAAAGATACAAGGAAATGTCTAGTGGAGGTGGTGTTTGAATCGTAAACCAGTTTTAGGCTCCATATAGGTCAGATACTGATCAAAAAGAAGTTCATGCTTAGCCACAATTAGCACGCACGCACGCACGCACGCACGCACACACACACACACACACACACACACACACACACACACACACACAGAAGTGCAGTTTGACAGAAATGTACGTCATGTGTCTGTGTCAGTGCATTTCTACATGTGTTTTGTGTCGTTTATGTTTGTAAAATTGTCCTTTTGTATGTGTGTGCGAACATATGTGTGTATTTGTCCATTGTGTGTGTGAAAGAGAGAGAGGCTGTTTATGTCTGTGATCATTGTTCAAAAATGACTGATATGATAACGGGCAGTGAAAAAGTCACACTCTGAGATCCAGCCTGTTGTTGTGCTTTAGTCATGTCAGAGTTGTTTATTTTTAAATGAACCTAACCGACTGGAATCTTGCAGAGTGTGACTTTGAGGGGATCAGTCCCATGCTGATATAATAAGTTCTGCTGATGCATTTAGCGTTACCCTAAAATCCCCTTTTTCACTCGCCCCGTGATGCTCTAACTCAACTTTTTTGAATGACCTGTTTTGTATAAAAAAGACAAAGAAATACAGCGTTACATCTGAATTCATAATCTGGGCTCTGATGATAGATCCCAATCATTTTCCTGACAGTGCAGCTTAGCTCTTTGATATTGTGCAGTAAAAAAGAGCAATGCTCTCTGGCCCTCCCCCCTCTCCTTCCCCCTCCACCCTAGACGCTCCACACTCAACCCGACTAGTTTTTGCTTTTGTTTTCTCCCCTCCTAAAGTCCAATATGTCCACCACCTTCCCCAGGGGACAGCAAACACAATTGTCCATCCTGCATTAGCTCACAAACATAATGCTATCAGTCATCCCCCCCCCCCCCCCCCCCCCTCTGATACAACCTATTCCCTTTCTGCCATTACAGTTTCTCCTCTCTACCGTAGATTAGTCGTTACATTTATTATAGAAACCTGAATCCATATGCCTGTTGGATCTCATTATTTCTCCTGATGATACTGGTGCAGTATCATGACCAATGCATACGGACATTATTTCTCTGGTGCAATAAACATGTGCTGTGACCAGCGGAGCTCTTGATCTAACCTCACACACATGTTTATTATTGGCTCAAGCATGTTTCAAAAGTGTCACCTCTGTATTTTCCCGAACCAATCTGGTGTCACTCCCATCCTTGACAGCCCCACCAAAGACAAGGAAATTTCATTTTAAATTGCACTCCACGGCCGATTTGGCCATTTTTAAAATTTTTATTTGGTTGTGTGTTAGCCACCGACTTTGCTGATTGGACGATGGCAGCCATTGAGGGACAGTCCTTTGCGCTGTCCCTTTTTGGAGAAGTATGGGGTTGCCACTGAAAACATGCCATTTTTTATATTTTTGCTCCTTGTCACCAGATACGCATGAGATGCAGTGATCATTGCAGTTTGTGCTCATGTTTTTTTCCCCTTTGTTTGCCAACAAAATAAGACAAAAAAAAAACCCCAAAAACAATTGAACGAAAGCCACCCTGAACCGATGAAAGCAGGGAAACAAAAATTCCCCGTGCATCCAGTGAGACACTGCATCCTATGTGGGGTTTATCTGGGTTTGTTTTTTTCTATTTACGCTGTCTCTGTAGTGCCATTTCAATGTAATGTGCTGTTTTTTTGTGTCTTTGTTGTCTCTTTTTTTCCCTTGTTCCCCTCTCCTCAACCTCCCTCCCCTCCCCTCTCCTCCCCTCCCCCCTCCCACCCCCGGAGCAGCATTCTGTCCCGCACAGGCAGGAAGGAGAACCAGGAAGCTTCCAATTTGGCCGTGCCCATGACCATGTGTCTTTTTCCTGTGCCATTCCCACTCACCCCATCTCTAAGACCACAAGTCAGTTCCATCAACCCTACAGTTACTCGCTCCCTCCTTTACAGCGTTCTGCGCGATGCCCCGTCAGACCGCGGGGGGCAGGGGCAGCAGAGTCGGGACGCTCAGCTCTCAGAGTACCCCTCTCTGGACTATCAGGGCCTCTATGTGACCCTCGTGACCCTGCTTGACCTGGTGCCCCTGCTGCAGCACGGTCAGCATGGTGAGTCAAGGCCCAGTGCACCACTGTTTGTCATCATCATCCTCGAGCCGCCTGGCCTGCATGAAGCCACTGCTGCTTTTGTAACGGGAGGAGAGAAGTCCTGCTGAGGAATCTTGAGGGATGCATGGGGTGATTGGGAGCACGCTGGATCCTGTCAACTCTCATAAGCCATTGGACACCAGACCTGCTGTGTATCATACCTGACTGCATGTTTGTTATGCTAAGTGGGAAAAAGAAATGCTCAAGTTATGTTGTCATGTGCCGATTTAGACAAATACGATGTACTTTTTAAGGCCAATAGGACACTATTGCCACTGCTCCAAAGCTGCATCATAATCTTGTATTTTTCATGAATATCTGTTAAAAAGCTAAGTTTACAGCATGAAAACCCATCGTATCAACCAGATTTTTCTGTTGTTTTTTTTTTTAGAGCAAATGTTATCCCAGTAGCTTTCAACAACAGCCTACATTCAGATAGATTTTTTTAGTTTCCCGGTCTCTGTTAAACTACTAAATGTAAATTTCTGTAAATGTGTCACCTGTGGCTGCATACAGTATCTGTATACTGTATGCACGGCTGATTGAAGGCATGTTTGTGTGTCTCTCTTTGTCTTTTTTGTCTTCTCTTTTCCTTTCTCACCAGATTTGGGACAGTCCATTTTCTACACAACCACTTGCCTCCTGCCCTTTCTCAGCGATGACATTCTCAGCACTTTGCCCTACACGATGATTTCTACTCTGGCCACATTTCCTCCGTTCCTGCACAAAGACATCATAGAATACCTGAGCACATCTTTCCTCCCTATGGCTATATGTGAGTTTCAGTTCATCTAAAGATGCTGCTGAGTAAGTACGTAGAGTAAAACGTTCCCTTTTCTCTGATTTTCTTGTGAGTAGTGGGATCCACTCGGAGAGAAGGGGGAGTACCAGCTTATGTTAACTTGTCAGCGTCCTCTATGCTCATGATTGCAATGCAGTACACCTCAAATCCAGGTAAACTACCAGATTAGCTGCTTTCAGAGCACGGCAGCCAGCAGAAATGCTCTCTGCTCACTGTTAATTCTCTCCTCCCCTCCTAGTTTATCACTGTCAGATGTTGGAGTGTCTCATGAAGCACAAACAGGAAGTGTGGAAGGTAATTACCCTCTAATATAGACACTATAATAGGCAGGGATGTCCAGATTTTTTAAGGAAAGGGCCAAAAATAGTGACGTTAAATGTTCTTGACTACTAAAATGGGATTTTCTAAAATTAAAAAGAAGGTCAAAGTTTTTAATGGTTAGTTTTTTATTTGCACTGCACAAAATATAAGCATCGCATTAATAAAAATTAACTTATAAATGTTAAAAAAATTATCAGTCTACATTAACATCCTACTGATGACACAATTGCACAGTAGAAATGCAAATGGTGGGTCGCACAAAAGAATTCCAAGGGCTGCAAATGGCCCCAACAGCTAAGGTTAGGTTATATTAGCTTAGCCTAGCATTAGCTAAAAATAGCAGTCAGGGGGTGAAACACAGTGACATCACATGTAGATGCCCCGTAGACTGGCTTTGCCTGTTGGAGCTGCTGTAGTAGCTGGCTGCCATCTTGGATGGGTCTTCATTTGCCCCCAGTGCATTTATTACCAAGGAACGTGTTTACCTGACAAAAAAAAAAAACACTTTTCCTGAAGCCTTTTTCACAAAATAAGACATATGGTATGGTAAGATAATTAAGATATAAATATAATTAAACTGAATAAATTAAAATAATTTAAAATATAAAATTCCAAAGCTCTATCATAGAGAGTGAAGGACCCATCCACTATGGTGGCGACACTGTTACGCTCTCCAGCACCCAATGGGGCCTCTATAGTGAAACACACATAGATACCAGCACTTACAACTTGTCTAATGTTTTAAATTTGACTTAAATCTTCACTAATTGACAGTAAAGTAATAAATATGATTAACTCAAAGCATGTTGCTAAATTTTTGGGCATATCTACCAGTTTTGCTAGTAGAGGAGGAAGTGATGTTTTAATTTTGATCTGAACAGCAAATTGAAACAAAACGCTTTTTTTGTCTGTTGTGCTATTTATACATTAATGTTAAAAAACTTATGAGAATTCTGCAAAATCTTCATATGCAGCTTTGGATTTGGGGTCAACATAACATGAAAACAGACACGATTCAGCTGCAGAGACTCGGGAGCAAGTCTGAGTGAACTCAGTTTGCGTTTGCATTCACTAATTTTAATGAAACCTCTAAAATCCAGAAATGATATTCAGAAATCCCTCAAGCGCCCATGTTTTCCCTCATCAATATTTGAGCTTTCTTTCTCAGATTTTTTAATGCAGCAGTTTGCGTACATTTTATATTTATTCTGTATGCAGGACCTGCTGTACGTCATTTCTTACGGCCCTTCTCAAGTTAAACCTCCAGCTGTTCAGATGCTGTTTCATTACTGGCCCAACCTGAAGCCTCCAGGAGCCATTAGTGAGTACAGAGGGCTGCAGTACACAGGTAAGATCACCTGCGTTTTCTAGACAGATCAAATATTTAACCTGCCATCATTTTAATGTTTGTTCTCTCTATTGTTCAGCTTGGAATCCCATCCACTGCCAACATATCGACTGCCACAATGCCATCAATAAACCTGCTGTAAAGGTGAGTATAGCTGTGAAAAATCACAATAAAGACAGATTTTTTATTCTCTCCCTCTGAGAAGTTCTTAAGAAATACTTGGAGTTTGCCCTGTTGAGTTCAACCGTGTGTTTGCTTTTATTCGTCACTGTAAATAAATCAGCAGTGGGGCAGTGACACCAGCTGCTCTTCTGCTTTATCATCTCCACCTGCCTTTACTCAACTGTGCTCCAAACTGACAAATAGAGTTGGAACAGGGAGCAGGGATGAGGGCTGGATTTCAATTACCAGGAGCAAGAAGGCGACCGGGGGGGGGGCTTAATTGGAAGCGATGACCCCATACAGCCCTTGAGGAAAGGGTGGCATCAAGTGAGCGCAGTAAATTACAGCACACCATCTGAACATTGAGGCCACGAGCATTTAACGCAGAGCCAGGCAGTTTGGGAGGAGATGGAGTGCAGCATATGCACGCAGTCGTTTTTGCGATGGGTGAGAAAGCAGGTAAGGGTGTCATGTCGAAGCTAGGAGAGTTATAAGCAGTGCGTCTTAGGAGACAGGGTTTAAATTGCAGTAGACCATTTCAAAATTGTTAGTGCTTTTTAATGAAATGATCGATTAACAAGAAAACAACACCTGAATATTCTGGTTTCTTTTTCCAGTGCTAAATCCGTATCCTCTGTGTTACTTCTGCAGATGTGCATTGATCCTACTCTCTCCGTTGCCCTGGGAGACAAGCCACCTCCTCTTTATTTATGTGAGGAGTGCAGCCAGAGGATTGCCGGGTGTGCATTTGTTTTACTTCATTTCTTCAAATCTCATTCTATCGTTGCCTACTGCCTGCCTCATTATTCCTGTCTTAAACCCAGAGGAGGCACAATGCCATGGGTTATGTAATTTGCCAGTGCCACTAATGAGATCGTGATTGCAAAAACGTGCTAGCTTTTGATTAGCTTTCCTGCAGAATTTCACTATTACCATGCAGCTTTTCAGTCCTGCAAAGATGTAAAGATGTCTCTGTTGATCGCTTGTGCATGTGGTAGTTTATTTTTCTGTAAGAGGAGCATCAGTCATGCATTGTTTCAATATTTCTTTGACCTTTGCAGAGATCATCCTGAATGGCTCGTGGATGTCCTCCTGCCTCAAGGTGAGAACACATAAAACCAAAAACCCTGTTTGAATCTGAACGTTCTTTCAAATTCAAATTCAAATTCAAATTCAAATTTTATTTGTCACATACACATTCATACACAGTACGAAATGCAGTGAAATGCCTTACACAACTGCTCGTGACCTAAGAATTGAAAAAAAAAACTGTACACCACGGATTAAAATGAAGGGTAAATTTAACTGGGAAAGAGTAAGGTAAAATATATCTGAATTAAAGTTGAATAATAGAATAGCTTTACAACAAAATACACAATACAATACAAATTAGAATAAATGGTAAATTTAGCTGGGAAGGAATAAGATAAAATATATATAAGTTGAAGTTGAGAATAAAGTAACTGTACAACAAAATACACAGTATGTAAATGTATAAGAATGTATGAAGAAATAAAAATATCTGTACAAAACAGCGGCTGAACAAGTATTAAATGGAAATGAAAAAATAATGTCCAGAGTTGTGAAAACCACATTTTAGTGACTTTGTAATGCAACTGTGCTTAAGCAAAGCCCAGACTGTTCAGTGTGTGTGAGAACCATATGTGTGTGCACTTACTATGTGGTGGTGTGGTTTAAAGATCTTTCATGATATTTGGATTTTTTTTTCCTGCAAAAATTATTGAAAAAGTAAAAAATAAAGTTAAAAAGTGACCGTCTGGACGTTAGAACTCCATCTTAACCAGTTTACCTGGTTTTAGAGTCACTTTAATGTATTTGTGTTGATTTTATCATCACATAAAGACATTCAAATAGAAAATAGGTCATTCAAAGTGCCAAAAGACTCACTGATCAGTTCTTATATATGTTGTAAATGTTTTTTAATTGGCACACAACCGGCTTAACATAATTAAATAATTAAAAAAAAAGGGTAAAAAAAAAACTTGTTTCTCAAAATATGAAACATTTCAGAGAAAAAGTATTTCTTAAATAGTTCAATTTCTTTGGGTTATTTTCTTACCACCAAGTAATAGAGCTTGTTTTCACCTTCTCTGTTAATGTTTAAACTGTGTGACCACACATCACAAATCATAGGCTTTAATTTTGAGACCACAAACATTAGAAAATTAGATTCAAGGTTTTTTCCTGACAGAGACAACATATTCGACCCTAACTCTGTTAAACAGCTGATTTACTTGACTACGTGTCATAATTAACTTTGAGACGTACCTATTTCATTTTTACTGCAAGCCTTTAAATGCAGAAAACTGCATTAAAAGCTCATTTATATTTTGAAAATAGTTTTATGCTGTTTAAAATGGAAACGACTGCTTTTATTAGTCAAATTCGAACATTTCAAAACCAAAAATCAATCTAATGACAATTTAGGATGATTTAGTGCCTTCTAGAAAATGTCTTCATTGTTGTTTCTGTTCTCTGCAGCAGAGATATCAGCCATTTGCCAAAAGAAGGTAGGATCACTCTGCAACTCTTTTGTCTTTTACGGCAATTCTTATTCTTTTGCTTAGATTTACTGTGACAACTAGCTTGATCACACTGCCTCATCTAATGAATGCTCACATCCAGCAGGCAGGCTAACATCAGCTGTTCATAGTTTTCAAAAGTTTACCTGGGTCATGGGTCTGCTGCCTCTAAAAACACATAAAACACGAAAAAAGTTTTATGTTTTATGTCAGAGTTTGGTATTAGAAATGGTGTGCATAAAACAAGCCATTTCAAACAGTCCCTGTTTGTGATGTCACAAATGGGGATATTAGAATAGAACCACCTGTCATGTGCAAGAGAGAGCTGTTCCTGGAGGAGCAGCAGCCCTACTCCAGGCCCCCCCCAGGCCCCTAAGTATTTGTAATGTCTTTTTGCAACATTTTTCTTTATGCATGTGCATTTGCTTCTGTATTTGCATGCATATTTAGCTAATTATATTTAGTACATGCCACAAAAATGTTTTTTTCATGTTTTGCTTTTAATTTGTGATGAAGGTTTTAGATTTTTTTTCTATTTTTTTTAATTGTCTGTAATGTAGGAGGACCCACTCGAAAACGAGATGGCTCATCTCAAGTGGTTTCACTCTCCTAGAACATAAGTTGATAAATTAATAATATAATTAACATATCGGAGCTTCTCAGCTTATAGCAACCTGAGCGGGGGATGGGTGGGCGTGGCCAACTCCTGCTTGTTTTCTTGAAGTGACAGAGCCCTAAAACAGCTGATTCAAGGAGGTACTGAAACTGTCAATAAAAAACTGCTGAAATAAATGTATGTGAGAGAGATTTAGTGCAAAGAACTTCATGAACATGTTTGGTATAAACCATAGAACTATTATAACGTAAACAAACAAGCCATAATGTGTCTCCTTTAACATCACACGTTGAGGATAAAAAATTCCAAACACAATTTGAACCAAACATCACACAGATTTTATTTTGTGATCCATAACAAGGTCATTTATTCATGACATGTTTTCTCAGTTGGAGTTCGTTCACCAAAGCAGCTCAGCACAGACTCCTTTCTAATGAAGCTGCTGGAGCATGATGTTTATTTGCTGTTGCTCAATGCGCTGCCACAGGCCTACGTGCTCCCAGCTGGTTTCCAGGGAAACGCAGGGCAAACCGATCGCAGGTATTCCTGTCAGGCTTGTCCATGAAAGCTGCTGTCCTTAACCCTGGTTCTCTCAGGCGGTTTATAATCCTCCTGCCTGGAGCCAGCTCACTCTGAGAATCCACAACACCACTTTGATTTACACCTACTCTAGCATTAATGACTGAGACGTCCTTTTTCATCTGGGAAAAGCTGTCTATAAATAAACTAAAACAATCAGAACGGAGTGTTCTGTTAAACGCGGGTTTGGTTGTTTGAAGCCAAATGGATGAGGGACCCGACATCACAGAGCAGAAATGTTAATTTGATGCATTTCTCTAATGGCACAAGATTAAAGAGAGATCAGATTAGGAAGGTCCTCTGGGGCTGTGCTTTTTATTTTTAGAAACCTGATACACAATAAAGCTTTTTACAGACGTGCACGGATCATCTTCAGTAGCTTTATTTTTAGAGTATTGTCACAAGATGAATCACCTGATTTGCTGTGATTGTTCTGATCAGAAATAAGCTGTCGCCTCCTCCTCCTCCTCCTCCTCCTCCTCCTCCTCCTCCTCCTCCTCCTCCTCCATTGTTTTCTTGGCTTCTCATTCTCAGAACTGCAGCTCTCATGTCAGGAGGGCTGTGGTCACCTGCTTCTCAGCCGGCTGCTGTGAGCGCCATGGCAACAGGCCTGTCCGCTACTGCAAGCGTTGCCATGTCAACCATCACAGCAGCGAGGTGGGGGCTGCGGCGGAGACCCATCTGTACCAGACCTCGCCCCCTCCCATCAACACCAGAGAGTGTGGAGCAGAGGAGCTTGTGTGCACCGTTGAAGCCGTTATAAGGTGCAAACGCCGTGTTTGTTGGTGCCGTCATGAGTTTACATAAAAAGCTTCTTTTTAGATTTGAACTCAGATCTGGTGACACAGGGTGTCGTTTCCCCTTTCTCACCTCCTCCTCTTCCATCCTTCTTCTGGTTAAACTCCTGCAGCCTTCTGAAGGAGGCAGAAATCTATGCAGAGCAGCGTGAGTTTGAGCTGAACAAGCGTCGTCAGATGGGCCTGTCCTCCTCCCACCACTCGCTGGACAACATCGAGTTCGATAACAAGGAAGACGACCAGCACGACCAGCGTCTCCTCAGCCAGTTTGGCATCTGGTTTCTGGTGTGTAATTAAAGAAATCTGCCCCCTTCCTTCTCTGTCACCAACAAGAGAAATAAGAACGCACGTGATGCTTTTATTTTGGTCGTGTTTGCAGGTGAGCTTGTGCACGCCCAACGAGAACACGCCCACTGAGAGTCTGGCCCGGCTGGTCAGCATGGTATTCCAGTGGTTTCACTCCACAGCCTACATGATGGATGATGAAGTGGGAAGCCTGGTGGAGAAGCTGAAGCCTCAGTTTGTCACAAAGTGGCTCAAAACTGTGTGTGAAGTCCGCTTTGATGTTATGGTCATGTGCCTGCTGCCCAAACCAGTAGAATTTGCCAGGGTAAGGGTTCAAACCAGAAGTCACGTTTTATAGTGCTGTATTTGGCAGCAGCTATGAACGAAACTAGACATAAACCCAGATTCAGGCTGAGGATTAGGCTTGTTTGAGCTTGACTTATCCTAGCTGCTGGTTTTCTTCTACAGGTGGGAGGCTACTGGGACAAGTCATGTAGCACAGTCACACAGCTGAAGGAGGGTCTGAACCGGATTTTGTGTCTAATTCCTTACAATGTCATTAGTCAGCCACTGTGGGAGTGTTTTATGCCTGAGTGGCTCGAAGCAATCAGGACGGAGGTGCCCGACAGCCAGCTGAAGGAGTTCAGGGAGGTGCTCAGGTACGGCCATCTTAAATAATACGAAGACAACTTAAAGGGCAAAAAAAAAAAAAAAAAAAAGAGACGATCTGTTCACATCAGCCTCCTGTTTGGTTCTGTCCTCCTCCTGCAGTAAGATGTTTGATATTGAGCTGTGCCCCCTGCCGTTCTCCATGGAGGAAATGTTTGGTTTCATCAGCTGCAGATTCTCTGGCTACCCGGCGTCTGTGCAGGAGCAGGCTCTACTGTGGCTGCATGTAAGCTAACACACACACACACACACACACACACACACACACACACACACACACACACACACACACACACACACACACACACACACACACACACACACACACACACACACAGAGCGTGTGAATCTGCGGGGTCCGGGGCTCGCTCGCTGAGTTGGGATCTGGGTCACAGAAAGGGCTGAAACGGATCGGAGGGATTTGGCCTCCCGGCTCATGTGCACTCTCAGCTTGCTGCCTCGTATCTGTGGATCAGTTTCAAGTTTTCTGTCTCAGCTAGTATCAGGAGATTACTTTTACTTACCATCAGTAAGTAGGTCAAATTCACATCAGAAGGAGATGCAATATGCATCAAATCACAAATGCCATATTTCTTACAAATCCATGCACATTTATAAAGAGCGACTGATAGAAAATGCACGTAAACTACAGAAAACAAGACTCAAACATATCACTTTTCATAATTCTTTAAATTTTATAATAGAATAAAATTAATTCAGGGGCCTAAAGTGTCCATTCAGTTTGTGACTTAGCAAAAGACACCCCCCCCCCCCCCCCCATCAAGACATGGAACCACATTTTAATGCATATTAAACATTTATGTTTACAGTTTTAGTGAATAGGACCTTTAAATGGCCACACATGTTGTGTCAAAGGTGCTGTCAGAGCTGGACATCGTGGTGCCTCTTCAGCTGCTCATTGGGATGTTCTCTGATGGAGTGAACTCACTGAAGGAACTGGCCAATCAGAGGAAGGCGTGCGCCTCGGATCTGTCTGGCAACACTGGAGCTCGTAGGGTGAGCTTGTCCACAGAGTCACAAGTAAACATTGTGAAATTCGAGAGCCCAATTTAAATTTTGTTCACCTGTGTTATAATTGACACCATTATTCACACTCACTTCATCAGCGGAACAGACTTATTTGCACCTTTGAACCAGGATTTAGGTTTAATGCTGTGCCAGAAGCCTGCTTTTGGCTTTTCATAGGTTTTCTATTATGCATTGGAATACACTGTATGTTGCCATGGTAACCGCCTCTATCTAAATATAGCTCTCTGGGAGGTCTTAATTGGACTTGACTGTGATGTAGATTTATCACCAAAATTTACAGCCTCCCAGTTTGGCGCTTACGCCTGTGCAGAAAGAGCTGCTCAGAGACTAACAGGAGCTCGAGATCCTGGGAGTTTAAAGGGAATCATATATGCCCTTTTGTGAGTTGCAGGTGAGTGTTGTGTCAGATCCGGGACGTCGCGGGCAGCACAATACCCTCAGCCCGTTCCCGAGCCCCTTCAGGAGTCCGTTCCACAGCCCGCTACGCTGCAGCCCTTTTAAAAACCTGGGGCACGCCACCGGAAACTGCGCACTGGATTTGGACTGCGATGATGATGACATGAACCTTGGCTGTTTTATCCTCATGTTTGACCTTGTTTTAAAGCAGGTGACTCACCTTTTGGTAATCAGTTTTACTGAAGGTCAAAAGGAGCTAGCTTAAAGCTAGCCCTGTTAAATACACACAACACAGGAGGGATCTTTTGTTGCAGATGGAGCTGCAGGATGATGGTGTGATGCTGGGTCTAGACAGCAGCCTGGGGAAGGATATCGTGGGCATCATCAACAATGTCTTTCAAGCCCCCTGGGGTGGCTCACACACCTGCCAGAAGGATGAGAAGGCCCTGGAGTGCAGCCTGTGCCAATCCAGCATCCTGTGCTACCAGCTGGGCTGTGAGCTCCTGGAGAGGCTGACCCCCCGGGAAGAGATACACCTGGTGGTGAGACACACAGCGTGCATAAATTAACCTTGAGCAGACAGCAGGTATGGCGTTATGATAAACTCCCTGCAGGTTGTGTGCCCCAAACATCAAGCACCACTGTCAGGCACTGTGGAACACAGATATTATCCAGATGTAAACATTTCCTTGTTTTTCACATTTCTGCCTCTGCAGGAACCCTCAGATTGTTTGGAGGAAACTTTGCTCACACCTCAACTTGATTTCTCGCTCGGGACGAAGAACGGAAGTGAGGAAGTAGACAACCCGAACGAGACAAACACCGACAAACCCAGCAACCCTTCGCCTGAGAAAACATGTACCACTCTGTTTCATATCATCTTCAGATCATTTTTCTTCTCATTTGGCAACTGATAACATTTTAGTGTGATTTTATAAAATGATTTTATTCTTTTTTCCAGCCAAGAACAATTCTGACAAGAGGTTCTCCTACCAGCAGCTTCCTGTGTCGCTGCAGCTCATATACACTATTCTGCAGGTAACTAAAATAAAACACTGTGTATTAAAATCAAGCTGCATGATTTATGTTCACTATCAGTCTTGCAATTCTTTTTTACTGTCAGGAAATGTCTAAGTTTGAGGAGCCCGACATCTTGTTCAACATGCTGAACTGTCTGAGGATCCTGTGCCTCCATGGAGAGTGTCTGTACCTCGCCCGTAAGGACCACCCGCAGTTCTTAGCCTACATCCAGGAGAAGATGCTGATCCCCAGGTGTGTGAGGTCAAAGCAGGTAACGATGAGCTGCTCGCTGACGTGGCTGTTCACTGTTCAAACTGCTTTATGCTTTAGTCTGTGGTCCATGCTGAAGTCAGAGTTTTGCCAGCTGGCCTCCCTGGCCGTGCCTCAGCTTCTCCACGCTCTCTCGCTGTCCCACGGAGCAGACATCTTCTGGAACCTCATCAACACCAACTTCAACAGTAACGACTGGAAAACACGGTTCGAAGCAGGTGAGAGGAGCAGGCGATGCTGTCAGAAACGATAACAGCAGCTTCAGATGCAGATGAGACTCTCAGCATCTTAAATTTTTATTTTCAAGCTGAATTTGTGAATTCCAAGCCTCCGTTCTACTTGTGTAAACTTCTCCTTAGCCACCACTTTTCCACATCTTTTGCCGGCGTTGCTATGGTTACGGTGTGGCTTAAACAGGCAGCAATGAGGAATTTAAGGATTAATACATTTTTTTTCTTATCTTGTAAGTGGCAGTGAGCAGCAATGTGACCTCGACGTGACCCAAAAACGAAAACCTCACCCTTTATATTTTTGTGTAAATTTGTGGAAAACATACAGCAATAACACAGACACATTGCATTTAATAAAACATGAGTTTTAGCTTGCTCTTTATTTGGATTTGTAAAAAAAATATGATTAAATAAAATCAGTAATTTCAATTTTATATCTAGCAAAGATTTGAAATATTTGAAAAACTTATTTCCTATTTTATAGATTTAAAATAAATCAAATGTAGGCTTAAATATTTATGAATAAGCCTTTAAAGCCAAATAAGACCAGAATGATGCCTTGGTGCTGCTGCACCACACTGACATCTATAGGTCACAATGGGTACTGCTCATTTCTGCAAAAGTGCATGTTTCAGAGTTGAGTCTTGGTATAAACCGAACAAATGTTCATGTTATGCCCCTAACAAGATGTGTTATGCCATTTTAACTTCATGAATTCAAATAAAATGCCATGATTAGAAATAAAAAATGAAATCTTGACTCTTTATCATTTAGTTGAACTTTAAATTTTCATGCACAGAAGCAACAAACTCATTTGAAAATACTTTTAAAAAAGAAACAAAAACATAATTCTGTCATTTTTAGTTGCGCAATAACTGATTAATTTTCTTATTAACTTATAAGTACATTTTTTAACAGTAAATGCTTGATGACATAAAATGTTTAGCAGCTAAAGTAGCACAAAAACCTAATATAATCTATGACTTCATAGCTACTTGGTTTCTAAATCAACAGTGCCTCATGTGTTTTCTATCATCCTGTTGGTTCATTTTTCACTCTTTCCTTGTGAAAATCCTCACAGTCGAGAAGGTAGCGGTCCTGTGTCGATTCCTGGACATCAGCGCAGTAACAAAAAACCACCTGCTGAAGTACTCTTTGGCCCACGCCTTCTGCTGCTTCCTGGCCTCCGTGGAGGATGTCAACCCATCTGTGGCCACCAGAGCCAGACTGCTGCTGGACACCATCAAGAGGCCGGCCCTGCAGGTCATCTGCACAATGCAAACAGAGCACCATGCTTTTATTTTTATAAATAAAAAAAGTCTGTTTATCATAAACACTTTCATGCATTTACCTTGTCTGTATATTTAAGTGTGTACATTGTGTATTTTGCAGGGGTTGTGCTTGTGTTTGGACTTCCAGTTTGACACGGTCGTGAGAGATCGTCCGATTATCCTCTGCAAACTTCTTCTACTACACTTCCTCAAGAAAGACATTCCTGCTCTAAGCTGGGAGTTCTTTGTTAACCGCTTTGAAACGTTGTCCTTGGAGGCTCAGCTGCACCTGGACTGCAACAAAGAGTTCCCCTTTCCTACTAGTATGTCATTTCTGCACTGTGCACAAGTGAAGCCAAGCATCCGAATTACAGTTTGCACCTTCTTTCCTCTAACAGCCATCACAGCTGTTCGAACCAACGTGGCTAATCTGAGTGATGCAGCTATGTGGAAGATACGGAGAGCTCGTTTTGCCAGGAACCAGCAAAAGAGTGTGCGTTCCCTGCGAGACAGCGTAAAGGGAGGCCAAGCTGAGTCCAAACGAGCCTTCTCACTCCCAGAGTCACTCAGCAACCGACTTCGTGAGTAGCAGGAATAGAGCTTCAGCTGGTTTGAATCTGTGTGTTTTTACTTCGTTGTGATCAAACACGTCACAGATTTGTCTTAGAGCTTCATCCAACATAGAGAGGAGCTTTAAAGGGGACATATTATGACTTTTTTCTTACGTTATAATAGTTCTATGGTTGATTAAAAAACAAGTTTATTAAGTTCTTTACTCAAAATCCCTAACCTGAAGTGATTTCAGCAGTTTTAATCTTGACAGTTTTGGAACCTTCCAGAATGAGCTGTGTCAGGACTCTGTCAGCCTAGAAATCTAGACAGAGATTAGCTGAAGCAAATAGGTTTTGCTCCGTACATCTGTCGAGCTACTCTCTAACTGGCCAGGCCAATCACAGCGCTCTATTGGTTTGGTGGGCAGGATGTGACTAAGCAAAACTAAAATAGCGACAGCTGTCTGAAATGGCTTTGGCATCAACTTGATCTATTTAGACTTTGAACCAACAGCTGATTTAGGTACTTAAGTTTATTTAGGACAACAATGTGCATCTTATTCGATGCAGTATGGCGGACTACCCCGTTGACTAACATCTGTAGCAGTGAGTATGTCAAGTTGTTTGTTGTCCAATAGCATGTGGAGACAGATTGGACAAATTGGAGCTGGCCACGCCCACCCATCCCTCGCTCAGGTTGCTATTAACTGAGAAGCTCTAATATCCAAAAGGGGCTCCTCCTACTGCAGTTCTCTCTTTCACATGAGAAGGGGGTTTGTGATGTCACAAATGGGGACTTTATGTGTCGTTTTAGGTAAATAATTCCTAAAACCAAACACCGACAGTAAACAGATGCACATTCAAGTGTTCATAGAGGCCGCAGAGACTCAGATTGCAGCATGATAGGATGCAAAAGATAGGTTTTGCATAATGTGTCCTCTTTAAAGATTGGAAACTTGTTTTTTATTTTTGTAAATGAGGTCAGACTTTTTTTTTTTTTTGCAGAAATACTTTCATTATTTTCTGCCATATGCTAGCTTGTTCTTCTCCTATGAACTCATGCACATTTGCACTAAGCAATAAATGAAGCCTTTATATGCCACAAATTGAAATAGGCTTGCATGCAAACAGACATTTTAGTGTTGGAATAGTTTTTAAAATATTTTTTTCCATAATCAGACTGGCTAGGATGGGGAAATTTCTACAAATTTCAGAGGATAAAAAAAAAATATTTGTGTGCCATTTCTTAATTCATACTCTTCTCTGTAGCATTTTACCTTCATTTTGGATTGTTTTAAAGTTTTTTTTGGGCCAAAACACAAAATATTCAGCCTTAAAGTCAGCTTCATTGTCCAATAATTTTATATAGTGAAGATTATAATCTTTTATTTGTTTATTATTGTAAAATATTTTATGCTGTTGCAATTTCAAACTTACCAAAAATACCCTTTCTTATTATTTTCTCTCATTGTTAATTCTAATTATGCAGAAATATTTCATCTGACTTTATGATTTCATTTTATTAGTAGAAAACATCGATGTGGTTTTGATTTCTTCCCGGTTCCACCAACATTAAATATTTGTGTCTCCATGTGTGAGGCGTTCGTGCAGCTCGTGTGTGTCCTGTGCATCCTCCCTCTGTACATTTCCCTTAATCGTGTTCTCCATGTGTGCTTTTTAGCTAGCCTGGCCCGCCAGACTCCTCTGTTTAATTCTACACATAATTTAACAGAGGAGGAGTCTGGCAGGCCAGGCTAGTTTTTAGCACTAAGGCCTACAAGGCAAGAGCAATCTGCATCAACATTGGGAGATATGATAGAGAAAGTCTTGCCAGGTAATAAAAACAAAAAAAAGCTTTTTTTAAATTGATCTGCTCCCAGAATTTTAGAAATTCTGGCAGAAAATATCATGGAACACACCTTTAGCACAGTGATCAGGTCTTGTGTGTGTGTGTGTGTGTGTGTGTATGTGTGTGTGTGTGTGTGTGTGTGTGTGTGTGTGTGTGTGTCCCATTCCATAAACAGCATGGTGATGTTTCCATTTTCTTTAACAGGATGAGTTATCTCCCCCACCTCTAAGCTTTCATCCCTCCCCTGCTACCGCTCCCTGCCCTCCCCCCTCTCCTCCCTGTAGCGTGTTTCCTCCGGCACTTTAACCCTGACGCTTCAGCCCCTCTTTCAGGCCAGACTCCCTCACCTGAAGACGACAGCATCATCAGAGACCTGCTCCCCGAGAACGCCGGCATCGATCACCAGACGGTCCACCAACTCATCATGGTGCTCATGAAGTTCATGGCCAAAGACAAGAGCAGCGCTGAGGCGGACATAAGCAGCGCCAAGGCCTTCAACACAGTGAAGCGCCACTTATACGTGCTGCTAGGGTATGATCAGCAGGAGGGCTGTTTTATGATCGCGCCCCAGAAGATGCGCACCTCCACCTGCTTCAACGCCTTCATTGCTGGCATTGCACAAGTGACTGGCATCCACTTAATCTTCTTCATCTGCATGCATGTCTGCATGATGCACTAATATCCTAACAATGCGGATCTGTCTTCTCAGGTCTTGGACTACAATATTGGTTTGGGAAAGCAGCTGCTCCCTCTAGTGGTTCAAGTGTTAAAGTACTGTGCTTGTCCTCAGCTGAGACACTATTTTCAGCAGCCTCCTCGATGCTCCTTGTGGGCTCTGAGGCCACATATTCGTCAGATGTGGCTCAAAGCTCTCCTGGTCATCCTGTACAAGGTATTTTACATTGTGAAAACACCATAAAGTTTTATTTCGGGGGTTATTATAAATTAATTTCCTCCTAAAAACACATTTTACACAACTTTGTTTAATACACATATTTGAACATTTTATAAAAATCATGCTAAATTCCCCAAATTGCCAGTTGGTCACTTTAAATCACAGAATTTCATTATTGCTGTTATTTTATTTCATTTTCACAAACTGGCGTTAAAGGTAAAAGCTGTTGTTTAAGATTGTATTTGTTATATTTTAGTACCCGTACAGAGAAATGGACTACAGCAAAGTGGTCCTCCATCTGATCCACATCACCATCAACACTCTGAACGCGCAGTATCACAGCTGCCGTCCGCACGCTGCAGCCGGACCGCTCTACAGCGACACCTCCAACATGAGCCGCTACAGCGAGAAGGAGAAAGGTGAAGCAAATTATTCTGTATCGCTGTGGCTCAAGAGCAGACTCGTATATTAGCTGATGAATAAATATAAATATGCCAGAATTCAAAAAAGAGATAGAAATGTGGCTGTCCAATGTTTCTTCTGGGGAGCCCTCTGCCTCGGGACCGGTGGTGGTGGCGGCGGCTGGGGCGCTCCTTTGGTAGGGCCCAGGTAGTGGTGGGGGTTGCCACCCTCCCTCCCAGGGCGCCCTGGTTTGGTGTCTTGGCTGCTGCCGTGGATCTGCTGCTGTCGAGGCAGATGGCTCCCTTGATGGAGTGTTTTCATTACCTGTCCAATCTGAGCTCAGCCTAGTGTTTACTGTGGTCTTTTAATGTGTTATGTGTACGATTGTGTGTGTGTGTGTGTGTGTGTGTGTGTGTGTGTGTGTGTGTGTGTGTGTGTGCCTGGGAATGGTTTGTGGATTGGGGTGAAATTGTCATAATTGTTTTAAGTGTGGGAAAGGGAGGAAATGTGGGTTATATGGGTCATTTTTAATCTGTTAAGCACTTTGTGTTGCTTCCTGTGCATGAAAAGTGCTCCATAAATAAAGTTTGATTTGAGTTGATTCTGGTTAGAGACTGAATCCCACATAAACACAGAGCTCATGTTGGATGTTCTTCTCCGATTATCAGAGGAAGACAGCGTGTTCGATGAGTCAGATGTCCACGACACGCCCACTGGTGCCGCCAACAAAGAGTCTCAGACCTTCTTTGCTCGTCTGAAGAGAATCGGAGGCAGCAAGTCTGTGAAGTACCAGCCAGTCGAGCTGAATGCCAAGAAAAGTAAGAAGTTTTCAAAATCTCCAGTTTTTCTGCTTTTTGTTGCAATAAAGTCTTACTGTTATTATTATTGTTTGTGTCCATCAGGTGAAATCGAGCTGTCAGAGTACCGGGAAGCAAGCGCCCTGCAGGACAGCATCCTGCACTGTGTGAGGGAGGAGAGCACCAGGAAGAAGCGACTGCAGGCCATGCATAAACAGAAGTCTTTAGACATTTCCAACACAGACTCCATCCTTTTCAGTCTGGATGAACACCGGAGGAAATCCTGCATCGATCGTTGTGATATGCAAGTTCTCCCGGTGGTTCTGTCCCCTTCCTGCGCCACCTCCCGCCAGCAGCAATGTAAAGGGTCCTCTAATGGCTCCTCAGTTCGGGTGGATCCCGTCGATCGACGGGGTTCTCGAGGAGGCCAGTCCGACACGTCCAAACCTGTTATCCCAGAGGTCCGACTCAGCTGCATGGAGACGTTTGAAGACAAACTGGATCAGGGATCTTTAGAGGGATCTGCACAGGAGAAAGAGGAGCAAGATCTCATCGACCTCTCCTCGGATAGCACATCAATTCCAGAGAAACACTCCCTGCTTTCCATGTCTGATAGCGACTCCTTGGTTTTTGAGCCGCTGCCCCCTCTCAGGATCGTGGAAAGCGACGAGGAGTTTGACCTGAACACCATCCTAGGCTCCAAGTTCAATGGGAGTCCCAAGATCTCAGCTTCTCCTGCCAGCAGTGACACTTTGAGGCTGTCTCCTTTGGTTCAGGTGAGTGCGGAGGACTGTTCAGGTGAAAAAGTGGATCCTGAACTTGTTGAGAAGGAGTCTCCTGAAAAGAAACCCAAAGTCATGACTCCCAGATCCTCCCTAGATTTCCCGGAACGACCAGAGAACATCTGCCATGAAAGCGCCATGACCTTGAAACAGAAAAGAGACCTGCTGAAGAAGACTCCACACGTCCCTGACTCCTCGCTAGATGACAACCCCGAGGACATGAAGCCCGGGACTGGACTGGGTACAAGTCCCTCCAGCAAGACTGTTTTCCTGGACATCCCAGAAGACAAAGCAGAGCCGCCTTCCTCTCCTGAGAAAAGCAAGAAAAACAACGACGAAGAAGAGGAGGAAGATGGTGATGACGAGGAGGACGATGAGATGGGGGACGAAGCAGATATCGACCCCAAACCTGAAAACACAGACGATAACGATGAGGCCGAGTTTAAAATCCAGATCGTTCCACGGCGGCGGAAACAGAGGAAGATAGCGGTCAGCGCCATCCAGAGGGAATATCTGGACATTTCCTTCAACACGTTTGACAAGCTGGGCGTTGACGAGGCCAACGAAGCCGGTGAGAACCAGAGAAAAGCGAAAGACAAAAACAGCAATGCATGAAAGTAAACGCAACCTATCAAATTTGAAATAATTCTCTCTAAATTATTACTCTGGATTTTCTTTAATATTTAACGGAAACGTGTTTCTACAAGAAACAAACTATCTGTGGTATGCTGTAACCAAAATAATACACAAGTACCAATTTTAGGCCCTATAATGAAACGTTTTACTTAATTATAAAGTGCGTTAAGCATATATTTAAATTTCTGTGTAAATTTCGCTGAAAGTCACCTGCAAACTGGAATGCAGTGTCAGAGAAATGTTGTCAAACAGCTCTAAACTTTACGTTAAACTTTCTAAAACAGTGCATCTTTTAGCATTTACTAGCTATCATTAAATAATTTCCAACAGAGTTGCCTGCATTTTAACGCCCCTCCATGTTGCTTTGCAGAACACAAAGTTATCTCTACGCTGGAAAAGCCACGAGAATCTGCTTCAGCTCCAACTCTCGAGGCGGCTGTGCCGGAGACGAGTCATCGCTCCTCAGTATCAAGTAGCATGTTAATACCTTTTTGTACGCACTGAAAAATGAAATGTTTAATTTGTTTAAAGGTGTGGTTTACTTGTTTATTCAACACATTTGTTACAATCTTTAGTGTAAATCAATGTCTTATGAGTCATTAAAAAGCTATGATGCTCCTGTTCTGAGATGCAGAAGTTTGCTGCTGCAGAGGTGGGCTGAAAACCGCAAGGTTACTTATTATTATTAATGATATGCACACACCTCGCTCCTGATTGGCTAACAGAACACGTTCAGCCATGTTGCAAAGTCACCATCACCAAGAGACTCTCTGTTCTTTCTCCTTGCTGCAAAAAATAACTTTCCTGTGGACGGGCGCAGGCCAAGATGGGAGAGGCCATGAATGCAAATTCACAGTGTGACATAAATATGTGAGGATTTTCAAATTCCAGTGTTTTACCATCCATTTTCAATCAGAAGCTAATGCAGGAGATAGGTGCATGAAAAACTCAGAGTGACCGATTATAATTAAAAATTATTTTAAAATGGTTTTCAGTGAACTACGCCTTTAAAAGGGACATATTAGGACGTTTTAGGACAGTTTCAGATCAATACCAAACATGACTATGAAGTTCACAGAATCCCTCTCACTTGAAGCGGTTTCAGTTGTTTTATTTTTGATATTTTAGTACCTTCCAGAATTAGCGGCTTCAGGGCTCTGTCGCTTTAAGAATTTGGAACTGGCCACTCCCACCCCTCCCCACTCAGGCTGCTATAAGCTGAGAGGCTCCGATATCTGGGAGGGGCTCGGAGTAGAACTGCTGTCCCACCAGCAGCAGCTCTCTCTTGCACGTGAGAGGTGGCTCTTTCCACTTTCCCGTTTCTGATGTCACAAAAGGGGGCTTTTTGGAACAGCTTGTTTTAGGCACATATTTCCTTACAAACATGGACAGACATCAGATGAACTGATTTTTTTAACGTTTGGAGTGTTTATAGAGGCCCACATAAAAGGATGCAAAAGGTGCTTCTTGCATGAAGCTAACCCTAATTTAGCACATTCTCAAGCCCAGGTGTTTGTTTGTGTCTGCCTTTCAGCTCAGTACCGGCAGGTGAAGCGAGGCTCTCTGGGCGCTCTAACGATGAGTCAGCTGATGAAGAGACAGCTGGAGCATCAGTCCAGTGCACCGCACAACATCTGCACCTGGGAGACAGGTCGCTCATTCTCAAACTTAATAGCTCAAGAATAAAAAGGCAGAAAAAAGGCACTAAAATGGTGGGAAAAAAACCAAACACATTTGTCTTTAGTAGGCCCGACAAAGACAAGTCTCCTTTCAGCGCCGAGCACAGTCAGCATGTTTGTCCCAGCACCAGAAGAGTTCATCGACGAGCAGCCTACCACTATGTCTGATCGGTGAATGAGTCATTCAGCAGCTGCATGCGAACGAGTCATCTTCATGCCTGATTTGACCTCAGAAATGATCATTTTTTTAGATGTCGGGACTGTGCAGCTGTGCTGGAGGAGTATGACGAAGAGACTCTCGCCCTCGCTGTGATCGTCCTCTCCATGTTCATCCACCTGAGTCCTGATTTGGCTGCTCCGATGCTCCTCGACATCATGCAGTCTGTGGGGAGGTACGAGACGGCAGCTCCTGAAAACCCTCCATCCACACAGCACTTCACCGTTAAATGAAGTTTCGTAACCTGCTCTTAGAACTCATGCATAATTCATCCCACACCCACAGTCCTAATCTGCTTTTGGCTTCTTTCAGGCTCGCATCTAGTGGCAATTTTTCCGGACAAGCAGAGAGGTATGAGGCTTTGAAGGTGTTGCATGAATACATTCAGACATTCATGGTGCTTGTGAATGAGTTTAATAATGGATGTGATGTGTGGCTGCCCATCTGACACAAACACACCCGCTCTGATGTTTTGCAGCATGCTAATCCCAGGGAATGTAGCAGGTGTGGCCAAGCAGTTCCTGCGTTGTGTGTTTCACCAGCTGGCCCCTAATGGCATCTTGCCCCAGCTCTTCCAGAGCAACATCAAAGGTCTGCTTTAAAAATAAATATATCTATTCTCACGAGGAGTGAAATTTAACACGATTCTGCAGAAAATAACTCTGAACATTTTGCAGATGGCAGCTTTCTGCGAACGCTTGCAACCTCTTTGATAGACTTTAATGAACTGAGCTCCGTTGCAGCTCTCAACATGCTGCTGGAGGTAGGATTATTTCTCCTTGCATGTGTTGAGTCATGTCACCAGCAGGGGGAGCTCTTATCAAGCAAACCCTTTGGAACAGCAAGCTGCTCAGAATAAACCCTTTTAAAATAAGCACATACAATCTGTGTAATGTGCACCACTGTGCCACTCAATCTGACAATTTATAGAAATGACAAGAAACCGTTAATGCACGAGCTCATCCATGCGTTTACTTGTGTGCTCAGTGCTGTTACTCTGATTGATCAGGACTGAATGATCAGTTAAATGGAAATATCTTCACGCACAGAGTTCCATTATGTAACCTTGTTGTGCTTCTATGTCCTCCAGGGCCTGAACAACAAAAAGAACCTTCCAGCAGGGGGCACCATGCTGCACTGCCTGGACAACATTGCCTCCTTCATGGAGGCTCTCCCCATGGACTCTCCTAGCAACCTGTGGACAACCATCTGCAACCAGTTCCAGACCTTCCTCACAAAACTGCCCTCTGTGCTTCCTCTGAAGGTAGATACCGACCCTTCCGCTCACTCAGTCATGGTCTGATATGGTTTAATGAGATTACGGCTCAAGGAAACAGCATCTCGCCGTGACCTTGTCTGGTTCAATATGGAGTCTTAAAACTGTAATTGATTTGACTCTGATGCTTTAAACCTTGGAGGTCAAATTAGTGCACCAGATCCTGGAGAATGACCACGCAATCAGCTGATTTTTTTTTTGTTTTAATAATTTCGGTTCCTTGAAGCATCATGTTCACTGAAATACTTTGTGTCTTGACAGTGCCCGATGGACTCCAGCCTGAGGATGATCATATGTCTCCTAAAGATCCCAACCATAAATGCAACTCGGGTGAGATCAATTGATCTGATCAAAGCAGACATTTTTCATGTTGTGACTTTTGACAGGTGACATGCTCCAATCTCCTTGTTTTCCAGAGTCTCCTGGAGCCCTTCTCTAAGCTGCTGAGCTTTGTCATCCAGTACGGCACGTTCAGCCTCTCCTACCTCGTAGAGCTCTGTGGACTGTGTTATAAAGCCTTCAACAAGGTGTGTTCGCGTGGTTTTTGGCAGGAAAGAATACCTTAAAATCTTAAAGGGTTAAACTCATCTGCAGTATTTGCCTGCTTCCCTCAAATGTAGCCATGTGTCACAGATGAGTAAGTAAGCAATCAGGTGGTATTGATCAACATGATTGTTTGCGTGCAAGGCTCGAGGAAATATGGCGTGTTGCTTAGTGTGACAGAGATGGAAACGGGGCTCCACCACTGTCAGCGCTGCTTGCTTTATGCTCCTGTGGTATTGATTTGTCCACACTCTCCTTAATTCCTCACCTTCTTTAATATCCGCATTTCCAAATCCAGAGCTGCAGAGATTGATTGCTTTGGCATTTTTGTTGTTTTGCAGCAAGGTGACAACTTTCCAGCTAGTTCAGGTGGCCTCAGGAATTGGCTTTTTTTAAACCAAGTATTTTTTTTAATTTTGTTTTGTAACGGTCGTGTATACACACAGATACATTTAGTAACTCCCAACCCCCTCCCCACGTTGCAAGATCTCACATCTAAAGAACCACATAGTAGAGTCAGACATATACAACCGTATCTTACACATTAAACACCCTCAGAGCAATGGGCTAATGGGTGCTAGACACATGGACGTAATTTTGGGGGGGGGACAGGGGGGACATGTCCCCCCCACTTTTTCCAAAGTCAAGTTTTGACCCCTTCACTTTTTACCATCCAAAATCAATATTACACTATATTAAATTGACACTGGTTGAGCTCTAGGACCAAGCAGAAAACAACCATTTGTGTTGAAGCCTGCTTCCCATGAGAACATACTGTAAAGATACCCCCCAGCCCCCGTGTCCCCCCCACTTCTAAAGTGAAAATTACGTCCATGGCTAGACATCAGCATTGGGCAATTACAAATAGACATCTGCAGCTGGCATATTTGAAACCAAATTTGTAAATGGTTGCCAAGAAACATGAAATCCCTCCACACATCCACCAAGACTAAACTTTCTTTTTTTTATAAATGGATCAGATGCATCACATTCCTGATCCACTGGCCAAATGTCGGAGGTTGAGAGTCCTTAGTGAGAATCAGTCTTCTGGCCAGTAGGGAGGAGTAGATCATGTTTGAGTGGGACCTGCTCAGCAGGTATCGTGGAGGGACAACCCCGAACAACGACATCAAGTACCGCGTCTGCGGCCGGAGCCTTCCAAAATAGCCATCTAAAACAAATGAAACGTATTTTATTAACTTGAAGTGTATTAAACACGCACGTCAGAATTAAAATTTTAGCAATTACCAGGATGCGTCGTCTGCGTTGTCGTAGTCGCAGTAATGTGTTGTACTGCTTCAGAATGGCTTCCAGTATGACTCGGCGACGCTTTGCAGATTTAATCCTCCTCTCGTGCCTCCTCAGCTGGCGAAGCCGACGCCTTTCGGCCTGTCTAGCGCGGAGTCTGGCCCCCAAAACGAGCCACAAGCGCAGAACCATGAAAAATAACACCACGAAGTTCTCCATTGTTTACAACACTACACACGTATCAACACAGGTCTTCTTCTTCTTCTTTTAGTGTTTTATTGGCGGTCGGCAAACAACGAATGGTGCATTACCGCCACCAACTAGTGATCAACACAGGTCGGCTCAAATGGTAGCTGATATATGACATCACTGACATCTTAGCACCATTTTCTCCCGCCGATTTCTGCAATAATACAATTGTTTGTTAAACAAAGTAAACAAAAAAAAAAAAAACCTAGCTACAGACCCTCTCCAAACACGTGACTCTCATTCACGTTTGCATTCCAGAGCAGGGACGTGAGGAAAGTGAGGAATCACTCGGGCGGGGCTGGGGCCGGCCAGGTACAGATGGGAATGGCCCAAAAGGGTCTGGATGTATAGTTTGTCCTGTTATACTAGAATAGGTCCCAAAAATTTAGCTCCAGAATCCTAACAGTTTTGGACAGAGCAAGAACATGTGAATCAATGTTGCTGGCGATGTCCTGCATCTGTCACACGTGGGGTCCAAATCCATCTTGAATCTGGCCAATTTGTCCTTGGACCAGTGAAGACGATGCTGTATAGCAGAGTGTCCAAGACTCACGGGAATCAGCTTTTTGACTTTGTCACTGCACGCGCCATTTGCCCGAGCTGCACTTATTAAGTCTGTAGCTTAAGAACGCCCGTTTGATTGGCTATTTACCAAACGGACACGCTTCATTAACTTTTAATTATGAGAGCGCCGTGTACAGGTGCGCGCATGGGCGAGCCACGCGGTGACAAATGTCAGCGGAGGCTCTGCATTCTGCATGAGCAGAAGAACATGTGCCTCTCTCAAGCAAACACGACTGCAAAGAGAAAGAGGCAAGCAAACTGGAAGGCTGGAGATGACAGTGAGGTTTGTAAACAGGCAGCTGGGTTTTGTGTGGAAGAGATGAACAAAGAGAGCAGCCTGTCCTCGGGGAGGGAGAAGGCAGTCTGACAGCCTCATCTGAGCTGCTTGGGACTCTGGGAGGAGAGATCTGGACTGGCCTAAATCTACTCCTCGCCTTCACCATTCTCTGTCTCCCTGATTGCCCTCCCTCCCTCCCCTCCCGCTGCCTGTCCTTCCCTCTCTATTCAAGCTTCAGAGTTGATGCTCTTTCTGCTCAGCATGAGTAAGGAAGAGTGATAATAGAAAAAGGCAGCCTTGCTGTTTCACTACATTTACTCCATTCTCTTTCTCCTTACACCCAGGAACGAGATAAGTTCTACATGTCGCGCATTGTGGTGTTGGAGCTTCTGCAGGCTCTCAAGTTCAAATCTCCTCTGCCTGACACAAACTTGTTACTGCTGGTCCAGGTAACAAGGACGTTCTTTACTCAAACTGGCTTTGTGCACATCCATGCATCAGGAATGTTGGCTCAGTTGTGGTTGTTGTGAAGTTTGTTTGTGCAGATATCGGCACGCGACTCGCAGAATCCACCATCATCCAGAAACACATGATCTCCACTCTGCCGGGGGTGAGACTTAAAACTCTGTGTGCTACAGCCTTATTAAGATCAGCCTCATAAAACAGCTGGAGGTGCAGAAAGACTCTGGTTCCTCCCTCAGGAGTAAACTGTTTTTGTGTTTTCAACAGTGTACGACAGCAGCAATGGAGTGCATGAGGCAATACACAAGTGAGCTCCTGGACTTCATTGCAGATATGCACACACTAACTAAACTGAAAGTAAGTCCTACAATGAATGAATGAATGAAATGTCATGGAAGATTACGATCTTCTTTCTCCTCTCTGAATTCAGAGCCATATGAAGGCTTGCTGTCAGCCGCTGCACGAGGATACGTTTGGAGGGAACCTGAAAGTGGGCTTGGCTCAAGTTGCAGCCATGGAGATCAGCAAAGGCAACCACCGCGACAACAAAGCTGTGGTTCGCTATCTTCCCTGGCTGTACCATCCACCATCCACCATGCAGCAAGGGTAAGCCAGCAGTGTGATGAGGAATCTTGGTAGGGGAAGATAAAACATGGCTTATTCATGCATCTACTTAGCCTGGCCTGCCAGACGCATCCTCTGTTTAATTCTGTATAGAGAATGAGTCTGGTAACTCACAGGCAGAGGCACTTGAGGGGCGGGACTAGGCAGCTCAAAGTAACCAATCAGAAAAAAAAATGGAAATCCCGACTGTATCGAACGACGCTGTAGTTTTCTAGCTGTAGTAAAAACATAGCGTCTGGCAACAGCGCGAACATCTTTTATTTATTTATTTTTTTATTTTTTAGAAGAAATGCTTTTAGCACTTCTACTTGTGGTTTTAAAGACATTTGAGTCATTTAGAACAGAGAAAAGAGCCGCGGTGAACTCCGCCGCTGTATTTGCTGTTCATGAGAACGTGAGCATTGCTGTATGTGACGTCCGCGGCACTGTAGTTGTAGTCAAAAATGGAGTCTGGCGACAGTGTAAACATCTTCCTTTAGAAGAAAGGCTTTTAGTGCTTCTACTTGTTGTGTCCAAGTTATTTAGACCAGAGGAAAGAGCCACAGCGAACTCTGCTTCAGTCGCCATGTTCGACAAACTAGGCGTTATGGTGTGTGACGTATGACACTCAGCGCTGATTGGCTCGGTTAGAAATCTCACAGGGAGGGGTTATTTGAACAGGAGAGTTACCAGATTCATTCTCTGTGCAGAATTAAACAGAGGATGAGTCTGGTAGGCCAGGCTAGCATCTACTGAGATGAAGATGATTTTCCCTTAAAGCAACAGTATTTTTAACACTTTTAGTTGTTGCTTTCAAACTTGTTTTAGTGATTCTTGAGCCAAAAACCTGAGCATTGGACAGCACTTAGTAACCCCCTGCTGTTTACTGTATCCGTAGCTAATATAAAGGCTAGCAATTAGCTTTTTCAGTTCGCTGACCTTTAAAAAAGAAGACTTTTTTTTTTAGCTTTTGACATTATGGTGTTGCCTGGAAGTAAAAATTAGAGAGTGGTGAAGCAAAGAGCTAAAACCAGAGCGAACATCGGCACGGCCTACACTAGTGTGATGGAGCTAAAGGAGGCATCACGGACTGATGATCTGGCTTTGTTGCTACTCGACTTGTAAGTAATTATAAATTTTTGTGTGGATCTTTTTACTTTTGTATTATTTTAATATCAGTTACCTCATGTTAGCGTTAGCTTGTTGTTAGCACTAGCACCAGCAGGCTACGGTGTAGGTACAGGATCTGCTCGGGTGCAGGATCGGCTCGGGGTCCTCCGACTGCCGATGACGTCAAAGTAGTTGATTGGCTGAACTTGAAGCTTACAGAGGTTACGTTATCACGTTATGATTTTGATTGGTCAGAACAAATTTGCGGTCATAGTCTTAGCAGTTGTAGTCCTGTAGTCCAAAAATCAACACTTATTGGAGGAAATATGTTTGAATTTCTAAAGGAAATGTAAAATATAAGCAAATGATAAACGGTGACCCTCAAAAGCTCTTGATGTTGATGAAATGGGGCAAAATAAAATATAAGAACTTTACTGAAAGACACCAAGGAACATTTTGAGTCAAAGATTGTATTTAGATAACAGCTAAGGAAAGATACAGACGAACTCCACATTAATACAAACAGATGTGGCTTCACATATAAGAACTGTTCTATTTTTTGTCAGTCCCATGTTGGTTTTATGCAGTTTCACATTCTTTACAAAACAAAGATAATATGGTGTTTTATTAACAAATTACAATTATAAAGAAAACATTTAGGTGTCAACAAACAAGAATTTATTAACAAAACTGCTTCCAAAACGTATGTGTGAAAGCCGAGTAGAGTTGCAGTAACGTGACGTCATCGGCAGCTGAAGGACCCCGAGCCGATCCTGCACCCGAGCCGATCCTGTACCGACACCGGCAGGGTTGTTTACGACGGTTGTGATTCTCCTTTCAACCAGCAGGAGGGAGACTTTTAACATTGCTTTAAAAGATAGCCTGTTAGCATTTTTATTAAGAAAAATAAAATAGCAGTACAGGAAAAAGTCTTGCGAGAAGTATTGGGCTTTTTAAAAGTGTACGGTCTTGTAAGCTTCTACATCCGCTGGATCCAGTCCGTTACCAGTTGTCATCCAGGAAGATCTCCGGATCAGCATATCAGCATATGGATTACTCTAATTATCGAACAGTTTCCAGAATAAGTGACTAAACAAGGATTCTAAGCTTTGCATTGAGTCAAATAAACCTCAATCTGTGTTGTTCATTATTATTTCTTCACAGTTTGCTAACTTCTTTACAGAAATGACAAATCTGAGACCATTTTCTCCTTTAGCCTGCTGCTGGTGCAGTATTTTACCTTATTTTAGTCCTACAAAGTGTTCTCTCAATAACCCCTCCATGCATACTCAAGTGGTTACAAATGAGGACATGCTGCATGTGGAGTGATCAGGGATGGAACTGGTGTTTGTTGGAGCCAAAGCTTTGTCTCTATCTCCTGTTTTCTCTAGTATGAAACTCATCAACACTCATGTAGCTGGTGAGTTAATGGAGTAACAGACAACTGTAGTCCATCTTTGGAACGGCTGTAGTGTCCTCACACATGGTTGGTGCCACTTTGTAACATAGAGATCCAGGTTCTGCTGCTGCCTGGACAAGCTGCTTCATGTTTCTCATTTGCGACTGATAAGAACTCCCTGGCAACAGCCTCTTGTCATTTCATGTTTCTCCAACAGTCTAAAAATAACCCTAATAATGTTCTCCATATGCTTTTGTGTAAACTGAACCAATATTAAACTGCACGCCCAGCTTAGCCGTGTCTCATCAGAATGATCTGCAACAAAACTAGGGTTACCAGTAAAGTTTCCTTTTGTCAGGAAGCATATTTTATAGTTGGGAAGGAATTCTGTGCAGATTTAACATCTCAACCCGTTCGTCTGTGAAGGCCAAAAGAATTCATCGAGTGCGTGTCCCACATCCGTCAGCTGTCCTGGCTGCTGCTGGGCTCCCTGACGCACTGCGCTCTGCACCAAGGCTCCACCTCCTGCATGCCCATCCCTCTAGATGCCGGCTCACACATCGCAGATCACCTCATTGTCATCCTGATTGGCTTCCCAGAGCAGTCAAAGGTCAGGCCGATCAAGTCCCTTTACACGGCTAACTCCAGCCACCTGTGTTTAGATGCCTTTGTAATGCCTTTTTTGTCCTCAGACGTCGGTGCTGCACATGTGCTCCCTGTTCCACGCCTTCATGTTTGCCCAGCTGTGGACTATCTACTGTGAGCAGGCGGCTGCCGCGCCGTCCCTGCAAAACCAGAACCAGACCGAATTTTCGTCCAGCGCGATCCTCACGGGCCTGGAGTTCTGGAGTCGGGTTACACCGAGCATCTTGCAGCTCATGGCGCACAATAAAGTGGTAAATGTTTGACTTAGTTGTTAAACTTGGAAACTGCTTTTGATGCACTTGTTGATTTGACTCTGATGTGTCTCCCAGATGGTGGAGATGGTTTGTCTTCATGTCATCAGTTTGATGGAAGCTCTGCAGGAATGCAACTCGACCATCTTCGTCAAGGTTTTCTTTTAACTTCATCCATTCCTGTTTATGAGTCTCACATTTAATTAGATCATAATCATCCTCACTCTTTCTCTTAGTTGATACCGATGTGGCTCCCCATGATTCAGTCAAACCTGAAGGTAGGACTTAAATGAATCCAAAACAGGAAGTGAGCATCAACCTGTTTTATAATTTCAAAGTAAGACATTCTCTTCCTTCCTTTGCCAGCATCTATCTGCAGGACTGCAGCTGCGTCTTCAGGCCATCCAGAACAGGGTCAACCACCAGTGTCTGCAGGGTCAGGCGTCCGGGGCGCCGCCGTTCGCCCTTCGAAAATGGCTCCAGTGCACCCAGTTCAAGATGGCTCAGGTGGAGATCCAGTCGTCGGAGGCTGCCTCACAGTTTTACCCCATGTGACCTCCCCTGTGGTCACTGCACACCTGCATGCACCTGCCCTGACTGAACTCTGTGCTCACAAAAGGACTCCTGCACAGACGGAGTCATTTTACCTGGAATATTTTCAGCACCTTTAATATAACGTGTACAGAAAATCTATGCTAATAAAAAAAACGGGTGTTTACAGGCTTGTGTTGGTAACGAAATGACTGAGGGGATTTTTCTATTACCCCACATCAGTCATAGCCAGGGTGTAAAATGATTGTTGAATCTTATAAATTATCCGCTCACGCTGTCACATCGATCTCCTGTCACTTTTTAAGTTCCTCGGCCGCCGGCTGTATAATAAAAATACTTTTTTTCTAAACACCGAGACACTTTGTCATTTTGTCCGAGTCGCCAACCCCTTCCAAATTCAAATGTGACATTTTCTGCCCTTTGATGTCCTCGCTGATGTGGAAAACGTCCGGTTTCCCACAATGCAGGTGCGATAAAATCAGCTCTGGAAGTCTGCTGCTCTGAGCGAGAAACCCAAAAGCTCAGACGACGGCAGAAAAATGACATGACAAGCATTACCCAGCTGCTGTCTTAGATCCTTGTCAGACAGTCAGTCATGCTGCCTGCTGCCATCAGAGCTCAGATCGATCAGAGGCCAATCTGAGTTGCGGCAGCGGCTTTGTAACTCGATAACATGGAGCCAGACATTGGAGGTAAACAAGACTATTTTGGTTGTAACCCCCGACATCCTCTCCACCTATTCCACCCTTCTCCTCTTTGGCAGCAACAAAACAGATTGGCCCACGCATATACCAAGCAAACACAATTACCTTTTGGACTAATGCGGTTTGTTGTGATTAAGCATTGTTGTGAGATCTAACTTTGTTACCACAAAGCTCTTGTCTGAGAATAACAGATGACATGACAGCAGGGCCAGAAAGCTGAGCAGCACATTAATCTTTGTTTTCCCTGCTGCAAAGATTTCATTATCAAGCTTTAAGATGAATTCAATCTAATGATAGGAATGTATTCTGCTGCTAAAGGAACAAAAACGCTGTTTTGGGCAAAAATTTGCCTAATTGGATTTGCATGACTTTTAATTTGAAATGTGACTTTTTAGTCGCTTCATGTTGTGAAAGACTCGTGTGGAGAAGGTGTCTGGCAAATGAATCATTTGTCTAATGATTTCACACTAATGTGACACCACACACACACACACACACACACACACACACACACACACACACACACACACACTCACACACGCATTAAGAACACTATGTGGTAACCTGAAGCTGGCTGCATCAGACCCTCGGTGCACCTTCTCATCAACCTCTAGTTCTGGCTCATCAAAGACTCCATCCCCTGCTGTGTGTGTGTGTGTGTGTGTGTGTGTGTGTGTGTGTGTGTGTGTGTGTGTGTGTGTGTGTGTGTGTGTGTGAGTGAGTGAGTGAGTGAGAGAGAGTGTGTATTAAAGGGGTGATGGATACATGCACCTGCCTGTGCATAGATGTATGTGTGTGTGTGTGTGTGTGTGTGTGTGTGTGTGTGTGTGTGTGTACACTTAATCAAGTCCCTCTTTGCTCTGGGTTTGCATCTGTCAGCTGCTACCACCGTTGTGATCGTTTGAACTCGAAGCCCTTTCCGAGAGAGAAAGAGAGAGAGAGAGAGAGAGAGAGAGAGAGAGAGAGAGAGAGAGAGAGAGAGAGAGAGAGAGAGAGAGAGAGAGAGAGAGAGAGAGAGAGAGAGAGAGAGAGAGAGAGAGAGACTCTCATTAGCAGCAGCTTATGTAATCAGTGTCCCACAGGTATCCAGCACTTGCCCCACCCTTGTCTGCCTGCATGGCTGCCTGGCATCCTGCCGCCTCCTGCAGGACCATATGGGAGCACTGACCTGATGAGCAGGCAGCTGGAGGTACTGAGTGAAGGTAATTAACACTGGCCGACGGCCTCTCAGGATGAGAGAGTGCGAGTGGGTCCTCAGAGAATGTGAAGGTCAACTTTGAAAAGGGCGCTCTCATCACACACACACACACACACACACACACACACACACACACACACACACACACACACACACACACACACACACACACACACACACACACACACACACACACACACAATACGTGCACGGGTAGCATGCTTTTCACAGAATCCATGTCCCCCTTTTCTTCATTTGCTTAGGAAAACCCTCAGAAAGCCTTGTAAATTTGTTGAGACAGTGACAAACTCTGCACCCCCTGCCTAGTGCTGTCACTTTGCTTTTATTACAGTCACATCCACCGCGCCCCTGCTAGACAATGCATGAATGTTTAAATTGCTCACAGCGTCCATCGGTATTACTATCAACAAGCATCAAAAGCAGGGAAGGCAAAGTGCTCTGTGGTCCCTCTTTCGCGTTATAATTCATTGACATTACTGTTCAGTGTAGCGCAGGCTCATCCCTTTGGTTCGTGCTGGACAGCTCATGTGCTGAGGAAAAGCCCTTTTTTCTGCTTTTACGTTTTTGTCTCGCTTAAGCAAGCAAGTTTTAATATCAAACATAGATAGCGCAAGCAAAAAAGTGCAATTTCCAAATTATGAGTTCACTAAAAAGTGTATCCAAACCAGCCGATGTAAAGAAAGAACCCCGTAGTTAAACACGAAGGGACTGTTGTTTAAAGATGTCTAAAAGCAACACATCATATTTAGTTTTTTGAACATCTAAAGCTCTTCAGGCCTGAATTGTTTATAGCTAAGGTCAGAGGTCAAAATTGAACAAAAAGAACAAAATCTTTGACCAAGAAAATCACATTTGTGAAAATAATCTTGTTTGAATTAAACAGTGAGACATGGCAGTGGTAGTGTGATGGTCTGGGGCTTCTTTCTGCTTCAGGACCTGAGCCACTTTCTCTAAATGATGGAAATCATGAATTCTTCTTTCTAGCAGAAGCTCCAGCTAGAGAGGTTCTGACCTTTGACCTTTAACAGAACGTTAATGCAAGAAAACCCTCCAATTTGTCTGAAATTTAACAACTCTAAAGAAAAGGGGAACAATGATCACAAATGCTTGAAAGCTGCAGCTATGAACTTCAAGTTTAAAATTCAATCTCTGTTATCTGTCTTATGTGACATTCATTTGCTAATCTGAAACATTCAAGAGCGGGAAAAAAGTGAAAAAAAGAAGAAATCTGTAAAGGTTAAATACTTTTTTTTACATTTCTGAATAGAGAGCAATTAAAACAGGTAAAAATGAGTCAAATCACTTTCTTTTAGAGCTGCTTTCATCCTGTCATTAATGTACAAACCCCAATAAGTCTTCCTAACAGCGTCATTAAGCCCCACAGAGTGACATACGTTTGATAATTGCAGTTCATTAAAGATGCACGGCGTGAGGCATCCGGAGAGCACATCTCTCACTGTGGGGAGTGGCGGTGAGCAGCGGCTGGGAGACACGTCCACTGTGGCCCAAAGCAGCATGAATCGCACCAGCTACCACCAACACAAGAGCCTGGATCCGTTATTATGTACAGTTTTATTTACTACTGGAAAACTCAGCAGTGAAATCACCTTATGCACAAATTTTTATCTGTTTGCTTTAACGCACAAACTGTATGTGTGTGTGTGTGTGTGTGTGTGTGTGTGTGTGTGTGTGTGTGTGTGTGTGTGTGTGTGTGTGTGTGTGTGTGTGTGTGTGTGTGTGTGTGTGTGTACTATTGATTGCCATATATACATTAATGGCTTGCTCCATCAACATGACAACAATGACATAAATCTAAATGGTAGCACGTTAAGATTTACTATGAATGAATGAACGATCTGTTACACTGTACATGAATTAACAGTCCAGAAGGCAGATATTTAAATATCAATATTTACATTCATGCATTCATCATTTCTCTCATATAGGTACATGATAGAGTATACTGTTAGCTATCAAATGTGCATGTTTGAATTCAAGCGCGTGTTTTTTATTTTTTATTGGTCCAAATTTGCACAGTTTAGCCAATATGGATACATGACTGACAGGACAGCACCCTGAGGACACTCATCATCTTGCATGCACACTCAGTAACACACACACACACACACACACACACACACACACACACACACACACACACACACACACACACACACACACACACACACATGCACTGACACAATCAGATTTGATGTAGAAAAGAAAAACAGATAAATAATTAAAAGATAAGCAGAGCAGATGTGTTTTTCCACCAAGGATGTGGACGGTTGTGACGTCACACGACCCTGCTGAGGCTGTCCTTAGTGCAACCTGATCCCGCTATTGGCTAAACCTCCTGTCCATCACCACTCTCAAAGTCAGCCCTGGGCTCGGGTCCCCCGTTTCTATAGCGATGGGCTGAGCCCTTCTTGACACATAGAGAAAGGAAGATTGTCGAATCCGGACAAAACACGTCTGAAGGCATCTAGATGACCCCGGGAGCGGGCGACACAAAGTTCAGCCAGACGTGGTAGGGATTAAAACACAGACGTGATGTTTTGGAAAGCACACATTCACTTGAGCACATGAGAGAAGCCTAAAGTCTCAGAAGTACACCCCGACAGAAAAAAGGTGTTTTCTGCGTCAGAAACATCACAACGAAATTTACAAATTATTCACTTAGAAAACAGAGCTATAAAGAAATTCATCAAGATGTTCAAAATCTGTAAAGATGCGTGTCACTTTCAGGATAGATCTTTTGAAGTATAAAAATAAATTTGAAGATAAACAAATAGAGCAAATAAATACATGGATGACCTAAATATATTACAATAAGATTGTCTCTTTTTGGCATGGCAAAATAATCTGAACCCCACGATGATGTCTCCACTCCCTCTGTCTCGCTTTACTCTTGTTTTTTTAGTTAAATATTAATTTCTTTAAATTGCATAGTCAGATGAATCCACATCTCAGAGCCAGGACCGACAGTCTCACCCTCTCCCTCTTTCTGCCTCAGATGTGAAGAAAATATGTTGGACAGGTGTGTGGGGGCTGAGTTGTAAAAAAATGTTGCATTCTCTATAAAAACTGCATGCATTTGATCAGTGGTGTGATGAAGATGACGGGCCGTCCTGTCTGGATGCCCGTGGGGCTGTGCGAGGTCTGGATCTGCTGCAGACTGGCAGCCAGTCCCTCTCCAGCCTGCAGCCAACCAGCCTGTCACTAAAAGCATAATGCTCAGTCTGCCGTGCCACTTTTCACACCATGGGGAGTCGCGGATCTTTCAGTCCTTTCTGCTGTGATCTCCATCTTTTTTTATTTTAGCTGAACGTTGTATCTTTTTTCTGGGTTCACCCGTAGCGTGAACCTCATGTTGCATTCAGTGAGAACGAATGTGTTTGGGAGGAGGAGGGGGGGTATTTTCCTGCGTGCACCAGGAGAGAGTCTACACCACAGTGTTGTTCGTACCCATGGCCTTCTTGTTGCGGATGCTCATGGCATACTCCCCACGACTCGTCCCGTTCTCCTCTTTCCGCAGTGGTTTCCTGTGAATAAACATGTTCACAACGTGAGGAGAGGCAGGAGCATGGACGTAATTTTTTTTGGGGGGGGGGGGGGGGGGGGGGGGGGGGACAGGGGGACATGTCCCCCCCCCACTTTTTCCAAAGTCAAGTTTTGACTCCTGCACCTCTTTTACCATCTAAAAACAACATTACGCTATATTAAATGGACACTGGTTGAGCTCTAGGACTAAGTGGAAAACAACAGTTTTTGTTGAAGCCTGTTTCCCTTTAGAACATACTGTAAAGATACCCCAACCCCCCCCCCCCCCCCCCCCCCCGTGACCCCCCCACTTCTAAAGTGAAAATTACGTCCATGGGCAGGAGAGATTCAACGCTGTTTTCATCCTCGGCAGCATGTCAGGTCATTACGCCGAGTTTCCAGTCTGTTTATCTTCGGGGTGATTTGATTTCACCAGCCGCTCCTGTTCAGATACGCTCGTCTGAGCTATCCTTTCTAATAAGCTCAATATTTAAAGGTCAAGTTTGCAGGGAGACGAGAGTGAAGGATACATCACGGCACAGGGGACGGGGGCGATTACCTATTTTGACAGGTAGATGCAATCTTCCCCCAAAGTAATGAAACGCGCGGTCGTCAAAACAACATCGATACATAACACCTGGGTTTAATTCCTTCCCTATCCATCGTTCTTTTTCTTGTCTGTGAGAAGCTTTTGCAGCACGGCTACAGTACGATTCCCATTGCAGCTACTGGCCTGTAAAGAGCAGGATCATTCAATGCAGCCCTTTTCATGCACTCCCTAATGCCTCTGTGGTTATATTATATTTGCCCAGTGTACTGTAGCTTTTGCACCGACCCCCTCAGCCTCCGTCCCCTCCACGGGCTTATGTAACTCTGAGGCAGATCTGAATACAGTTTGCTCACTCATTGTCCCACTCAACACTGTACGCTGCCCTGACCAGCCCAGAGGACCCTTGAGCAACATCTTAACTCGGCATCTCCTCCTCGTTCTCCTCGTCTGAAAGCCCAGGCTGCCCAGTATGACTCGGTCTAATAGTCCCTCTCAGTCCAGTCCAGCACAATTATTTTGACCTTCTTGGGCTTTGAGTAGTGAGAAAACGGAGCCGAAAAGTGAGTCCTTAGGGTGAAATGAGCTCACACATGACGTAATGCAATGATATATAACTGCTGGGGCATAAAGTTACGAAATTTACTTTGTTGTTCAACGCTCAAGTCGCATTTTTTTGATAGTTTTTGTAGATCTGAATGAATTTGGTGACATTTTTTATTAATAAACACCTTTTTCTGCTACAGAAGGTGATTATTAATTGTTTTTGAGACCAAAAAACTGCAACATACCACAACATAAAACCTGAAAATAAAAAACAATGAACCAATAGGATGCTGAAATAAGCAGTGGAAGCATAAAATCCAAGAAAACCTTTCATATGATGCAAAAATTAAAAAGAAAAAGTTAAATATAATAACTTTGTGTAACATTTAATCAAATGTGGTGGATTATTTAAAATGTTCCCAATTTTTATTTTGTGTTTAAAAAAAAATGCTGCAGAAATGACATTTTTGACAGTAAATTCAGCACCTTTGAACAAATCTGAGCAGCACTGCATGAACATCATGATAAATAAATGATAAATGACCCGCAGTTGTATAGCGCCTCTCAGAGTAAGGACTCCAAAGCGCTTTACACTACAGTGTATCATTCATCCATTCACACACACATTCACACACTGGTGTTGATGAGCTACAATGTGGCCACAGCTGCCCTGGGGTGCGCTGACGGGGGCGAGGCTGCCGAGCACAGGCGCCACCGGACCCTCTGACCACCACCAGCAGGCAAGGTGGGTTAAGTGTCTTGCCCAAGGACACAACAGCAGAATTCTCTGTCCGGAGCCGGGATCGAACCTGCAACCTTCCGATTACTGGACAACCCGCTCAACCTGTTGAGCTCCTGCTGCCAGATCATGCATCCGTCTGACAAATGCTGTGTGATAACATTGGCAAACACGTTAATATCTAACCAGTTTGTTTAGTGTTCCATCAATAATATCTCTGTAATTATGACATGTTTTTTCTGGTTCGGCTCTCATGATGACTAATCTTATCTCTTGTCCAAAGGAAATGACACGTCACACCGTTTGAGGCTCAGCAAAGGTAGTGCCGGTTAGCCGACTGACTCCAGGAAAACAGAAAGAAAATGCAAAGCTCTGACTGAGACTTGTCTCAGCCGGCAGATCCCTGAACGCACCAGGGACATGCGCTGGCCATTTAGGACAGACACCGCCTGCTGCGTCCCTGTGGGACATGAGGGAAGCCTCAGAAAAAGGAAAGTGTCCAGCCTCAGGGAGGAAACACATTCTGCTGTGGGGTGACGATGCTGCAGCTCGGGGATTTGGGATAGACCAACATTTCCTCTAAGGGACTGTGTTGCTTACATCCAACCTGGGAATTCTGACTGTAAAATGAAAGGTTTTTTTTTACTTTTTTGTGCACAATTCAGAGATTATTGTTGCAAATACAAGCATTTATGCTGGTTACAACAGAGATACAACCATTTAAATTAAATGCTGATGGAGTTTGCAGATCAAAACATTTTTCAGATTATTTAATTGTGTTTCAGAATCTCCTAAAAATGCTTTTTTTTCAGCAGAAGTCTCTGATAGTCTAAACTCTGGAACCCAGTCGAACGTGATGGAGGCAGTTTGATTCTGCACAGAGGTTTAATCGTTGCTGCAGCTGATGAAGACAAATCTAAGGCGAAGCAAAGAGAAATTCCTTCCTAGTTTGATCTAAAATATCAGAGGATTTGGGATTTTTGCAGAAAAAACGAGCAGCTGCATGTGCAGAATAAAATCTGATGTGAGCCAGAGTTTGGAGCTGAAGCGTGCAGTCGTCCAGGAGGTCTTAATAAAACATCCATTCACTCCAGCCCTCATGGTGTGCTCCTAACTTTTGTTCCACGTGACTATTCCTGACTTCTGCTTATTTATTTTTCTCCTTCTCAGCTGGTGGACTCATCCTGCTGTTCCTGACTCCAAATCCTCCCTAAATGTTTTCCTTATTTATTTTCCCCGTTCAAATAGGATCACAGGCATCCTTCATGCCATAATCTCTGCTTACCAGAGCTCCCATTTCCATTCCAACAGCATCTGGCTAAAAATAAATAAACAAAAAGAAACGGAACATTTGACAAAATAAAAGGCACATCCCCCACATCTCTATACAACTGGCGTGTGCTTACTGCAGATCCTTTCATTTTTTTGTTCTAATTACATCAAAGCATCTTATTCTGTGCAAAAGAAGACCTAAAAATGCATTTCTACAAATTTTCATGCATCTTGCTGAGAATCTGGAGGATGCACGTCTAGCTGGATGTTGTTGTTTTTGTCCAAGATGTAATCTGGGCTCAGACCGACCCTGTCACTTCAGGCCACCACACGGGGCAGAACACCGGGCCCTCACTCCGACCTCTACCCAGGCCTTCAATAATAAATGGCATGCTGTTGACACATGGCAGGTGACAACACAACACTTGACAGGTTAGATGAATATTTCATATCAAAGCTGTGCAATCACGGCGCATGCCTTTCCCGTTTGAAGTTTGGGGAATGGATCGCGGTGAAATTAGGACATGTGCTGAGCTGTTTACAATTACGCCGTCCATCTGGAAATTTGAGGAACATCCTACGGTTCAAAGACAAGGAATGAAAACGCCGACTGTAAAACTCTGTCACCTGTTTGGACGGGGCTGGATCAGCAGTTTTAAAGATCCAGTATTTACTTCAGTATTGAAGTAAATACTAGATTTTTATCAATCTGTTTCCCTTTGATTGTGTTTTTGATTAACCGAGCCAGCGGGGAAAAACTATCTGCTTTAGGACAAGACTTCCAGAGCTGCAGCTAATTTGAAAAAGCCTCCATTAGTCAGTTGGTTTTGAGTTGTCTTTGTTTTGGGTACTTGGATGGCTGACTGCCTGGACTGCAGCATTGTGCATTTTTGCTTGGGATGGCACAACAACACAGAAACTCAGCGTGTGTCTGAATCCTCTTCTCCGTGCTTCCCTCACCAAGCTCCCTGGTGGTGTGGACTTTAGAAAAGAGTCGTATGGATGTATTTTATTTGTTTAGCCTCTGACCGATGACTGGCAGTTAAAGATTGTAGGAAACAACTGAAGGCTGGGAGGACTGGGACCTGCAGAGCCCGCCGCTGCTGCAGACTGTCAGAGCTCAGACTCTGGCCCTCGGCCAGATGATTTTCATTGGGAAAGCCCGGACCACTGAAAGCCTGGAAGGGCTATATATAACTGTTGTGTTTTTCTCAGTGACAAACCCTTTCTCGTATTGTTATTGACTAAGATGCGCGAGTACTGGCTTTGCTCTCCGTAGCCAACACATTTTATCTGCCCCCCTTTGCTGTGCTGTTTCCTTTCCTCTCAGGGAAGATAGATGATCACAGCATTCACAGCAAAGAATTAGAGGAGCCATATTTTTTTTACTTGCCAGCTCTCACTGATGCCGCTGACTAATGAAGAACCCAGTCTGGACCCGTGTGATTTCCCCTCCTCGTTCGGGGCTGCAGCCCGAGTGAGCCAAAGGACAACCTGCACGCATGCAATAAAGATGTGACCCGCGACTGAATGGCTGCACTAATCAATTCATAAATAATAACTTTGGTTTGGGGCAAGAGCTTGTGTTGCACCAACACTTTCTCACCACTGCTGCATTTAAAAAAGAAAGGTTCCTTTTGGCTACGGGCCAACCACCATTACTTCTGTAGCTTGACTTTGTCCATTTGTCATTTAAACAAATAAAATATGGCTGAGGAAGCCACGTAAGGTGAGCAGACTATAAATCCATAAATATAACAAGGATATTAGCTAAATCTCTTCTAAGCCACATTCATAAAACACTGCATAACTCCTAATTTTGCACACGTGGCTGTTCTTGTATGGGAGTCAATGCTTGCTCCATAATTTATAGAAGGTGTAAAGCTGCCAGAGTGATGTATGCATGGGTGTAAAGAAGTGTGCTGGTGGTCGGGTGCACTTGAGGATGGTCTAGTCACCTGAATGTACAGAGGATAAGTGTGCTGCAAGTCAAACCTCACACAACTTCTTGTTGTTATCCACGTGTGGTCGTACTCATCATCATCACAGTCTTCATAACCACGAGTCTAAAAATAGACTTCCAGGCTTGTTGCACTTCTTTAAAATTACATTTATTTCTAATATGTGCAGTTTGAATAATAGTGTTCTGTAGGAACTTAAGCTGGCATCTGTTTGAGTCTATTGATGTCTGGTAGCCATCTTGAAGTTTGAGTCAATTAATTACTCCTCTTAAAGGAATACTATGCAACTTTTTCACATTTTTAAATCTTTTTCTTGAGCCAGTATGTGTTAAAAATACCCTTTACAGGGTTAATAAAATGTCACTCAGACCTCCACTGCCCTCTCTGGCCAGAATGCCTCACTTGCAACGTCAGAGTTGCCGGGTCGCTCCCTGTTGGACTTAGTAAAGTGGAGCTGACATGCCTGGTGCTGCAGTCTGCTTCCAGCATGTTTCCTGCATGTTTTCGATCATGAACACAGCTGATTTGTTTATTTTATTGAAGAACCGCTCCTGTAGAAACTAATGAAGACTGAGGAGACGTTTCAGCAGGTAGATTAAGGTGTTAAAAAGATGAACGCACAAGGAGATAAGTTTCACTGTTGATTTTACTAACTGACACTAGGGGGTGCTAAAAGCAAGTCAAGACTGCATAGTATCCCTTTAATGCATAAATCTGGAGTTTTTTTTCTCAGAGAGCACCACCTAGAGGTGAGATTTACTTGTCCATAAGAAAAGTTGCTGACAAACATTCTCTGTTTGACGCCAATACATACGGTAAGTAGATGTTAAACGGCTAATGCTGAGTGGCACTCAATTCAAATTACATGGAGCTTTACTGGCCGGATGACTGGCTTAGCAAAAGTAAAAAACTAAAAAGACTTAATGCCTAGATCAGTGGTACTCAATAGCCCCCCCCCAACCCCCATCCCCCCAGCAGCACCCCCTCCCTGTCCGGACCTCGTGCTTCCAGGTCGATTTGTTGAGTGGCCCTTGGACCATTACATTTGAGTAACCCTGGCCTACATTATATCACAATTCAGAGTATGGTCGCGTTTGCGGATTTCTAAATAAATCACATAATTCCTGATAAGTTGGAAAACTCCATATTGCACCTTTAATGCCTCGTTAACAGTAACCAAAAACGTTACCAGACAACCTTTTAACATAATATTTTCTCAATAACAAAACTGGGAAAAATGAATGCTCAGCATATAATCTGGCTTTAGAATATCACACGAGTGAAAACTTAAATACGGGTTACTCTTAAAGTGGCAGTGTGTAGTTTCCTGCCACTAGAGGGCAGAACATTCATTTCAGGGTAGTTTTACACCATGTCGCCATGACTGTTGCTCGTTTATAAAAACATTATGGTAAATGTTGTTCCCTGTGGAGCAGAAAGCATGCGACCTCGGCGTGACTCCTCAGACTTTGATTGTCCTTCATGACAACTCCATCAAGAGAATTCAATGCCGATTGTAGTTTTCTGGTGTTGTAGTTTCTGGATCTTCTCGGGGTCCTGCGCTTGCTGATGACATCATCATGCTACGCCAATACTGCTCAGCCAAAATATAATGCATCTCTTTTTCGATTCTGTTCTTCCACATAAGTTTTAGAAAAAGTTTAGCAGTTTTGTTATTAAATTTGAGTTTCCTACTACCTAAATGTTTTTGAACGTGGTAACTGAAGTCGTACGTCCAGCCAATCACCTAGTGTGATGTCATCAACAGGCACAAGACCCAGAGTCAGCTATAAGGAAACACGGCATCTGATATGGTGTCCCCCAAAGACGCCAAACCTGCTCCCTATATACTTTAGATCTGATTTTTATGATTATATGTTACGAAGCCGCCAATATTTCTCAATGACTGGACATAATTTTATTCATTTTCGACAATATTTGGATGGATATTTCTAGAGTTTAAAGGTAAAAACTACACAGTGTCTCTTTAATATCAGAAGTCAAATGTCTCCAAACATGAAACAACAGTTTAGTTGTTTTCCCATCAGTTATTTTGTGTTTAATGTCACACACACACACCCATCAGAAGCAAAAAAAAAAAAAAAAAAAAAACCACAAAAAAATACATCCCCTTAAATTTCTAATCAAACTTTAATATTGGCATGAACAGAACTCCGTACTTTACTGAAAAATAACATTCTAAATAGTTCAAACTAACCTTTTGATTGCCTTGTAGCAGATGATGATGGCTGAAAGAAGGAAGACGACGGATGCACAGCAAACTGTCCCAAGTACTATAATGTCCATCTCCATCCACCAGGGCCTCGGCAATGGCACCTCCACCTCCTCCGCCACTGAACAAAACGAGAGAAGAAGAAAGAGGACAAAAGACAAACATCAAACCCTAGAAATTGAGCTTATGATGCTTGTTTAACCCAACAGATATTTGGTGGAACTCTCCCACAACCCAAAAACAGAGCCCGCTCTTCTCTGCTCCTTGAGTTAGGAGGTAGCCGTGTCCTAGAGTGTTCTGCAGGTCTTAGGCTCAACGCTCATATCCATCCTGACACCATGAATCATTAAAAGACCCAGCAGCCTCCCTTACACCAGCTCTCCTGTCCACACCAATTACTGTTGCAAGAACCTCCTGCTCTTTCCACATTAGATCTGTGGAGTAAGACCACTCACCCGCATGTTGTATAACATTATGTGCATCAGTGACTCCGTGTCTGTAATGCAGAACTTCTCTCCCCTCTTTTCTGCAGCATTTGGGGCTCTTTCAGCACCTCTGAATCACTTTAATTGCATGCACCTTCACTCAAATGCTGATTTATTCCTACAGAAAATAAATCCTAACTTTGCATGAAGTGTTAGCTTGTAATGAATGAGAATGAGAGCAATAAATACTGATAGGTAACTTGTAATTTTCCAGCACAGCACATTTTTATAAAGCTAAGGACGATAGCTCTCCCCGTTCCAGTGCCTCACATCATAAGTCACTAAATTTAAAAGCTCCCCTTTGCCAGACTTCCTTTTTAATCCTTCATTTAGTTAACGACTGTTGAATTTAATTCGTTCGGTGTGAGGATCTTCTGATAAGGCTTTCTCATTTGAAAGAACCTCACATACTCTTTTTTTAAGCACACAAACGCTTCTTTTTCCTCTCTGAGACAGACAAATTCTCCGTCATTGTCCTAGTTTTCATGTTGGCCTTAAATTTGTTGCATTTTTAAAGCCTGGGGAACCGCTCCAAGAACTCTGCAAATCAGGCTGGATGGGGAATATCAGGGTAACTAAGCGTCTCTGTAGTAATAGAGAATGTGGGGTGGGGGAAAAAGCTCTAGGAATAAATTATTCATAGTGTCTCCACCCTTTTGCAAACAGTTCGGTGTAAAGTTAAAATAGAATATAAATCGGCCAACTTAGCGTGTTTATGAGGACGCAACGGTGTTGGGGAGGCTGCAGAAACATGAGGCTGCAGCATTCAGAGGTAAATTGGTCACAAGTAGGCATTCGAGCCCTCACTTCTGTTTGCAGTCAGATGGCCATGGCAGCACTCATGCAGCTACCTTGACAACAACCACAAAAGGGTCCATGACTCTTGATTCTCACTGGTGAATCAGAGGAAAAAGGAGATCCATCCCCACAAAAATTACTGGACCTTCCTCTCTCGTGATTCTGAAAAATCCCAGAAAGGCTGCATCATCAGCAGCTCCGGTCCAATATTTCAGCTCAGGGTGCAGCTCATTTAGGTGCTTGTGACGAATCGCATCAACTTTCAGCAACACGGCCTGAGAAATACGTTTGCAAGTCTGTCAGCAGGTTTACCGTCTCAGGGTGAGGCAGAGAGTGACCGCCACAACAAGCAATACATCAGCACAGATGTGCTCCACAAGCTGCAAACAAACACTTGGTGCTGCCGGCTCAACTCTAAAATAAAGCTGGCTGTGGTGACTATTTCATTAGCTCATTATCTCCATCATCATAGGCTAATTTAATTAACTCATCTGTGTTCTAATCAGAGGGGTCCTTCAGGGGGAATCCCTATCACTGAGTGGGAGCCTTAAGGCAAGGATTTCACTAGCAGCTGGGTACTCCCCGAGGTCAGACCCAACATAAATTAGTCCTGTGTTCATCTGTCGACTTCCTGCTGGCTCTGGTTCATGCACAGATGCAAAACTGCGGCCGTGCATGCACGCTTATACACTAATCTCAGGGGGACCGGTGGTAAAATTTTTTCTCTGTGCAGAAAAGAAAAAAAAGTTGAGAAAACTGTTTCTGCTTGGTTAGAAGTGATGTCCAGACAGAGTGAGGAGGCAGTTGTGAGACCTAGAAAGGGAGGTGTTACCTGTGGTGCCCAGTAGCCGTGGAGGAGGAGGTGGAGGCGGTGGTGGAGGCAGAGGAGGGTATCTCCTACAGTGGCAAGCTAACTGGCACTGTTCACTAACTTTCTCCGCCACTGTCCGCAAGCACGACCTCTGGAGCTCTCCCTTATGTCGAGGGGGAAGAGAGAGATTGCATTACCCAAAAGCAGCATCAGCACAACGGCGTGCAGCACTCAGCAGCACTGTGGATTTCCTCTCAGCATTCTTTTCACATCACGGCTCCAGTGCTGTTGTCACCAGGGCTGCTAGTACATGCACAATAGTATCAGGTCTACAGCTGCAGCTTTCTCCCTGTAAGAAACCACCCACCAGCAGAGTGGGCAGTATGGCTGCCCCGAGGAGAGTGTGCGTGGGTGGACTTGGAAACTCAAGCAGATCACATTACACATGAACCCTGGCAACACTGTTCTGTGTGAACAGCAGCTCACCACTATCTGTAGGCAGCAGCAAGGGGCAAAGGTTAGAATAGTCATCACTAGCATATGCCTGCTGGAGGGATCCTAGCTGGTGGGAATGCTGTTATCGGGAGAAATAAACACAACTGGCTGCAGAAGAACGCTGAGAAAGCTGCATCCCTCTAACTCATACACTTGCATCAGCAGAGCGCATTAGCTGCACCAAGTTGTGCGTAAATGCCCTGAACGTGACGCTTACCTGGCATGAGAGTAAAAACAGTGAGAGGAGGCAATGGCAGAAGAAAAAAGGCCAAAAACTTAAAGTGAATGGCATTAGATCTTGGACCAGCATTCCTCTTTGCGCTGTTCTCGGAGATACAAGTAAGCGTTTCCAACAAACGAACGCAGTGAACATAAGCTTGGAGTGTTTGGGAAATAACCATCCACCCGTTCCAGCTCAGCGGCGAGATCTTTGACAGACGTCTCCAGAAATAGTTTAAGCCCCAATCATGTTCCTCTTCAGAGCCCGGTGTCGGTAGCATAGGACGGGCGAGCCGGCGGTGCGAGGAGCAAATCTCGATCATTCACATCTCCAAAGTAGTTTATATTTGATTTCTGACTATTATTTTTCCTAACTGGAACTCAGATGGCGACCTGAATCACGCCGCTGCTCCACGTAACGTGAGGACGGTGGATGGCCCGTGCCTTACAGCTCTCCATCTCTCCATCGAAGTTGGAAGAAATGATGACAAATATCAGAAATAAAAACAAACACGGAGAGGGATGGGGGATCCTTTTGGAGTGTCGAGCGGCAGGATTCCTCGCGATGGCACCAAACGTCCCCTTCAACTTATCAAGGCAGAGCAGGGCGAGTCCGGAGGGCAGAGCCGTGGGTTAAAGTGATGCATCTCCCTCTGTGCCAAAGCACAGCGGGGCTGTTTTATACGGCCAGAATCACCGCCGCGCGCTTGATGCAGCGCATCCTGACAGCGTGTGCTCCAAACAAATCCACCCTGCGCTCCTCACTAAGTCCTCCCTCCTCCAAACACACACCGGGGAGGTCTTGTGCTCAGGAACCAGTCATCTTTTGTTTACTTATTTTTCTTTAAGCCCACAAAAGCGTGGAGGCGAGCTCGTCAGGATGACGCGTCCTGGACAGGATTAAAGTCAAGTGAGCGCGAGACGCCCACTGACAAAAGTCCCAAACTGGACAATGATGCTACCTGGGATTTATTCCTAAACGAAATCTACAATGTTGAAGAGATTTGACCAGTCTTTCTATTTTATGAGTGTAAAATGATGATGGGTTGAGGCAGTGTGCCAAACAGAGGCAACAATGGGTCGTTTTTAAAAAGCAGAGTTGCGTAATATCGTTGGGTTTCTGCACAGTTATGAAATGACCCCCACAGTCATACATGGAGCCAAGGAGTCAACGTGACACCTAAACAGCTGACATGTGAGAATAACCCAAGTTTTTCACTTGATCACAGCTTTAGAGATTGATTTATTGATTTAGTAAAAGATAAATAATATGATTCGACATAAACTGCAAACCTGGACAAGTTCCAATCTCTTAATGAGAAAAAAGTGAAAAAAGCATATGCTCTAACTTGCAGAGCATACATGCTTGCTAACCCCATCTGCTGTGTGCCCATGGTGTGTCTAGAAACGTTTTTGGGGTGGCCAGGTAGGGGCGCACACTTGGACAAGGGCGGCACATGTAAACGGCTCATCACTTAGAAAAATAATTCTATTTTTCTTTACAAAATTACAAAGCATTAATCATAATCTAATGGGCTACTCTGGGAGTATGGGGCACCAGGCCCTCTGATACGGGCTGTTAGGTCCCTGTATGACCGGTGTCAGAGCTTGGTCCACATAGCCAGCAGTAAGTCGGGCTCGTTTTCGGTGAGAGTTGGACTCCGCCAAGGCTGCCCTTTGTCACCGATTCTGTTCATAACCTTTATGGACAGGATTTCTAGGTGCAGCCAAGGTGTGGAGGGCATCTGTTTTGGTGGCCTGAGGATCAGGTATCTGCTTTTTGCAGATGATGTGGTCCTGTTGGCTTCATCAGAACTTGATCTCCAGCTTTTGCTGGAAAGGTTCGCAGCCGAGTGTGAAGCAGCTGGGATGAGAATTAGCTCCTCTAAATCTGAGACCATAATCTTGAATCAGAAAAGGGAAGAAGGTCTGCAGGTGAGGGATGAGGTCCTGCCTCAAGTGGAGGAGTTGAAGTATCTTGGGGGTTCACGAGTGAGGGAAAGATGGATCGGGAGATAGGTGGATTGGTGCTACATCTGCAGTGATGCGGTTATAGTACTGACCTGTCGTGGTGACGAGAGAGCTCTCGATTTATCTGTCGATCTACGTTCCCTCATATGGTCACGAGCTTTGGGTAGTGACCAAAAGAAAGCGATTGTGGATACAAGCGGCCAAAATTAGTTTCCTCCGCAGGGTGGCTGGGCTCTCTCTCTGAGATAGGGTGAGAAGTTTGGCCATCCAGGAGGAGCTCTGAGTAGACCCGCTGCTCCTCCACATCGAGAGGACCCAATTGAGGTGGCTCGGGCATCTTGTCAGGATGCCTTCTGGACTCCTCTCTGGTTAATTACCGTAAATCCTCTAGTATTAGCCTGTATTTAATTAACTGCCGGGTATCATATTTTGGCCGGTGTCGGAGTCGGCAGAGGTGAATAATGGCCGGTTTTTTATTGTGGGCGGGTGGAATGTGGTAACAAGCAAGTACGGGGGGGCGGTTGTGTCATCCGTCTCACTTTTGATTTGCCAGTGATAGACCGCGAGGGTAACTTTAACCGTGCGGAGACGAAGAGGAGGCGAAAATTTGATATCAAGTTCAAAGAGAATGTGCTGATTATGCTGCAGAACACTCTGGGGAGCAGTAGCAGGGGTTGTATGAACTAGTCACTGGACGACTTCACCGCTTTATAGTGACTTTTTATGCCTGTCATCGACTAGTCGCTGTCACGTGATAATGACCGGCAAGATGCAGTCCACAGAAAAGACAGCAGCCTGCTGTCAGCAGGTGACAAGCTCCTGAGGTTTTCCGGGCACGTCCAACTGGAAGAAGACCCAAGGGAAGACCCGGGACATGCTGGAGGGACTATGACTCTTGGATGGCCAGGGAACGCCTTGGGATTCCCTGGAGGAGTTGGCCCAAGTAGCTGAGGGGAGGGGATTCTGGGCCTCTCAGCTTAGGCTGCTGCCCCCACAATCCGACTCCATCTAAGCGTCTGAAAAGGAATGGATGGATAACCTGGCTACTATAAGCAAAACAAAGCCAAACCGCAAGATCAATGGTGCACTTTAATCAATAATTATACGACATGTATAAATGCATATTTATTAAAAATAAAATGGGGACTTTCTCTGACAAAGTCAGGATTCTTTTAGAGAAGAGAGGAAGGCCCACTTTAGATGAAGTAGTTTTCCTTTGCAGGCTAGCATTTAAATGCATTTTAACAATTTTTTTAAATTATTTAAATATTTTTAAATTAACAACAGAAATATGTGAGCTTTAAAACCTAATATCAATGAAAATAATGAAAAACATCTATTAAATAACATCAACAAGAAATGAAATGAAATGTCTGGCCTGGTTTGTTGTGTTTGAAAACGATAGTCTCATTATCCGAAATTAAGAAATGTTTTGGAGTGTGAACAAAGCTCTGTTTAATGCTGAAAATACTAAAACTTTAAAAACTAATAATACACTTCTAAATGTCATCTTACATTTGATAATTTATTGTTTATAAGATTTAGATGTTATGTTTGTATTGATTATATGTGTATAGATGTTTTACTATCTCAGTTTTTGGCGTAGCACCTGAGGTGGCCAGTCTTTTTATTTTATTTTTTTTGCAGGGGGGACCTTTGTGCCCCCCCGACCCCCCTCTGAAAACACCCCAGTGTGTGCAATTTTTATTCTTTATTCACGAATCTTTAACTACTTTAAATTTTAAATAAGATCTGTGAGGGTTAAGTAGACGTCCACGTGTCTCCGGATGAGGCCCCTCTCCAAAACAGAAACATAAATAACTTCTGAGCTGACAATTCAGACAACTTTGGATTAGGATCAGTGAATTCAGCTAGGAGCCCTGCAGCCTTTTGTTGTGCCTGAGCATCTATCACATGTCTTGCCTATAAAGCACTCCACAGACAGCAATGGGATGAGCTCACACAAAGATGACTTTTGGACTGGAAAACCCATGCTGCTGTTAAAATGCATCTGCGCAGTCCACTGCAGAGATTTCTCAGAGTTCTGCTTTTTTTTAACAGACCCAAGGAGACTGCATTTGGCGTAAAGTCTCCCCAGCAGCTTCGGCTCATCCATCCTCTTCCTCAGTCTGTCCCTGTATTGATTATCTGACAAGAGCAAAGCACTACATCTCCCTGCTTCCTTCCTGCTACCTCAACTCATTTCAACAAGCAGCAGTCTGCAGCAGCATACATCACAGCCGTGCAAACTCTGATATGGAAACCTCTTTATACAATTACTGTGGTCTTTCAGAGTTATCTCGCCAGAATGTTTCATTTGAATCTCAGCAAATCCAGCCTGAAAATGCAGGTTACATCAAAAGAAAGAGAGATTTTACATCCTGTTTTCATTAGAAGGGAATTAATGTCTATTTAAACTCAGCTCAGCAGTCTTTATCTTTACTATCTGTTTTTCTGCTTATTCCATCTAAACTGGAGTTGTTGTGGGGACAGTGGAAGAACAGTGTCATCTAGTGGGAAGCTCCACCAACACACACCAGTTTGTTTGAGCGAAATAATGTATTTTTTTCCTCCTTTCCAACAAATTACATATAAATCTTACAATTTAGAAAAAACTGTCACTGCAGGTCAGATTTTCCTCTGAGATCTTGCACGCATGCAAAAGCAGGAACAATTCTTGACAGACACACACATCAAATGTCACAATTTTCTTCACCTGCAGCCAAAACAATTAGTAAACCATATAATGACACATCAGTCTGTGCAAATTTGATCTGAATAAAAAAAAATAAAATAAAAATAACAGCCATTATGTATTATTGCTGAAACTGAGAAATTGCAGCTGCTGATGCTGCGGTAAACTAAATCTCACACACCTGAAACTAATCCCTTTTCCAGAGTCACAGATGGAAAATTTAAACAAACAGGCAAAATAAATAAATAAATAAATAAATAAATAAATAAATAAATAAATAAATAAATAAATAAATAAATGGAAAGTTTGAGTTAAAAATATACAAAACTGCAAAGGAGGTTCATTGGCAATAGGAAATCTGAGGATCTTTTAGTTTTCCAAATTTATTTTATGTTTCTTCCAACACTGATGTCTCTCAATCTGTTGATTTCAATCTGATCACATTCAGTTGCTGGTGATGCAATTAGTCTGTCAAAAATGTGTGGATTAAAGAAATCAACTCAAACCTCTATTGTCTAAAATAGAGGCTCAGTGTCAGGGAGATCAGGGCTCAATTCCTGGTCGGGTCATACCAAAGACTATGAAAAAATGGGACCCAATGCCTCCCTGCTTGGCACTCAGCATTAAGGGTTGGATTCGGGGGTTAAACCACCAAATGTTTCCCGAGCGTGGTTGTGTCTGCAGCTCACCGCTCCCCCAGGGGATGGGTCAAATGTGGAGAACAAATGTCGCACACACATCAGTGTGTGACAACTGATGGGACTTTAACTTTAACTTTTAACTTCAAAATAATAAACAGAATCCCTTCGGTTGCACAAAAGCGTCAGGTTCACTTGGAGCTCTCGGTGTGTTTTGTTGTATTTGTCACTTAAATGACATTTCATAATTTAAGTTTATGTAAAACACAATTTCTCATTAAAAAACATGTTTACACATAGTTTGCAAATCAGAAGAGGACTTGTCCTAATAAACATCTCAACTTCTCCCAAACTATGGATTTGTTGTAATGTGAGTTAAAGCACCTGTTTTTCATTGCAGTGACTGAGTGAAGTCAAAGATAAACTAATGCACTTGCATAAGTGACGTGTTTGTGGACCACAATGCAAATCTGCTCATGTTGAGCTTTAAAAGTTTTACCTGAATTTGTAAAACAAATCAGCTCAAACTGATATTTAAAACGACCCAGCAGCATCTCAGCCACCAGCTGCCATTTATGGATATGCTTCCTCTTTCTTTTTTCTCATTCTTCTTCACATCAAAAGCACAGGAGTGGGGTGACGGGCCTGGAGAGGGGGGGTCCCATTGTTAATTGGCCTTTTCAGATGAACAGAGAGGTGAAGGAAGGAAGAATATGGGTACAATAGGGTCTCGTTGCCTCTTTTCTTCAACAGGAGGGATGCACCACCTAAAACAACAAGCACATCCCTCACTTAATCAATTAGAGCATGAATAAACAGCTTTTAATAAGAAATAACAAGAACGTCCCCTCCTGGTGCAGGACATGCATGAGATGTTAACAGAGGAACAGCTTCCCTCTCATCCCTCTGCAGGGCTGCAGCAGGACGATGCGTTCTCAGCTCAATGAAGGGATGAAGCTCAATTAGCATTTCACAAGTCCCATTTCACTCTCCCAATGCAGCTTACCCGCGGAGCTCGTGCTTTCTCTGGGGATTGTCCTGTTTTGGGGTCCTTGTTGCCGTTGGCAGGGTGACAGTATTCGAGTGTGCAAACTTGTGCTATTGTCCGGGGGCCAGGGGGAGCCATGGAGACCCCATAATATGACACAGGAAAATGTTTGCTGATGGCAATTCTATGGGCTTTGTCCCACTCTTTCTCCTTCATGACGACTCGATTTAAGTCTCTAAATGTTTGACTACAAATGCAGGAGTGCTATCCAGCTCCTTCCTCTTTGTCCCGCGAGGTTTGAATGAGTAATTCAGCCTTTGTATCGCTCGATTGAGGGGGCAAACAGAAAGACAAGATTCTTGAGCGTTCAAGCCTCTATCCATGGTTATGCGCTCTTTAGATCCCCCTCCACCCTCACCAAATCTGACATCACTCTTTAAGGGAGCGCATGTTTTAAAACTCAGCTTCAATAAATAAATAAAAAGTGCGCAACTATCTTTAGAATTTATCTTTCGCCCATTTTGGTCTTTATGGAGAATTGGCATCATTTTGGAGGGGATGTTGGGTCAGAGCGTAGCGCGATCGCATCCTCTCTGGCGGCTTTCTCCAAATCACCATGACAACAATTTTGCACTGGTGAAGAATTTGATACCAGGGTGCTTGGAGACTGATTGGGGTGCATTGTGGCTGGCCTGGGGTCGCTGATTGGTTCAAGGAAAGGACCAGAACTACAAGGAGTTTATATTCATTCAACTTGTTGAAGTACCCCCAGTCTGGAGTGAAGCTGGTTGGCTTGAACTGATTCTGGATTAACCAGAGCAAGGTGAGTAAACCAACATAATATTATTCTCTGACCAAATTGATTAAATCTGTTAAATAAATCAAATGTTTTTAGTTAAATTGGATACTTTTGGTGCGTAATTACGCAAAAACCTTAAATATCGGTAACTTTCTCTCCAGATCACTGCAACACGTTTTAAAGCATGGACTAAATGAAATCGACTTGTTAAACATGGCAAACGCTGACAGTGAAGTCAAGACGTTGCTGAATTTTGTGAATCTGGCATCCAGTGACATCAAAGCTGCCCTGGATAAGTCCGCTCCATGCAGGCGCTCCGTGGATCACAGGAAATATCTACAAAAGCAGCTAAAGCGCTTCTCACAAAAATACTCCAGAGTTCCAAGATGCCACGCGCACAAATCCGCAGACCACAGGTGCCTCAAGCCACCGGGAACAGCCGCGCAGGAGACGGCCTCGCATGCGCAAGATGTTGAGAACGTTGGGATCGAAGTGGAGCAGGTGCCCATGAGGGAACGCCAACTACCGGCCTCCTTCTGGGAGGAACCCAGACAGACTAAAGCTAAGAGGGACAAAACGGGTTTGGGTTTGAAAAAAAGCGCCATTGGATCATCTGACGGCAGCAAAAACGAAATGAGGAAAGCGGCTCTGGACGACGGCGCAAACGCCTCATCCAGTCGGCGCAACTCTGCGGATAAAGAGGTTCTGAAACTGGATGTGACTTCTCACCACTTTGTGAGTGTGTGCGGCTGCTGCCCGCTCCAGTACCACGGACACCACGTCCTCCACAGCCACATCGTTGTTCCCCACCCGCCTCTGTGGAGCAAGGCAGCAGCGGGGACAGAGTCAGAGCATCCCTTTGGACCGAGGATTCACACGCACGTGGTGGTCAAACCCATACCGACCAAGCCCACCCCCCAGTCACCAATCTTCAGCGTGTTTGGATTCATTTAATCAACCTGGATCCATCATAATTATGTAAAGAAGACTTATTTTTTTACATTTTGGAGTTTCTCACGCACTTATTGGAATCCTGCATCTTTTAAAATTCAATTGCTGGCTCAATAAACCCAAGAGCTTCAGTTTTATGCCAGTTTCATGTCACACAACAAACTGACAGTAAGTTCAAAAGCTCCTTGACAGTTCTATTTTAGGAGCAAAACGTCATCCAAACAGCTGCCACCTTTCCTCTTTTAACTCAGTGATGTTTCATATCTGCTTTTGACAAAATGCCTTCTATTTTCAAATAAACGATTCCTCTTTTCTAATTTTCTTCCCTCTTCTTTGATTAAACTTTGAGGGGTTTTTATGAGAAAAAATAACTTGCTGACAGATTAAAGGTTCTTGGTTGCAGATATTTATACACAAGAGAGCCATTTACAGACTTTAGATGCAACTAAAAAAAGAAACATAAAAAGATAATTTTAGTCCTGTTTTGGAGAGATGTTGCTTGAGGTTCTTTTTTAATTCCAGTCAGCCAGACTGAGATATCTTATCAGTCTGTCTGGCAGAGGTAACCCTGCAATAGATCTCAGCCTGTTCCTCCCCATCTGAGTGCGGATCGTCACTCTACAAAGGTGCAGGAGTGGACGTGGCGACGCTGAAACAGAAGAAAAAATTAAGCCGTTACTTTTATGACGACATTTGTTAGAGGAAGTGAATGAGGGAATGAAAGAACAATGGAATGATTTTTATCTGACATGCACCCACATGACTTCCTCTTCACATCGTGCCATTCGTCTCTGCTGTCCAGAAGTTGGGTGAGCTTGCTGCACAGCTGGACATGTCCAACATGCTCCAGCAGCAGGTCTAGTACCGGTCCCACTCGCTCGCACACGACGGGTGTTGAGATCCACTCGCAGAACTGAAAATCATAAGTGCATTACTTGAAAAATAAACTCTTTTTTAATTAAACTCATTAACTCACCTGGATCGTCCTCCCTGTTGTCCCGTTGCAGTTCAAAGGAAGGAGACAGTCATTTTGTAACCCTTCTGAAGGTGGGTGAGGGGCGCCGCTGTGCACACAGGTAAAGCAGGAGAGCGCGTCACAGCCGTTCTTCAGAACACACTTGAGTAGAGGTAGGTTGTTTGTGCAAAGTGCAACAATTGCTGGGAATGTGGATGGAAAAGATGGAATTCTGGCATTCACATCCGCCCCTCGCTCCAGCAGAAGGGACGTGGTGCCGACGCAGCCTCGACGTGCAGCCATCAGGACCGGACTGATTGGATCCAGACTCAGGTTGGCTCCAGCGTTCAGTAAAACCTCCACGGTTTTGGTGCCGCCACTGGCAACGGCGAAATACAGAGCAGTGGCACGTCCATCGGCGTACCGGATGGAGTGACCGTGAGCCAGAGTGGCGTTCACATCTACGCCTGCCTTCAGCAGCACGGCTGCCACGTCGTGTCTGTCATGCTCTGCAGCCAGGTGGAGGGGGGTGATCCAACTGTGCCGGAGTGTGGCTCGACTGGTCACCGAGACGAGCAGGGACACAATCCTGAAAACGCATCAAAGACATTTAACTATCACGCATCATCGCCACAAACGTTAGGTGTTGACATGTGCAGGGACTCACTCGTGGTGTCCACGCTGGGCAGCTTCATGCAAAGGCAGTAGGCCTAACTTAGTGGGCTTATTGGCATCGGCGTTTTTAGCTAGCAGCAGGGCTACAGCTTCCTTGTGGCCATTTTTACTAGCTTCATGCAGAGCTGTAACACCGTCACAGGTGTGCATGTTCACATCTGCACCTAAAAAAGCAACATTCCTTTATGGCAGACGGGAGTCAAAGGCAATAAATGCATTGAAGTTCTCCAACCAACCAACCTTTGTCGATGAGGTAAGACAGGGTCCTCATCAGGCCTCGCTGAGCTGCTAGAGTGAGTGGGGCGATGCTGTATGTGTTGGGTGGGTTGATTGTGGCTCCGGCTCTTACGAGGGTCTCACAGATTTCTGTGTTGTCCCTGGATACGGCCTCGTGGAGGGCCGTCCAGCCCTGACCACACCGCTGGTTCACGCTGGCTCCAAACGACAGAAGAATGCCCACCATGTCCACTTTCTCCAGTTCACACGCTGCAGGGACAGAGGACATGTCGCCCCATCACTTCTGAGTGACCTTTATCACCAAACACGTGTGACATCACAGCCGTACCTCTGTACAAAGGTGTGTCTTTGTTGTTGCTACAGATGTCGGGGTCGGCACCTGACTCTAACAGGAACTGCACACAAGGCATGTGTTCACGCGTCACAGCAAGCAGCAGCGCCGTCTGCTCCTGCAGCGTCCGTTTGTCTACCGACCCTGGATGGGCTACAGCACAAAACACACAAAACAGCATTAGGGAATCACGCACAAAACACCTTTGACTTTTCAAGGCTTTGGATACCATTACCCCTTAATAGGACCTTTAAGCACTCCGTTTGACCGTAGTGTGCAGCATCGTGCAAAGGTAACCAGCCATCTTTGTTTTCCCTCAGC